GCAATTTATTAATCATTAATTTATTCGTTCAATTGATGATGATGTACAATTCTATACAATTGTTTCAAGTTGTAAATTAAAACAATTCATTATTTAGAATTGTAATTAAATTGCGTGAGCTGAAAGTGTCTTTTCTGTAATTAGTTTTTCTTCCAGTTTCATTTCTTAATCTATCTTCCAAAAATTGGTCGGTAGAGGGGGTTGTAAAATTGAAAATCAATGAAAATGTGACATTTTTATAGCATACCCGAATTGTATCCTATTACATATTGGATTTTTTTTATTAACGAAGGATTTTATGGGAATGATATAAAATTATTAACAGGCAAGGTTTTTATGGGAATAGTATAAAAGTGTCATGTTTACGGGTTTTTAAGGTGACACTTTATATGGCTGTTCATACTTGATATGGGGTATCTGTTATATTAGGAAAAATATGTGTCCTAAATTGATTTAATTATAGGCCGACACGTTCGTCATAACGTGCCTATTAATAGCATTATATGTTACTTGTGAGCTACAACAGAATCAGATATTTGCATTGTCCTTCGAGCCGGATTACTGTTAGATAATATTAAAATTGCATGAGTACCAATAGCCATATAAGGTGTCAGCATAACGTGTGGTGTGCGGGGCGCCAGGGCGCGGCGCGGAGCGGTGGTGGCTGGAGTGCGGGGCGGGGGCTGGCGGCGGCGGGGGCGGGGGCGGGGGCGGGGGCGGGGCCGGCGGCGGCGGGGGCGGCGCGGGCGGCGGGGCGGCGGCGGGCGGCGGCAGCATGGACAGCGTGTGCGAGGAGGACACGCCGCCCACGCACCGCCGCCTCGCCAAGTCCTTCAGCGTGTCCGCCTCGCGCCCCAGGGACAAGCCGCCGGACAAAAGTACGTGACGCACCCGCCGGGGGCTGGCCGGCCGTAGCGGGGACCTCGGGGACCTGAGTCGCCGTTGCGACTAATTAAAACGAATTTTCATGTCAAAGAGCAGCTATGTATATACAGCTGCCTATAGCAATCCGCTTTCATGTACTTCTCACATCTAAGATTAATTCATAATTTCATAACGGAGTCAAAGTGCACGTATTTGAAAGATAATATTATGAAATTTCGATTTATAAAAATTGTAGCAACGCAACTCAGATTTTTTAGCAAACAAAGATTGTTTCGTTTAATTGTTTAAAAACACAAGTCGAAATATGACAATCGGGGTTAACGATTTCTAATAATAAAGATTCCTGCTACGCCTAAAAGTTCACGGTTTCTATGTCTTTTCCAACTCTATTGTTCACAGCAGTAGTAGTATAGACTTAGTACAATTTATCAAAATATAACGTCAATTGTTTTGTCATTATTTTTTTATAATATAGGGCCCAAACCTGATTGTCACTTGCCATTACTGCCGTTCATAAGTACCAGAGGGAGACTTTGTACAAAAGTCGTTTACTTGGGCACCTCTATTCCATTCGTGTTTCTATCGTGAAGCAGTTGTGTTTGCATGGCTGTGTTTCGGTTTGAAGGGTGGGATATGGCAATGAATTTAGACGATACAGAGGAATAACACCTGAATCCTCAGGAATGGCAACACATGGGGGGTATCATGGACGAAACAATATACTCTGTTATGTCCATGCTACTGCTCATATCTATAGGCGACGGTTACCACTTTCCATCAGGTGGGTCTTCAGCTTGTTTGCCATACGTAGATGCATAAAAAAAACCCTGTAAAAACATAGAAATTGCAGGGATATTGCTGGCCCTTTAAATCGCAATATACTTTTGTCATTCTATCTAAGTGACAAGAGGTTGCCACTATAGAAAGAATGTAGGCAATGAATGACGTGATTTCTAATATTATCTGAAGAAAACATAAGGAAATTACTCTTTATATATTTGACGAAATTATGTTGATATTTTATACGAGTACACCTTTGGTACTCGATATCTGCCTAAGCCACGATACCACAAACTTCATAGTGGCCTATCATTCCTACCAGTGTTGGGAGCATGCACTGAAAAGCTTTCAGCTTTTATAAACTAACGAAGGTCTAGCAGTAACAGACTCTTGGACTATTAGAGGTTACGTTAGCTGCGTTAAAATAAAAGCAAACCACTAAAACGTGCATTAAACATGCATTTAGTATACATATTTAAACAATAATTGCTGGCAAAACAGTTGTACTAATCACCATTTTGAAATAAATGTATTAGAGGCTATTTCTTGATACAAAGTGTGGCATTCACTTAATTAAGTCAAAATAAAAAAAAATGCCGTTTTATCTAGCTGTGTTACATTTGTTATTTTTTTTTTTTTATTTATTTAATGGCTATTTAAATCGTGATTGTTTTTATTCTTGTATATTTGTTGAGAATCTGTATATTGTATGCTTTTTTTTTGTTAACTTTAATTGTTGTGTTAGATTTTTTTTATTTATTTTTTTTTACTAGAGGGACTTTATTATCTGTAAATATATTGGAATTGTAGTGGACATAATTCACGTATTAAATACGGTATAATGGTACGTTAGAGTGTTTTCACTTTATATATACGATGCACCTGAATTGTACATTTTATGTCACTATTTTATTTTCGTTTAATATGGTTTCTATTACTCTATAATTTGCACTTTATAATAGTTATGTAGAATAAATAGTGGTGTCCATTTTGAGTCGACAATTTTTCTAAACCAGCGTTTTTAAAACTTTTTCCTCCCTTAGTATGTTAAAATATTTTACTTACCGCAGTTCCTAACTTGTATATATTCTCTTATATTACAAATATCATATCCGTATATTTTTATATATTTTATAGTTAATTATAAGTTAAACATTATAAATAAATAAATATTATATAATGAAGTATCTAAAACTGACGTCGATGACATTGCAAAACTCGTCATAGTCGTAGAATACTGACGGATCTGACAAATATTACATATAAAGATCCGTCAGTATTCTACGACTATGACGAACTGTTGTTTTTTTTTTACGGATTAGCGACATTTCCAACTTCCTTGTAGAGACTTGAGAACCCCCCAGGTGATTGCGACCCACACTAATGACTCTAAAATTAAAATTTCATTTTAATATCTCAGCGAAGTCTTTATTTTAAATACATTTATGATCTATTTTTCTTATATATTTAATTCATAATTATTATAATTTCAGTTTTCATAAATTAGTAATTAAAGTTGTGTGTTTGTTTGTCACCATTGTAGCGTAAAAAATGTTCTTATAAACAAAGCGGTCGCGTGAACAATTTGAATTCAGTTCCATGAATACCAACACTGGGCTATTGATTCTCATTAATTTACCATTATGTACCAACTACACCTGCCGTATGGACGCAGGCACACCGCGCACGTCGCTGATCGGCCTGACGGGCAGCCGGCCGCCAAGCGTGGCGCCCACCACACCGCCCAACTCCATATCTTCGCAAGGTATTTAATTTTTTTCTTATTATTTTTGGTTTATATCCGGCTCAAAGGACCATAAAATTATATACACCGCTTGCTAATTCCAAACTAAGCAAAACTTATGGGTATTGGCCAACTGATAGATAGGAATTAAATTTTTTTTTCTAAATACATACATATTGTATTATATAGAAACAATTTAGACCAGTTCAAACATATTTATGAATATATAAAACCCCCAAGGTCGCGAGTTCGATCCCAGTATTATACGGGAATCGAACTCACGACTATTGGATGGTGATACAGTGTCTTAAACAATAACACCATCATTTCGAGGCTATAGCTACAAAATAAAGCAGAATTTACTTTCTTCTTTAATGCGACCTACATTGTTACAAATTGGACCAGTGTGCGAATCGGAGAAGCCGCCGCTGGCGCCGCTGCGGCCGAAGGTCAACTCCATCTTCCATCTGTTCGGCGAGTGGCTGTTCGAGGCCGCGCTTATCGGCACCACGCCTGCTTATAACAATAGTCAACGTATGTAATTTTTTGATACTTTATCTTAATATGTACGTCTTTAATTAGCCTATTTTACGAGTATCTTTCAACGTGTGTTAAATGTAATGTCAAATATAATTTTGTTGTTTTTCCTATATATATATATATATATATATATATATATATATATATATATATATATATATATATATATATATATATATATATATTATATATATATATATATATATATATATATATATATATATATATATATATATATATATATATATATATATATATATATATATGTTTTATATTCCTTACCTATGTGTGGAGACTTATTTTTGGCTATCTGTTTCTTATTATCTTAGGAAAATTATTATTGTTATTGTTAAATATTATTATTGTAGGAAAAGCTGTTGGCCTTTTAAATATATAAATAAATAAATGTAAGATAAAATATTTGTTTAAATGTACATTGCAACACTTTCAGAACGCGCAGACGGTACTCCGCCGCCCCCGTCGTTGTCGGATGCACAATACAAACTGAACATGTTGAGCTACCAGCCAGGTGAGTTAGCTTTTATTGTTACATACAGCCATGCTTGTAATACAATTTATTTTTTAATATAATGCCGGTCCAACACATTCTGTTTACATTTATGAAGTTACTTACAGTAAAACCATTTTTTTAACAAGACAGTAAATACTGTTTTACTTGTATTTATATTAAATAAATCTATATTTATATGATTTCCTGTCTAAAAACTATCATACATTACTGTACTAGCGACTCGCCTTGGCTGTGCAGGAGTATAAAAAATTAAAATAAATAGTACATTACTGGAGCGGCCAGCAATTGAGGCATTGATGGACGAACAAATGTGGGCCGAGGCGAAGCCGAGGCACACATACGTGAGTTCATCAATGTCTAGTTGTGGCCAAGACTTGTATAGTACTTTTCTCAAACAATGCGCGGAAATCAAAAACACAATTTTACTTTTTAAGTTCAATGACCAATAACGAACAATAATAATTTTTCACGCTCCATAATGTTCCTTTGTTTTTTTTTCAATAAACAGATTTCTATTTGCAAGCTAGTTCGAAATTTAAATAAAATCTTGTATTAGTTACCTCCTTGGTAGCCATACTTCGAAGTAAAAGGTCATTCCATTTTTAAATCACAGGATAGATATGAGTTTACATAGTAATTTATCTGGCCGCAAAATACGACAGATATGGATTTACATACAACTTTTGCCGGCCGCTGCCCGCATGTATCTGGCCAGTACAACAAGTTTAATTAATCTCGAAGAAGATTGTCAAAATAATGCTCACATTTCCAAGCATGTTTGAGAAAATATTATTTTTCTTTTGTCCCATGTTATTTGCCGACATATAATTTTCTACAGGTGAAAGAATTTTTAAAATTAGTTTTTGACATATCTTTCCGATTGTAGCGGTAATTTAGATTATGCTTTTAGTGTTACTTGTATGCAAGGGTGTGTATTAGTTACGAGTGCGGTAGTGTGTTGCGTGTTTGTGATACTCGCAGCAGGCCACGAGTGTGTGTGTGGGTGTATGCGTGTGTGTGCAGGTCGTGCGGAGGTGTGTGTGGCGTGTGTGTGCCGCGTGCTGTGCTCGCGCAGACCGCGAGTGTGTGTGTGGGTGTATGCGTGTGTGTGCAGGTCGTGCGGAGGCGCTGGGCGCGGTGTGCCGCGTGCTGTGCTCGCAGCAGGCCGCGAGTGTGTGTGTGTGGGTGTATGCGTGTGTGTGCAGGTCGTGCGGAGGCGCTGGGCGCGGTGTGCCGCGTGCTGTGCTCGCAGCAGACCGCGAGTGTGTGTGTGGGTGTATGCGTGTGTGTGCAGGTCGTGCGGAGGCGCTGGGCGCGGTGTGCCGCGTGCTGTGCTCGCAGCAGGCCGCGAGTGTGTGTGTGGGTGTATGCGTGTGTGTGCAGGTCGTGCGGAGGCGCTGGGCGCGGTGTGCCGCGTGCTGTGCTCGGAGCAGACCGCGAGTGTGTGTGTGGGTGTATGCGTGTGTGTGCAGGTCGTGCGGAGGCGCTGGGCGCGGTGTGCCGCGTGCTGTGCTCGCAGCAGGCCGCGAGTGTGTGTGTGGGTGTATGCGTGTGTGTGCAGGTCGTGCGGAGGCGCTGGGCGCGGTGTGCCGCGTGCTGTGCTCGCAGCAGGCCGCGAGTGTGTGTGTGGGTGTATGCGTGTGTGTGCAGGTCGTGCGGAGGCGCTGGGCGCGGTGTGCCGCGTGCTGTGCTCGCAGCAGGCCGCGAGTGTGTGTGTGGGTGTATGCGTGTGTGTGCAGGTCGTGCGGAGGCGCTGGGCGCGGTGTGCCGCGTGCTGTGCTCGCAGCAGGCCGCGAGTGTGTGTGTGGGTGTATGCGTGTGTGTGCAGGTCGTGCGGAGGCGCTGGGCGCCGTGTGCCGCGTGCTGTGCTCGAAGCAAAGCCGCGAGGAGGTGCTGGCGCCGTACCTGGCGCGCTGCCTGGCGGCGCTACGTCACGGCCTGCGGGATCCGCACGTCGCCGCCGCGGTCGTGCTCAACTCGCCTGATATATTCCGGTCCCACATCCATACACTCTTGATTAGAGCATTTAACACTTATTTTGTAACAATGCTAACTTTTTGTTATCATTTTTGCATAGACGAATAAAAAAAACAGTTTCTTGATAAGTATAAAGACTCAGTTCAGTTAGTATAAATTACAATAATTAAAGATTGTGCTTTTGACAAGAAATCAAAAGAAATACAAAAGAAAATAAAGCTAGTTACCTTGATTTAAAAATTAAACTACTGAACAGATTGTCATAAAATGTCTATAGTACCAATCTGTATTTCCTTTTAGATAAAAAAAAAAAAATTCTTTGGTGAGATGCATTGAGTTGAATTGAATAATTAGGAAAAATTTTAGCTTACTCTCAATAATTGACTAATATTAGTATATTGTTACTTGGAACCAATGAATCGTGTTATTCAAAACTCTTTTCTACGAGCTTCTATTTTCAAAAAGATATATCTATGATGCGTAGTATAAAATATTTTCACCATAGATTTCAATTATTTTTCAGTATTGTATTCTTTTGAACTCGAGTTAATTAAATTAAAATTATATTTTTATAGGTTGGATTTAGACGGTGTTCTAGTATTGGTACCGGATTACATAACGGCACTGGACCGAATCCTATCGGAGAGGGAGCCGAAATTGGAATGCGGCGGCATAGACAAACGCGAGCTGCGCAAGGCTGCCATTAGTGCGCTGTTGTCGCTTGTCGCTTTCCCCTACCACTACAGGGGGTTACCGGTCCCGGAGTTCCCCGGTTGTAATGAATAGTGAGTGATAATTTACTGTGAAACCTTCGGAATTATACTATTATGTATAACAAGATGATATGATCCTTGGAGCCGGATAGTATCAGTTGTCGGGCTCGAGGGATGATATCGTGTCGTGTTGTGTGTAACGTGTGGCGTGCGGTGCGCAGCGCGGGCATGACGCTGGGCGAGCTGACGCGCGGCAAGCTGTCGCTGATGTGCGTGGCGGCCGTGCAGGTGGAGTGGTCGGACGCGCTGGCCGTGCCGCTGCTGGCGGCGCTGTACCTGTGCGTGCGCCACCTGGCGCCGCCCGCGCCCGCCGCGCCGACCGCGCCGACCGCGCCGACCGCGCCGACCGCGCCGACTACAAAGGTACGCTCTCGCGCCCACCACCCCCTTCCTCTCCACTACTCTTCCCTCTATTTTCCTCGTCCTTCTAACATAAAACACCTACTTTTCCCTTCTGTCCTTTTTCAATATTGCCCATACCATCCTTGCCAGTAACTACAATGGTACACAAGCTTCTCCTCCCCTAACCATCCTGTCTCGCCTTTTCATCTTTTCCTCATATTTCGCGTCCTCATTCCTCCAATATAATTACCAATTCCTCTCTACGGGGAAGGGATTTTTAATAAAGAGGACGCTAGACCCAATGATCCACTTCCATAAGATCCTCTCTGGAAATCATTTTAATTAATATATGGCAAATACAACACGATAGACCAACTGTCCTGACTTCGTCATCACCTATCATCCCTCACTGGTACTCTGCCAGTGTATACACCGAAAACACTGTTGAGCTTACTATCTTATTATCGGTCTTTGAAAAAATAATCAAGCCTCTCCTCCAATTCTCGGTCTCGTCCCTCCCACCTAAACATCAACTCCTCCATCACTCCTCTCCTTCGCTCTAAACCCCTAAACACTTGTATATGAGCGTCCATATTACAAACATGTTATTCAATTGTACATTACACACAAAGTCATCAGCTTTGTAAAAGTCGAAGCGACACTATCGGCTCCGCAAAGCTGCACGCTAACACATTCTCGGCAATACATGCTAAATTTATTTTGCTATTTTACACATATTAATATTCCCACAATATACTTGTACCACCATCACTATAATAATAATAATAAATAAATTTTCACCATAATAGATAATGTTCTTAAAAAAGTTTTTTTTTTTATTCAATATCTAATCAAGCATACATTTTACCAGTACTTATAGGTCTCTTTTGGTTGTTTTGGAAGTCATTAAAATTAATTTGTGATACGATGTCAAACTGATATATTTTTATTATTCATTTTCTTTGTGACAAAGAAAAAATGTTATTAAATATTTTAATTTTAATATTTATTAATATAATAAATATTTATAAATAATTATAATTGTTATTTTAATATTTTTAAACGGTATCTATTGTGTAATTTTAACATCAAGTTTGTGTTTAGTTCGGCTCAGAAATTTCGGTTTCAAATATTTCATGGTAGGCCCTCTGTTTTCCCATTCTCAGCTGTAGGTGGGAAGCAAAATCTTCATCAGTGCCACTAGACAATATCATTTGAGCTTATTTCCAAATTCGATTACGCTACTGCACTAAGAATGAGAACACAAGATTTGATGTCTTGTTAGTTAGTACAAGACAGCAAATCTTGTGTTCTCATTCCCAGTAAAATAGTTAATGGGGAGAGATGAAAACATTATTATATCTGCTAGCTCCACACACGAAACGAAGGTCAAAATATGAAACCATAAGCAGCGGTCGTATACAATAATAAATTTTAACACTTTAGTACCCCGTCATTGTATTGTACTTAGTAAATAATTGAAAACATTGAGACGAGTCGGGTAAAAAAGTGTCTATATTGTTGTATATGGTTGGACGTTTTAGCGCGGTCGGATAGCGGCAGTGCGACGGGCAGCGACGGCCAATCCTCGCTGGAGGACTTTGCCGCCGACGTTAGAGAACTAGACCCGTCCTCACCTGTTTTCGGTAATTTACACTTTTATTTGCATGCTCATAAAGACGGTATTTGATAAACTGCACTACGCTCGCAAAGGAAATCTTGTATACAGCTATGAGGCCGCGTGCAGTATTTTTTTTTTATCAAGTACTGTCCTACAATGTAACATACTGTGAGTACATATTTGTGTGAGTTGCAGTGTGTCCGCTTTTCGTATTTTTTTTTTTTTGTTGTTCTTGCCACTGCTTGCTAGTTTATGTTATTCATTGAATTGAATTGAATTGGTAATATAAAATAGTTTTTTTTTATTGATTGATTAATGATAAAGTATTACTTCTGATACTATGTTGGTATTATTACATTACATGTTATATTGTGACAAAAAGTGGAATGAACTAGATGTCCTTTATACAGGTTAATATATGACCTAAAAAGGACTATAGTAAACATATCGGAAGTCGTAACAATTTATCATGTACCTATGCTTAATATAAACAGTGTTCATATGTAACCCATTTATGGCGTAAATTTACTGGGTACAGAGGAATAACACCTGAGTCCTCAGGAATGGCAACGCATGGGGGGTATCATGGGCGAAACAGTATACTCTGTTATGTCCATGGTACTGTTCATGTCTATAGGCGACGGTTACCACTTTCCATTAGGTGGACCGTCAGCTTGTTTGCCATTCTAAGTTGTATAAAAAAAAATATGTAAATAAATTATTATTACTATTGAAATTATAAAGTATTTTTCTATTTTGCATTTTTCTAATAATTTTTATATATGACTGCGCATTATAGGTATCTCGCGTCGTGTGGATCGTAAAATTTCAAATACATTGCGCGGCGTCAAAACTAAGAATCGGTAATTATACGGCTGTGATGCATTTCCGGTGGGAAAATAATCTGCCTTCTGATTCAGATCTGGATTAGCTGTGTTCGTTTAGCCAACTTGTCTTTTCCACCCTGTATAATTATAAAGTAATTGAAATAGATGGGTTGTGCAGTAAGTTGTTATGACGTGGCGCGTGCGCAGGCGCAGCGCTGGTGGTGCGCGCGACGTACCTGGTGTGCCACCGGCTGATATCGTCGTGGAAGGGCGACCTGCAGGTGTCGCTCGCCGCGCTCGAGCTGCTCTCCGGCCTCGCCGAGCTGCACTCCGCCAAGCCTGGTATTTTTTTTTATAAATAATAATGAAATGGTAGCCCCACCTACGTTATCGTTATATACCGGCAGGGCACCAGTGAAGGATGATAGGTGAGAATGAAGCTGGTCAATTAGCCCATCGTGACGAATTCAATAAGAATTGTTCACGATGATTTCCAGGGGGAACTACGTGGAGGTCAACCGAATAAGGCATATTGCTAGCAATGGGGCTGTCAAACTCCATTGCTAACAAACCTCCCCCCCCCCCCCCCCCCCCCCAGCCTGGTATTGTAGTACACTAGCCACCAACTTCAACTCTAATTGTATATACATACAGTCCTATTTAAATAACAGTGAAACCCACGTTAAATTCTATTACGTAGTTTAAAAGAAGTAACTTTGTAAGAAACAGATTGACCCGGATAGCGACTTTATATTCTTTAGTCTCTCGTTACTCTGCCCTTTAGAATTACAATTCATTTATTTGCTGGAACATGCATTTTTATTCTAGCAAATAAATAAATTTTTAATAAATAATTGAATTATTACATGGTGTGGATGTCTTTCATAACAGGTTACTAAAACCATAGAAAATAAAAACGTAATTGAAGTCACAAAAGTTTAATTGGATCCGTTATTCAGCAACATTTTCGTAAGAACATATCAATTATGATTGTTAGATTGGCATCGACTTCCAATATTTCACTATATATATATATATATATATATATATATTTTTTTTTTTTAATTGCATGCATTCAGAATTTGTCATTGGTAAGTTTTGCGCGTATAATTTTAATTAGACCGCAAATGTCTTATTATTTAATTAGATGGAGTGTTATTTGCTACGACAAATTATAAATGAAACTATTAATTTGATTCTATATAACCATAAAAATATTGTTATTTCATAATATTTGAATTTTTCATACAATAAAACTGGCAAATTGGTACAATCCGTCTGATGGTAAACGATCACTGTGTCCTAGGGATACCCGCTACCCGCAACATTAGAACTCTAACTTGTGTGTTGCCTGTTATTGATTAGTACATGTTGATATTGGAGCTTGGTATTAATTGATAGTTTCAAGATATCTATGGATCTACTAGATTAAAAAAACAATTATTTATGGGTAATCTAAACCAGCATTTTATGTGCTAGGTCGCTTTACCACCACTATCTTAACTTCCTTTGTTTATTATTTAGTATATAAGATAATTATTATCTGTTAATACTGTCACTCGTGAGTCAGTTATTGTGTGGTGTAGTGGTTAACACTGTATGGTCCTGGCATAGAATGGGCCACCCTTCTCTTTTCCGGAAGTGTCGTAAGAGACGACTGAGGGCTGAGGGAACTTAATGGGCTAGCGAACTACCGATGGGTCAGCAGCGTCCCTCTTAAAACATAACCAATGGCTAACTGCGGTTGCCAACTTGCTGGCAATACTGGGGAGCCGTTCCCGTCGTATGTGCACGGGTGTGTACCGTGTATCGTGCGTAGAGGCTGGCGAGCGCGCGCGCGCGGTGCGCTGGGTGTGCGAGTACATCGGCGTGCAGTGCGGCCGGCCGCCGCAGGCGCACTCGCGCGACCTGCACTCGTGCGTGGTGGCGGCCTACGGCTGCCTGGCCGCCTGGCTGTGCCCCGCGCTGCTGGCCGACGCCGCCTGCCTCGCCGCGCTGCTCGACGTCGTCGAGCTCGGCCTCTCGGGCGCCAAGAGCCAGCCCGGTGCGTGCCGCTCTATCTCGACCTCCCTTGCTACTCCATCTCAAACTTACCATGAAGCAGTTATCTTTGCATGGCTGTGTTTCGGTTTGAAGGGTGAAATATGGCGTGAATTTACTGGGTACAGAGGAATAACATCTGAGTACTCAGGAATGATAATGCATGGGGTGTTTCATGGGCGAAACAGTATCTACTCTGTTATGTCCATAGTACTGTTCATGTCTATAGGCGACGGTTATCACTTTCAATCAGGTGAGCCGTCAGCTTGTTTGCCATTCTAAGTCTAATTCATCTCAAACTCAAAATCGTCCGCCATGCCTACCCATTTGTAACAACCGTAACATATCCACCACGTCTCTTTTAAATATCCTAAATGTTCAATCAATTGCTGAATGAAATAATAGTATCTATTAAAACTTTTTAAAATTATGTTTGAATTGTATATAATGTTTTATTGCACTATACAGGAAAACCAGGGGAGCAACCGAAAATGAAAGACGAGAAAGAACTAAAGCCGGTATCTATGAGGGTCCGAGATGCCGCCGAGTCGTTACTTATGCTAATTTTGGAACAGGTAAAATTACATTTGTTTTTGTGTAACAATACCTAATGTAATGTATAATTATATAGTGTAATCACTACATAGTATAAAACAAAGTCGCTTTCGCTGTCTGTCCGTCCCTATGTATGCTTAAATCTTTGAAACTACACAACGGATTTTGAAACGTTTTTTTTTAATAGATAGAGTGATTCAAGAAGAAGGTTTATATGTATAATACATGCATAATATTGTAGAGAAACACTGGTAAATTAAGAGGTTTCTAATGTGATGTCGTAAATAAACACATTTTTTGCGCTTACATTGTAAACGTTGGCTGAACCCCACGAGATAAATCAAAATAATGTACTACAGTATTATACACCTTAAAAAGGTCAACAAAAAAGTCCGCGATGATATATGTGTATCTCTTAAGGATAATCCACAATAACCATTTTTTATCCTTTACATTTTACGGGAAAAAATGGCTTATTTACAAAGTGATTTTAAGCAATACAGCATTAATTTGTATCCAATTAATTAATTAATCTTTATTACATAGCCCATTTACTCGCACTCGCGAGTTGAGTCGATTTGGTTGCAAATCGACTCAACCCTTGACGGTGCACATATGCTTTGATTTTACTAAAACGACAAATGTCAGTTATAAAAAAAGATATGGCATTCGAAAGCTTAAGATGTCAGCTTTAATTATATATTATATCATTATCATTGAAATTCATCAATTATTTCTTTAGTAAATGATGTCTGAACGCAAGACTAGACAAAATGGGAATTTAGGAAAAGGGCCTAGGTCCCGTATATTGGAAATTAAACAAAAAATTATAAAAATAAAAGACCTCTTCAAGAAACTGCCGAGTGATTCGTGCCGTGTGACAGCGGGCATTGTCGTGCATTAACACGAAGTCTTCGCCGACAAACCTTGCGTAGGGCACAACATGATCGAGTAGGATGTCGGTGATATACCGATCAGCTGTTAGCCCGCCTCCTCGGCCGCCCCCAGGTACGAAAACAAGCTCAGTTTTCTCTCTAAGGAAACCAGCCCACATCATGCAGGAACCGCCATACGCCACTGTTTCAGCAAAACAGCATTGGGAAAATCGTTCCCGGACGCCTGTAAACTCGGCCTTTCCTGTCATTGCCATGCAGACACATTCTGCACTCATCAGTAAACAGTACCGACCGCCAATGCGCAACGCTCCAATTGAGATGCTCTCGAGCAAATTGGCGCGCTTGTCGGTAGCCTGCAGTTAATTTGGGGCCCGTCGTAGGTCTTTTTGGCGTCACATTGGCTTCCTTCAAGCGTCTTCTCACCGTCCATTCGCTTACAGCCACCCCTCGTATACGTCTCAGTTCCTGCTGCACATCAACACCCGTAAGGTGTCGATTGCGCAGCGAGGTTGAGACAATGACGCGGTCGTTTCTCTCTGAAGTGCATCGGTGGCGGATCGTTCTTGGTCTCCGATTAAAGTCACCAGTCTTTTGAAACCGTTTGTATATTCGGGATACAGCAGACTGGCTCAAGTGGAGCTGGGCAGCGACTGCTCGCTACCTTAACTCTTGTTGCAACAAGGCAACAACTTGTTGCAACAAGAGTTAAGCTTCTTCTGGTGTGGTATCCATGGTTTCACGAAAACAAGTAATGCAATTTACTGATATGTGTACCGGTCAACTTGTGATAAACAACTGATAAGGCAAACCGGGTGTGGGCGGATTTTATAGCGGGAGCAGGTAGCGCAACTCGTGGATACCTTATGGAGCAAATTAATGCATATGTGCGCCGTCAAGGGTTGAATCGATTTGCTTGTTCGCGAGTGTGGATCAATATACCCCTTTACAGCATGTAATTTAAATGATTATTTCCGAAGATATTACAGATTTAAAATGCAGGGACATAGCGGTGCTTCATTGCACCCGTGCGAAGCCTGGGCGGATCGCTAGTTTCTATAATAAACTGTTGGTCCGCAGACGGGCACAAGTGGTAGTGGTGGAGGCGAGGGGTGGTGCCGGCTGGACGAGCGGTGGCTGGCGGCTCTGGGGCACGGCCGCCTGCGGCACTACGTGGCCGACGGTGGCGTGCTGCTGTCGCTGCTCGAGGAGCCGCTCGCCAACAGCCAGGAGCCGCAGCCCACACTCATCGGTACGTGCACAACTACGCTTCTACATAATCACCTATAGATAGCGCTAGGGGACTTACCCTCTCGCCCCCCGTGGCTATACATGATTAGACTTACGCCACTTATGTTTCGCACAGTGATCATCCGCTGCGGGTGGGGCCGGTACGCGTGGTCGCTGAGCAGCCGCGGCGCGGCGCGGTGTGCGGGCCGCGGCGGCGGCGCGGCGTGCGCGCGCCCCGTCGACATGCTGAGCAGCCCGCCTGCGCCGTGTGAGTACACCTGCAGCCGCCCCGGCGACATGCTGGAGCCGGCCCCGCGCCCGCAGCCCGCCTGACTGGAGCTCAGCCGCGCCACCTCAGCCCGCTTGCGCCGTGTGAGTACACCTGCAGCCGCCCCGGCGACATGCTGGAGCCGGCCCCGCGCCCGCAGCCCGCCTGCCTGCCCCTGCCGCCCGCGCCCGCGCCCGCGCCCGCCTGCGCCGTGTGAGTACACCTGCAGCCGCCCCGGCGTGCTGGAGCCGGCCCCGCGCCCGCAGCCCGCCTGCCTGCCCCTGCCGCCCGCGCCCGCGCCCGCCTGCGCCGTGCGCGCGCCCCCGCGCGCCGCAGCCCGCCCTCGAGTACACCTGCAGCCGCCCCGGCGACATGCTGGAGCCGGCCCCGCGCCCGCAGCCCGCCTGCCTGCCCCTGCCGCCCGCGCCCGCGCCCGCCTGCGCCGTGTGAGTACACCTGCAGCCGCCCCGGCGACATGCTGGAGCCGGCCCCGCGCCCGCAGCCCGCCTGCCTGCCCCAGCCGAGCCGCCCGCGCCCGCCTGCGCCGTGTGAGTACACCTGCAGCCGCCCCGGCGACATGCTGGAGCCGGCCCCGCGCCCGCAGCCCGCCTGCCTGCCCCTGCCGCCCGCCGCGCCCGCGCCCGCCTGCGCCGTGTGAGTACACCTGCAGCCGCCCCGGCGACATGCTGGAGCCGGCCCCGCGCCCGCAGCCCGCCTGCCTGCCCCGCGCCCGCAGCCCGCCGCCCGCGCCCGCGCCCGAGCTGCGCCGTGTGAGTACACCTGCAGCCGCCCCGGCGACATGCTGGAGCCGGCCCCGCGCCCGCAGCCCGCCTGCCTGCCCCTGCCGCCCGCGCCCGCCCGCCCGCCTGCGCCGTGTGAGTACACCTGCAGCCGCCCCGGCGACATGCTGGAGCCGGCCCCGCGCCCGCAGCCCGCCTGCCTGCCCCTGCCGCCCGCGCCCGCGCCCGCCTGCGCCGTGTGAGTACACCTGCAGCCGCCCCGGCGACATGCTGGAGCCGGCCCCGCGCCCGCAGCCCGCCTGCCTGCCCCTGCCGCCCGCGCCCGCGCCCGCCTGCGCCGTGTGAGTACACCTGCAGCCGCCCCGGCGACATGCTGGAGCCGGCCCCGCGCCCGCAGCCCGCCTGCCTGCCCCTGCCGCCCTCGCCCGCGCCCGCGCCCGCCTGCGCCGTGTGAGTACACCTGCAGCCGCCCCGCGCCCGCGCCCGCCTGCGCCGTGTGAGTACCACCTGACATGCTGGAGCACCTGCCCCTGCCGCCCGCAGCCGCCCCGCGCCGGCCCCGCGCCCGCAGCCCGCCTGCCTGCCCCTGCCGCCCGCGCCCGCGCCCGCCTGCGCCGTGTGAGTACACCTGCAGCCGCCCCGGCGACATGCTGGAGCCGGCCCCGCGCCCGCAGCCCGCCTGCCTGCCCCTGCCGCCCGCGCCCGCGCCCGCCTGCGCCGTGTGAGTACACCTGCAGCCGCCCCGGCGACATGCTGGAGCCGGCCCCGCGCCCGCAGCCCGCCCGCCTGCCCCTCGCGCCCGCGCCCGCCTGCGCCGTGTGAGTACACCTGCAGCCGCCCCGGCGACATGCTCCGCCCGCGCCCGCGCCCGCCTGCGCCGTGTGAGTACACCTGCAGCCGCCCCGGCGACATGCTGGAGCCGGCCCCGCGCCCGCAGCCCGCCTGCCTGCCCCTGCCGCCCGCGCCCGCGCCCGCCTGCGCCGTGTGAGTACACCTGCAGCCGCCCCGGCGACATGCTGGAGCCGGCCCCGCGCCCGCAGCCCGCCTGCCTGCCCCTGCCGCCCGCGCCCGCGCCCGCCTGCGCCGTGTGAGTACACCTGCAGCCGCCCCGGCGACATGCTGGAGCCGGCCCGCGCGCCCCGCAGCCGCCCCGCCTGCCTGCCCCCCCTGCCGCCCGCGCCCGCGCCCGCCTGCGCCGTGTGAGTACACCTGCAGCCGCCCCGGCGACATGCTGGAGCCGGCCCCGCGCCCGCAGCCCGCCTGCCTGCCCCTGCCGCCCGCGCCCGCGCCCGCGCCCGCCTGCGCCGTGTGAGTACACCTGCAGCCGCCCCGGCGACATGCTGGAGCCGGCCCCGCGCCCGCAGCCCGCCTGCCTGCCCCTGCCGCCCGCGCCCGCGCCCGCCTGCGCCGTGTGAGTACACCTGCAGCCGCCCCGGCGACATGCTGGAGCCGGCCCCGCGCCCGCAGCCCGCCTGCCTGCCCCTGCCGCCCGCGCCCGCGCCCGCCTGCGCCGTGCCCGCGCCGCGCCCGCGCCCCGCCTGCGCCGTGTGCGCCGCCCCGGCGACATACACCTGCAGCCGCCCCGGCGACATGCTGGAGCCGGCCCCGCGCCCGCAGCCCGCCTGCCTGCCCCTGCCGCCCGCGCCCCCGCGCCCGCCTGCGCCGTGTGAGTACACCTGCAGCCGCCCCGGCGACATGCTGGAGCCGGCCCCGCGCCCGCAGCCCGCCTGCCTGCCCCTGCCGCCCGCGCCCGCGCCCGCCTGCGCCGTGTGAGTACACCTGCAGCCGCCCCGGCGACATGCTGGAGCCGGCCCCGCGCCCGCAGCCCGCCTGCCTGCCCCTGCCGCCCGCGCCCGCGCCCGCCTGCGCCGTGTGAGTACACCTGCAGCCGCCCCGGCGACATGCTGGAGCCGGCCCCGCGCCCGCAGCCCGCCTGCCTGCCCCTGCCGCCCGCGCCCGCGCCCGCCTGCGCCGTGTGAGTACACCTGCAGCCGCCCCATATGCCACGACGTGTGCCCATATGCCACGTGTTAGCTACGATCTTCAACTAAGGTACAAACCGCGGTCGTCAGATGCATCATGTGTCAAATTCGACCTTAAGCTGTCACTTGTGACTTACTTGTCAGGTCTAACACTTTGGAAAAATACAACAAAACAGTCTTGAATATTGATATTTTTGTTCTTACAGAGATTCTGCGTTTCCAACATTAGAGTCAGTGTTGAAGCAGCTCAACGACCCTGAGGCGCCACTTTTGTTCAAGCTTTTAGAGCAGCAAGCTGCTATCGAGAAACGCGTGAGAGAGAGCGAAGATAATGTTGTAAGACAAGTTTTCATTTATATATGTACTTTTACTGTAAAAACGCAACATAACTCAAGTTGGATAATTTTTCTTGTATCTAAATATTAGATTTATATTTACGCTGTTAACTTTCTTAATTATACAATATTATCATACCTACTTGTACAACAATTAGTCCATTAACCTAAGGTTGTCTTAAAAATATTGCTTTCGACAATAAGACCGCCTTACTATACTTATACACCAGTATCGTTACATTTATTAATTGTCTTACTTATGTATTCCTTATATTGTATAATACAAATAAAGTATATTCATTCATTCATTCATTAGTATAGATTTAATGAGTGTTTACTTTTATTACCTTATGTTTAATGTTATATAGGTACCCGAAGAATACGTTCCGCCGGAACCAGTGACTGAGTTCCAAACGGCGAGATTGTTTCTCTCTCATTTTGGTTACTTAAACATCGGTGGTGACAAGAAGGTAATTAATATATAGGTATTTGTAAGAAATAAAGATGTTTATGTGCAAATATAGCTAGGCATTTTTAAAAATGTTCATGCAATTAGCGTCATATTTCTGAATAAAAGTGTTGCCATATTAGGGCAATCTTTGGTCACTGATCATTCGTGATGGAACGCTAATATAGTGTGCTAATCCCGATTACACTGTGCAGGAAAATGGTTATTATGTCGATGGAATGCGTACCCTTCGTCAGTTCGGTCGGTGGTCTGCGAATAAGTAACTGACGAATGATCGGCAGCGTTGCATTTTACTTTTTTTTTTATGTAACACACCTCTGTGTATTTATGCCACAGAAGATACGCCGAGGGTGGCATTTGTCGAAGATGGAAACAGTACTGAATGCATTGAGTAGTAATCACAGTTGTACAGTCGAGATTTCAGACGTGGCCGTCTGTATCTCGGTAGTAGGTATTGTTAAGGCGCAGTGGGTGCGCGCGTGTGTAACCGGCGGCGGCGCGTGCGCAGGGCGGGCCGCCGCGGCTGGTGGCGCTGCGCGGCGCGGCGCCGGGGTTCGCGGGCGCGCTGCGGCGGCTGGACGCCACGGGCGCGCGCGCCGCGCTCACCGTGCACGTGTTCTGCGCGCGCGCCGGCCGCGCCTGCGCGCCGCGCATGCTGGCCGACGTGCGCCGCGCGCGCGGCCTGCCGCCCGCCTTCCTGCGCATGCTGCGCGGGTACGTACTCCGCTAGCTGCTGGCTCGTCTCGCCGTCGCGACCACGCCACTGGCGCGCGCGCCGCTTATTGCGTGCGCATCGTCCGTTTATTTTATTTTTTTAAAGATTTCCGTCGCCCCCGTAGTAGTTAGTCCGTTCGCTGTGCAGGCTGGGCTCGCCGGTGCGCGTGCGCGGGCACGGCGGCTGGGCGGGGCACGCGGCGCGCAGCTACGACGCGCAGCCGCCCGACGCGCCGCGCGCCTGCCGCACGCCGCCCGAGCCCGGCTCGCCCGCCATCTACGACGGCATCGACCAGGTATGGGCCCAGTACCTACTTTGTCTAATATACCTCACGCCCCATTCTTGTTATACCTTCTGTAACTTAAATATGACTGAAATGGGGAGGGAATTGGTAGCACCTCACCTACCAAACATCGTTCGTTGTTACTCTGCCAACGTATATGTGCAGGCGCAGTCGGAATTACCATTTCATTTTCAACTATTTAAAAACCTGCCATTCGAAAAGAACGCACTTTGGTTACTATATGTCTTCATATTACGTGTATACAGACATCATTTGTATATATAAGAAAAATAAATCACACAACTATTAAACAGCCATATCGGCAGTCAAGTTACTTAATAATGAACTAAAACGACGATCACGCTAAAAGAGAATTTTTTTAATTCTGATTTTTTAAATAAAAGCTGATGTGTCCCAGGGATTAATTCTCGGTCCTCTACTATAATTACTATCTTTTGACGTATCAATTTACATTTTTACATTAGTTACGCCGATGTTATAGTTATTTCTGTCATAGATATTTATGCTATGGTCTTTTTGAACGAATATCATATCACTTGGCCAGATACTATACTGGGCGGACGCAACGAATGAGATCGCGTTCATAGTGCCGTCAGCGGAGGAGACCGACACCGACGACAGGCAGAACGACAGCATCAAATCAGACGTCGATGGATCGTGCATCTCTGTCAGGTAATATAATAGCATATTTAACTTTATTTAGCTAGACCTCCTGTCATAAAGTTCTTGAATAGAAAAAGAAGTAATACAGCCTAGACTTTCTTAACACATGACGCCACTATCCTCATAAGAATGGTAGTGAGATTTAATTTATTTTTACTAGGAGTTCGGTAAGCGGTGGCGATGCGGGCGGCGGAGGTTCGTGCTGGGACGTGTCAGGTGGCAGCTCAGGCGCTGCGTCTTACGAGCGTGCCGCTGCCGAGCCGCTCGGCGACAAGGGTCGTGCACTCTCGCTCGAGCTCGACAAGCAGAGTTCCTCGCTCAGCGGTATGGCGCGCGTTACTGTTTTATTGAAATTGTTCTGTTTCACTGAACATTTTATATCTCATAATGGACTTAATAATCATCCACAAATACACCCTAAATATTGATCCTTCGAGCCGGATATTGCTGTGTAACTACGGTTAATAATTTAATAAATTTGCAGGCAGTGGAAGGCGCAATAGAGATTTTACGACAAAAATACTCATCATCTGGCTAGAGGACTTCGAGGATCACCTAAATTTGCCTATAGGTACTTGAAAATATATTTACGAATGATAATTACAATTTATAATATTGATGTTGATGTACGTGTGCGTGGCGGTGGCAGACGAGCTGCTGCGCAAGTGCGAGACGGGCGTGCCGTGGCGGCGACACGAGGTGTGCGTGGTGTGCGTGAGCGCGCAGCGCAGCGGGCTGGTGCGCGTGCGCACGTGGCGCGCGGCGTGCGGCGCGCTGCCCGACGGCGCGCTGCTGGCGCCGCGCCTGCTGCCCCACTGCCTGCGCCGCGCCGCGCTCCACGCCGCGCGCCGCGACCGCCTCAACACTGACCTGTGAGTACAGCCGCCCCCGCCCACTGTAGGCGGCACGAGGTGGCGTGGTGCGTGAGCGCGCAGCGCGCAGCGCGCGGCGTGCGGCGCGCTGCCCGACGGCGCGCTGCTGGCGCCGCGCCTGCTGCCCCACTGCGCGCCGCGCCGCGCTGCGCGCGCCGCGACCGCCTCAACGTGGCGCGCGGGCGGCACGAGGTGCGTGGTGTGCGTGAGCGCGCAGCGCAGCGGGCTGGTGCGCGTGCGCACGTGGCGCGCGGCGTGCGGCGCGCTGCCCGACGGCGCGCTGCTGGCGCCGCGCCTGCTGCCCCACTGCCTGCGCCGCGCCGCGCTCCACGCCGCGCGCCGCGACCGCCTCAACACCGACCTGTGAGTACAGCCGCCCACTGTAGGCGGCACGAGGTGTGCGTGGTGTGCCTCAACACCGACCTGCGAGTACAGCCGCCCCCGCACCACACCGCCGCCCCCGCCCACTGTAGCGTCTCTTGTGCAGGTACCAGCCGCCCCACGTGCGCCGGCGACACCTCATACAGGAGCTGGCGCAGAACTACAAGATGGACCTCACCGAGCCGGAGCTGCTCGAGTCGCTGTTCAAGCCGCCACTATAAATTTACATTTTACATTTTAAATAAATCGTACTTAATATTTAACATGGAGTGCTTAATTATATCTTAGTTGAAAATAAATTATTTAAAGTATTAAAATTATTATCTAATTTTAAGACTGATATTAATTTTTATTAATAAATTATATTGCGACATTCCTGTAAGTTATTATTAAATATAAGAAAAATTTTAACACCATATTTTATTTACTAAATGTAATGTTACGAGTATAATCTTAAATAAAATGTAATAAATTAAAAAAAGTTATAAAAGCTGTTTTATTTAATTATTTATAATAGGAAAACTATTGCTAATTTAAAAATATTATGTTAAAAACTTATATTCATTTTTTATCCGAAGTCTGTATACATATCTACGAGTACGTAACAGGTAATTATTGAACTCACTGAAATTAATTTAAAAATAGCGCTGAAATCTGAAAACTATATATTTTCAATGATAGATTAATACAAAATTTTAACTCTGTTATGTCCATGGTACTGCTCATGTTTATAGGCGACGGTTACCACTTTCCATCAGGTGGGCCGTCAGCTTGTTTGTCATTCTAAGTTGTATAAAAATAAAAAAAAAAAACACTGCTTACCTCAAACAAATAACCCAAAAAATATATTTTTTCATTTATTTCAGTTATTATGTAAATGATTTTAAAATTATAAAACCTAACATTTAAAGAACCAAGGAAAAAAGACTCAAGGTTTTATTCCAATCAAGTATAATCTTATGTCAATAGCCACGATGAATCTGATTAAAAATTACATTTGTTCTAATTTCAAATTTTTATGACATAAATTTCGATCAGTTTGAAAATGTTGATTAAAAAAATTTACAATAGAAACGGTTTTGTCATTGTATTTTTGTAGGCTTATTATATTTTTACATTTTCATTCTGGTACTTTATTTCTGTTTGAAGTTAACTTGGGAAAAATCTATGTGACAGCGGACATGTTGATTAGTCGAGTTTTGGAGGACGGAGGGGCGGGCGAGGGTTGTAAAATTTATGAGGAAGTGGATACCATGCATGAGTATCAGACAGCGAGTGAACTGTTCGACATCATGGCAAGGAATCAAACGTTTGATTCTAATGGTAACAGTGATTATTAATCATAATCGTACTTTAGTTATAGGTAGTTTATTTAGTAGTTAGATGTTTTTTTTTATAGGTGATAATGAAATAGTAACCCCACACGCGCTATCGGTATACACCGGCGGGGTACCAGTGAAGGATGATAGATGAGGATGAAACAGGTCAGTTAGCCCATCGTGACGCATTCAACGAAAATTGTTCACGATGTTTTCCAGAGGGAACCACGTGGAGGTTGACCTGATAGGGCATATTGCTAGCAATGGGGCTGTCATACTCCATTGCTAACAATCCCTTCCCCCCAGTAGTTAGATGTTAAGTACTAGATAAAACCTTGAGTGCAAGAATTGCAGATCTTTATGGGCGATTTCGTATATTTTATGGGTTAACATAGTTATATAACGATGTATGTTTATATAAAAAAAATTGATGTAATTTTTTTATTAACATCCCCATTCTTGCAATCAAGATAACATTAGCTACATGAATAGGATTTTTTACAGTATAATAGAACAATAAAAGTTCTTCATCCATACCATTTTAATTTTCAGAGAATGAAGCTCTTACTACGAGCGAATTGATTATTTTATACGAAAACATTGATATAGGAACGAAACTTATAAACACTGCAAATGATTTAAAACGTCCGAATCGTCACGTAGAGACTATTGTTCACAATGAAGACCCTGACTCGGATGGTTCGGATCTCAATGAAATGTGCAGCAAGGAAGACTTTAATGATGTATTTCTAATTAATAAAGAGAGATTAGACTTATTAAATAGTACACCGTCTTTACAGAACACTCTGTGTCAAAAAATAGGGGATTTACAAATGCAATCGTCTGATTTAAATACTGAATACGATAGACACTTTCTATTTAAGGACCCTTATGTAAAAGAACAACTCAAAAGCTTAAATGTGATACCCAATTTGAAAGAAATTGACGATACAGTATTCCCAGGGTCATTATTGAACTATATTTGTTGCAAACGCTTAGAGGATGATTATAATTTTTACATGGATAACATTATACGATATGTAAAGCATACTATAGATCATTTGAAAAGAATTAGCAACGGCGATTATCTTACGGAGAAAGTAAAACGGAAATGGAGAGAAGTCGAAAGAAATGATGCAGACAGTCATGAAAATAATAAAAAAGTTCTAGCCACATCGACGAGTATACCTCTTCATGTCGAACGGAAAATTACTGGGTCTAAGTCCACTTGGGATGAAATAGTCCATTCTGAAATCGACGTTAGATCATTGTCCAAAATATTAGAGAAAAAGATTGTAGTGGAAATTCCAAAAATTATACGTGGAGCGTTCACTTTATTTAGTGAATGTCGTGCCGATAATTTGATAATTAGTTGTAAGCAAGAAAAGAAAAGCGACGTGCCCAAAAATCAAGAAGGATCACGAATTGATGTGCTTTTGCAACTGAAGCGATCAGATTCTGGGCACGTTATAAGCAACATTAATTCTATTATGATTTTGCAGGCAGCGTCTGCACCTGTGCCTGTATTGCAAAACGGTTAATTGATATATGTTTTACTTTATAAATATAAATATATGAAAATTAGAAATTATAAATGAGTTTTATATTTCAGAACCTGCATCACTAGAAGCATTAGTAATACTAAACCCAAAAGATCATGTGGAAACTAAAGAGAATGCCAAAAATTGTAAGGATAAACTAAAAATTATTGAATTAAACGAAGATGTGGAAAAAAGCACTTTTGTAGAAAATCTTGTCAATAATCAAGAAAATATAAATTGTGATTCAAGTGAGGATACTAATCGATATACTATTAGTGAGAACGATTACAGTACATCTTCAAAAATTGGTAGTAACCGGGAATCTAGCGAGTCTAGTATAGCTCTGAGAGAAATATTGGATAAAAAAGCACCTAATTCATGTATGCATGACATAACTCCTGATGAACTACATCTTACAATGCAAAAACTCAGTATACAATCTTCTTTGCCCGAGGAAATCGGAGAAGACATACAAAATCCATTAAATAAGAAAAAATCACCCACAAGAGTCAGAATAAAATCTCCATATGAAAACCAGTTATACATAATAGAAGAGAAAAAAAGAAAGAGACTTCTGGAAATAAGAGAGAGACGCGAAAGAAAGAAAATGGCGCTCAGTGAAAACTGTAAGATCACTAAACACAAGTACGGCAAAGGACCTATAATGCCCCAACCATCGAATTCTGTCACTAAGTTATCTATAACGAATAAATCATTTTATAATTCTATTTATGGAGAAACCATACACTTAGATAATAAAGTCAAGTTAGAAGCTCGTAGAGGAAAGAAGAAGCCTATATTTCATCTGGAGGAATCCGAATCAGAAACTGAGACTACAATTATAACGCCGGATGAAAATAGTAAAAAGTATGTTAATAGAAGTTACTTAGATGATAAAATGACGGAAATGACGTATATGCAGATGAAACGGCATGACGGAGTGAAAGAAATATCTTCGACTTCTACATCTGCTGTATCCAATGATTTTGTTAATAATCTGTCTATACTTTCGCAATTAATCGTACCATCAGCTTCTGATTTTAATAACGAAGAAAAACCAGCCGAACAGTGTAATGAGTACAAACCAGATAGGTATTTTAAATTATATTTATTGTCATTACATTTACATTGTATTATTATGCATATAATAATTCCTTATCTGTTCCCTTCATACTCCTCTAATCTAAAACGAATGTTCTTTAAATATATAATATTATGTTTTATTATTTTATGTATTGTATTTTATGATATATATATATATATATATATATATATATATATATATATATATATATATATATATATATATATATATATATATATATATATATATACGTTACGTTAACCTAATATATATATGTCATTATAAAAATATGTCATTTCAGAATAAACAGTCGTCATAGCGTCAATATTAAAGAGGATTCTAAAATACATTCAACTTCCTTGCAAAGTAACGTAAGTATGGTCCCTGTAAATACATCCAAAGATAATGAATATGAAAATAAAAATGATTGCAAAAGAGTAAACACGTCTGTAGAATGCAGAAAAAGTATTATAAAATTATATGATCTTATGAACAACCTTCGAAAATTAGAAACAGTTGGAAAAAGTACAACTATTAGTAATTCGCCTGTTGAAGAAGAAAAAAATAATATTGTAACACAAGGTAGCTCTATTTTTCAAGGTAGTGATAGTGGTACAAGTGTTAAGCATCGTTTGACATCATCTAATGCAAGTTATTTTAGTTTTGACAAAATTAACAATCCAAACGGTACCTTCACGAAGCACTCAATTAATAAAAAGACTGGCGTCCCACCATCCGTGGTCCCTAAAGTGATAATTAGTACAAAATCTCAAACTATCAAATTTGAAAGCAATAAGAAGGATAAGAAACGAATTTCTGTCAGTTATTCTAATGTTGCTCCTGAAAATCCTTTGAAAGCGATATCGCAACTTCTTCATGAATTTGACAGCATTCAAAAGACGAAACAGAAAGTACCTGAGCCAAAACAGACTAAAAAATCAGATCCTGCTTCTGCTGATCTTCAATTTGTTTCCCGTCAAAGTTGTTTTAAAAAATGTTCACAAGTGGACCACCATTTAAGAGATGAACAAGTTGGTAAAAATGTATCTTTTATAGCACCTAGAGATAAAAGACCTATTGCACCAGTAGATCTTCTAAAAATACCACATCAACAAGTAACAATTCATGAGAATAATATTGAAAAATTGAGTAAAAAAAGAATCTCTGATATAATTGACGAAGCGAAGGAAGCACGAGGTGAGGCAGTGCGCGGGCCTTCTAAATTAACTGCTAGATTAAATACATTGGCGCAACCAAAAAGATCTTATGTGCAAGCGCACAGTAAAGAATACTCAATCAAATATGGGAGGACTGTAATGGCTAACAGATTACAAAGATTAGCAACGATTCCTGTACCACCTTCTGTCGATAAAACAGTTGGGTTCGCTACTTTAAAAAACAAACAAAAGCGATCAACGCATGTTGGAGGATTATCTACTTCCATGAAAATATTGTCACCATCAATGCAGCCTTTAGGTGTGTAAAGGTGAATTATTTTATTATCTACACTAATATTATAAAGAGGAAAACTTTGTTTGTTTGGTTGTAATGAATAGGCTCAAAAACTACTAGACTGTTTTTAAAAATTCTTTCACTATTCGAAAGCTACATTATCCACGAGTAACATAGGCTAAATTTTATTTTGGAAAAAAATAGAGTTCTGTAAAATATTTGGGTTTTTCGGACACAAGGTGTAAAAAATCAACCAGAAAAGTTACTTATTTTGCGTACGCTGCCTAAACTATAAAAGATAAAATCATAAAATGTTCTAATTAATTGTAGATCTTATAAATATCTACAAAAAAAGTCCGCGACACACTATACCTATCTATGTCAAGTGAGGCACAACAACCATTTTTTTCATTTAAAAAACTTGATTTTTTTTGGACTACATTTAAACATTATTTTACTCATTAATTCTTATCAAAATAAATTTCATTTTTAATTTCATCACTAAGTACAGTTTATGTAGATAATATTTGGTCTTTGAATGATTAAAATTGGACGTTTTGTTTTGAAGTTATGGCGAAATTAAAATATTACGTTTTTTTTTATACAACTTAGAATGGCAAACAAGCTAACGGCTCATTTGATGGAAAGTGGTAACCGTCGCCTATAGACATGAGCAGTACTATGGACATAACAAAGTATACTGTTTCGCCCATGATATCCCCTATGCGTTGCCATTCCTGAGGACTCGGGTGTTATTCCTCTGTACCCAGTAAAGTCACGCCATATCCCACCTTTCAAACCGAAACACAGCCATGCAAATAAATACAACTGCTTCACGGTAGAAACACGAATGAGACAGAGGTACCCAAGCAATGCACGGTCCTTTGTGAAGTGAGCGTCACCAAGGCGGGGTGCGCGTGCGAGAGGGGAGTTTAGATCTATGAGTAAGGTACCCGCGCGGCTCAGCGTCTTTAACATTACGCGACTGATTTTCATGCGGTTTTTTTCATCAGATAGAGTGATTCAAGAGGAAGGTTTATATGTATAATACATGCATAATATTATAGAGAAATACTGATAATTTTAGAGGTCTAGCGAGGCGTATTAAATAAAACTTCAAAATTCTCACCGCACCAGTATGGTATAGGTAGGTAAGTTTTAACTTTTAGGACATAGGAGTTTTGAAAAGTAACTCCTACAGGGGTAAAAATGGTACCCGAAGCGAAGCGAGGGCGGGTCCACTATGCATAATATAACAGAGAAACACTGATAATTTTAGAGGTTTCTAATGTGATGTCGTAAATTAACACATTTTTGCGCTTAGCATTGCACCCGTGTGAAGCCGGGGCGGGTCGCTATAATCTACACTAATATTATAAAGAGGAAACATTTGTTTTTTTATTTGTAACGAATAGGCTCTGAAACTACTAGACCGATTTCAAAAATTTTTTCACCAATAGATAGCTACATTCTACATATATACATACACCATTTATGTCGAGCAAGTCGAAAGAAAAATTGTAAAAAATTAGCTTATCTTGTGCACACTGACTAAATAGTTGCTTATAATGAAAAACAATGTTCTACGTTTTTAAAGTACTCATTGAGATCTACAAATAAGTCCGCGATAGCATATGTCTAACTATTACGGTTAGGTCACAATAATCACTTTTTTTTTCTAAAATTACGAATAACCACGCTGGTCGCAGTCTGGGTAGTATTTTCATACTCCAGTATTAATCCTTATCCATATAAATCTATCGAGTTATTTCCAAAAATTGCATATTGCGATAACCAAGATCCACGCGGGCGAAGCCGCGGGCGAAAGCTAGTTATTAATAAAAAGAGTACCGAAATAGTAGCTATAGGTACATGTTTTAAATTCATTAAATAAGAAGAAATTTTACTAATATAACTAAAGCATTTTTTTTTATTTTAAGCAGAAAAAACAGCAAGACTTCGACACTCATTCAGCATTAATCCCCAAAGAAAAATTTTACAGCCACAGGTGGGCACGTTTCACAAAACAAGCCACGCTGCCGACTTACCCGAAGCACAGTTAGTTACTTTAGTTAATTAAAAGTGATCATTAACAATTTATTTTGCCTGTCACCTAAAAATAACTTATCTTCTTACATAATAGAAAACATAAGAAGATGATTGTCGAACCCCATGTGAAAAATCATTACGGTCGTGTGTTATCCACGGTAGCGGCGAACGAATTGCACATGGCAAGCAAGTCACGGCCTCCGGACGTTCCAAATGACATTGATCTAGGTATGAATGAAACTTTATTTTCTTAATTAGCATTTTTAATTTAACTAATTGATTAGTATTGCTTTTTAAAAAAAGCTGGTCCTGATGTTTTTATTTATGGTTGTTATAGCATCTGTTACATCCTCTCTAATTGCTGAAGAATCAGTAGCACTTGGAAGTAAACCGCATAACATAGTCATCCATACTATGATAAACTCAAGCGCTCCGAGTACTCTTTCTGTAAACCACGAAATAACTTCAGACACTGATGAAATAATTGATGCTTATTCTAAAGAAGAGCCAAGGTCTTTAGATTCGGATTATCGTGTCGATATTTTCAAAGACACTGATGTCCTAACAACGGTTAAAAACGATGTAAATGGTAAAGGAGATAAATCCATTTCTAATATAAACAAATACGAAGCAGAAAATGATATGAAATACGATATTCAACCATTCAATTCTTATACGGAATTGCAACAATTAGAAAATGCATTACATCGTCAACTTTCAGTTGGCACATTTAATAAACGACTGAGAATTAAAAATTTGACGTTAACACCTAAACAGTCTATGCGTCAAGTAATAGTTTTGCAGTCAGGTGACGCAAGTTCATTAGTAGTGAAGACTTCATTATTACAAAACATACAGAAAACTAATTCATATACAAATAATATATCAGCATTGAAACATTTATCTATGTTAACGACATCTCAATTAGACTGGAACTACGGCAATAGACCAATACAAATGGCAACTGTTGGCTACGCATTTCCTGCTTACCAATCAATACAATGTAGTTCAACTGCTCTTAGTAAATCTTTAAGTAATATTAACAAGAATGTAATAAGCTATTGCAATGCCAAATCAAACAAAACTATTTTTTCTTCTAAAGGACAAGAAACAAAACAAAATTTAGAAAAATGTGTGCAAGCACAGGCTAATGAATTTCCATTCTTGACCGTACCAGATACTGAGATATTCTTACCGACATCCAGAGAAAAAACAAGTGATAATACGTTACTGAATTCTAAAACTGATAAACTTATGAAGATTGAAGAAGAAAATAATGAATTGATAAATAGATCAAACGAGTATAATAAGACAAATGATGTTATTATTGAAAAAACAGATAGTATTGACTATACTACTTCACTAGATATGCTAGTGGGCCTGTTGAATGAAATACAAAAGATAACATGTCAGACTCAGATAGATGCAAAAGATGATGTACAATCTAAAGAACTTGGAACTATTCTTAATAATGCTGCAGTTTTAGAAGACGCAATGAATGAACAACCTAATGATTTGATTTCTGTTGCTTCTATAAACAAGCAAAAACAAATAGAATTGAGCCCAAGTATTTATTCTTACAATTTGCCTAATAATAATGAACAAGAAACACGCAATAATTTATACGACACCAAATTGCCTAAGAGCGTTCAAAGTGATTATATGCCTGAGTATGCTGATAAAGAAGTAAACGTCGAGGTAACAGAAAAGCAATTTGTGAATACCTTTACTGACGTGCCCTCTAGTCTTTTTCCTATTGCTGTAAACCATAGTACCAACGTCACTAATTCACTTATGGGTATCCTAAGCAAACCATCAACTCACTCAATGTTCTCTATTAAAGACTATCACGTTATATACTCTAATGATTCTTCTTCTAACTGTCAAAAGAAAATCATAGAATTGTCAAGTGTTGTGGATAGCAACGATTGCATAGTTCAATATCAAAATATTGAGGAAGTTTCTGATAAAGATAAATTACCTAATTCAACAATTAAAATGACAAGGGAAACGAACCTAATTAATTCTATCCAAAAAACATTGGCATACTCTATTACAAGCTCCAAGTTCGATCCTCTGATAAAAATTAAACGAGATATTTTAGTTGCTCTGTACTCTATGTTGGTACTAACTGTTTTTGCAGCGTTATCTTTTCCTGAAATTCTGTATCATACTTGATCTCAAATTAAGATAGTCTCGTGAAATTTAAGTGTTTGCTGCTTATATTTTGGTATATTTATTTAAAATACATGTTTTTGCACATAATAGTCTCTCTTTACTTTTGCTTGACAGTGTATCGTAAAAGTATAATATGCCTTAATGTCTTGCTTGGATGAGCAATATGAAAATAGCTAATTGGAACATTTAAGAACTAGTCTACAGCTTCTTCATCCTTTCCCACCCTTACATTTTATGCTGATGATTTAATAGGCTTAACGTGACTTCCTAAGCGTTGGGGGGGGGGGGGGGGAGTCTAAATTCGTCTGTTTTTTTATGTGCAGATATCAACCTGACAGTTGCTAGCAATAAGGCTAACTTTAAGTACGATATACTAAGTCTATGGGGCTAACAATCTCCATTGTTAACAATCCCCTCCTCCCGACCTGAAGATATGGAATACAATGGTAATTCCGCCTGCGCTATCGACATACACTGGCGGGCTTTGGAACGAGGCTCTATCAAACAGCGGTGGGGAGCACAAAAGTTTAAGGGGGTCGCCGAAATGCCAAATAGGGTAAGATCGCCTTGATTGTTAATCATGAGGAAAAACAGGGTTATTGTCAGCAATTTATCTATTCAATGTCTATATGGTTTATCGTAAATAATTATTTCCTCGTGAATTCACATGACTGGTCAGGTAACCTGACTTCATTCTTATTTTTTCATCCTCAGTTACCGCAATTTTGTTACTACGAGTTAGTGTAGTGTTAATTTAACTTTAACGCACAGTAAACTCTATGTAGACTTGACGGACTTAACACCGGACAGTGTTCTCTACTAGTATTACTACTATAGTCAACCATTGGGAAAATCGAGAAAAAAGTAGGCGGTGTAATGGAAAAATAAAGCAATACTTGATATATTCATATAATATAAACATATAATCAGACTACTATAAACATACATATAATATATTAAATAAATAAATATATACATATAATAAATACATACGTAAAATATTACTATATAAAATAATTAACTGTAATAGAAGAGCGGATAACAATCTATAAGTCGAACAGAGCAACCAGCAACATTAAAGGGAAAGTGATTTTCCTAAGAAATTTGTGTTTAAAAGCTAGCTTGCTTCGGGTAAATCTTATGTCAAGTGGTAGTGTGTTCCAGTGTTTAATAGCTTGTAATATGGAGGAATAGGAAATTTACCAAGATTGAATGGTCTATGTATCCGAGTACATAATTCAATCTTCATACATTAAATATATAATTATGTTTATGGAGTATGGAAGTAGATTTGGATGCTATAATATTTAGTAATAAAATAAAGTTATTAAGATAGATACCTAACTAGAATAGTTTTTATATATTCGACGACAACTTGTCCAGTGTAATAGATAGGTATTTTTGAGATCATAGATACTATTACTTGGTCTATGTTAGTGATGTGACATATCTTGGTAAATTAGTTCTAGTTTCCATGACTACTGTCCTTGTTGATTTTGAGACATAGAAAATAAAGTTGTTTCAATTTTATCTCTTTTTAATTATTAAGTTAAACGCTTTAGAGTGCATGAATGATCTTATAATCCACTGCGTCTACCTTTGCGAAGTTCTAAACTTCATCCAGCTAGCGCGATTTTTTACGGCTTTGGATAGTTACTATTTAACCTTAGTTGATATTGACAGCAATGTCTGTGTTGACACTGACAGTCACAGTCACGTGTTGTTGTTTTGGTTTAATTTGACATTTACTTTATTGTGATTTCATTTTTTTATTCATTTTGTGGTTAATTAATGTGTTAATGAAAACGAAATTTGATCTAAGTTTAATTTAAAGAAGTAAAATAAATGGCTTCTACGAAGACTAAACGAGTGAAGGTAAAAAATGCACTTCCTATGTTCTGGTCATATTGTATTATTTTCTTAATCTATCATGTATTTTTGTTGATGTAATAAAAAAAAGAATAATTTACTAGCTTATTATTAAAATAAAAGTATACTTTCATTTTCAGAAGCCTATAGATATCGACTTTAATGTAAAGGTAACCTTGGACAATACAGCGCCGTTAAATCAGATTGTGGAAGACCTTCACCGGCGTGAGTATCAAAGCAGAGCGTACAGTTTGTACCACAAGCTCCTTGCTCACAGGCGCAACAGCAGGGCATTCACCAGGAAAGCGTATCATTTTACTCTGCCTGGACATCCATTAAATGCATTCACTGAAGGTTTTGATGGTGGAATAGGGAATGACTATTTTGAGGAATTCTCATACAAGAGTTTAATGCCAAAAATGATAACGAAAATACGCAACATAGAAAAAACTGATCCTGTTACTAAACTAATGAGAGAAAAGAGAGACTGGAAAAATAAAGTGTGTGATATTAAAAGAGGTAAATATTTATATTAAAAATAATTTGTTTATCAGAATAGCTAACCAAAAGTCTAACATGTGGTCATCTTTGAAAAGATTCTTTTACTTTTTTTTATGTATTCATGTAGTTTTTTTTTAATGGGTAATAATGGAATGGTAACCTCACTTGCGCTATCGGTATATGCTGGCAGGACACCAGTGAGGGATGATAGGTGATGATGAAGCAGGTCAGTTGGCTCATCGAGTTCAACAATAAATCAATCACAATGGTTTCCAGGGAAAAACTGCATGGAGATCGACCTGGTAGGGTATATTGCTAGCAATGGGATTGCTAATGTCCATTACTAACAATCCCTGCTCCCTCCTTTATTCATGTAGTTATAGTAGTACTAATAAAACTGTGCTGTACAAAACTGAGTAAGATGTATATATATATTGTTTATTGCACTTGTAAGTTACATATAAAATTATTTATAAATGTTGTGAGCAAGGGTGGACTTATCTCTGACAGAGATCTCTTCCAGTCAACCCAGTACAGTAAGAAAGCATTACGTTAGCGGGCAGCTGAAGTGCTACAACTATTAATACATAAACAAATATACAGTTAAATAAAATATTAAAATATATAATAAAATATTACATAAATACATATACTATAAATACATACAATACCTACCTACTTATATAATAAATGTTAAAATAAATAAATATACTATTATAGTATTAGAATTAGAGCTTGCAAATATTTGATAATTTTGATATTTGAATTTGAGCGTGTTCTGGTATGATCTTGTTGACTCAGCAGTCAAATGGATGAGAGTGCTGGAGTGATCACATTACATATAACAAAATGGCCATGTGTTAAGAACTTATGCTATGAGTACCTACTCATAGCATGGGTTCTTAACACATCACTAGGCTATCTGAAGTCTTGTTGTTTATTGAAGAGACTCAAATAATGTTCCTGTCTAGAGACTTTCTAGACTTAACTGGGATCTCTTCATCATAAAAAAATCACCAGAAACCTACAGACTAAATTTTCACTCAAATTCACTTTGAAACACACACATAGTGAAGGACTTTTTTGTTGGTACATGTTTTTTCAGACTTATTGAAACAGTATTTGTTTATATCTTGTGATCATATGGTAGGCATTATAATTAAAAATACACCTTCGGCATATCAGAGTCATAACGTGCATCATCACTGACACACCCTAATAATATAGGTTTCTCATAGGTGAATTTTTTTAATTAGTTGAGTAGCTTTTGAGTATTTTTTTTATATGACTTAGAATGGCAAACAAGCTGACGGCCCTGATGGAATGTGGACATGGACATAACTGATTATACTGTTTCACCCCTGCGTTGCCATTCCTGAGGATTCAGGTGTTATTCCTCTGTACAATATAAATTCACGCCATATCCCACCCTTCAAACCGGGGGGAAAGGGATTGTTAGTAATGAAGACTTAGAATCCCATTGCTAGCAATATACCCAATCAGGTCGACCTCCTCGCGGTTCTCCCTGGAAACTGTCGTGGTTAATTCCTGATGAATTCATCATGATGGGCTAACTGACCTGTTTTCATTCTCATCTATCACCCTTCACTGGTGCTCCGCCAGCGTATTCCGTTAGCGCAGGTGGGGTTACCATACCATTTTCACCCATCAAAAAAAACCCTTCAAACCGAAATACAGCCATGCAAATACAACTGCTTCACAAGAAACATGATAGATAATTATACGAAGAGGAGTATAGATAATTATTTCTTTTTATAATTATTATATTTTACTGAACTAGGATCTTGCAGAAGTTATTAGTTATTATATCACTAGTTATTTAAATAGAATTATTTTGTTTAATTCTGCTATTATTAGTATGTGTGTAGTCACACACATACTCGAAGATTGACCACCATTATTACTAAAATAAGTTCCACAACCTTTCATATTTTATAGCCATATGTTAGCCATCAGTTTCCGACTGCCATTTTGTTCACGCACTTTTTGCGACACGTGTCTAATCCCTAAAAAAGGCATCTCCAGGCAAATTATTAGATCACTGCTTGAAGCCAAACGTTAACTATTTGGTGCCTAAACTGCGAAGTTTGGAGGTTTCAGTCGGAGATTCATAGCTAATATGGAAGGTTAAGAAATTTTTCATAAGGGATAGCGGTGGTTAATCTTCAAGTGTTGGTAGTCACACACATAGTGCGGTAGTGGAAATAAACAACAAACACTCAGGTTGTGGAATGAGCTCCCTGCCGAGGTTTTCCCAAGAGACTACAGCATGGGGTTTTTTAAAAGGGGGGTAAAGAGGTTTCTTCAGGGTCGGCCATGCGCGCGTAATACCTCTGGTATTGCAGGTGTTCATAGGCTACGGTAACCACTTACCATCAAGTGGGCCGTATGCTTCTTTGCCACCTCAGTGGTATAAAAAAAAAAACAAAGTAGTTCTATTGAAAGAATCAGAGGTAATTACAAATTTATTTATAAAAGTGTGTGTAACTTATATATACTTATAATTTGTTCACAGTACATATGGCAAAATATTCCAGTAGAGTCAAACTTGAGGTGTGTAATGATGAGGTAATCCAGTGCCCTAAGTATATGGTGGAAATGGCAGAAATTTTGGAGAGTGATCCAGATCCAAATTTCACTGACTGCTACAACTGGTACTATAGTGGCAGTGGTAATTTGCAACTAGTTTGCATCAACTGGGTGGACTATTTATTGCACAGTGAATTCTCTTGTGTATGTAAGTACTTGGAATATTATTTAAATATTTCCTGATTAAGGTAGGAACTGATATGCTTAAGATTATTGATAATAAACTAATTGCTTGTAGTTTTTATCAATATAAAGTTTGTGATAGTAATCTTATCCTTTCATTTTTAGTGTCTAAGATACAGGCTAAGCCTAGTTTAGACACTAATGTGCTGGGCATAATGCTACATTTTATACACATATAATTCACTTTGAAATTTCTGTAAGCCCATGACTGTATATGTTTATGTGCAATAAATCTTTATTATTATTTATTTTTATTATTGAAGTTTTAACAAAAGTTGAATTTATTTAACTTTTGACAAAAACACAATAACAGAGATTTTTGCTCATTGCATACCCAATCTTAGCTGAAATTGTATTCAAAACTTGGTGGTAGGTTAGAAAAATCAGTATTAATTTTTTTTTTATACAGTTACATTATTAATTCATCCCACAAATAAATAAATACATACCTTCAAGACTAGAAACATTACATAAGTGTATCTAATTACGAGCTCAAATAAAAAAAAAATACTTTGTACTTTTTAATTTCTACTTTTTACTGATTTTAACACATTTTTTTTTATTTCATAATTGTATATTTCTTTTTAGATCTGTCCAGATTCACAACGGATAACTTAGCAATAGATTTTGAGAACACAGTATCCTTCAACTGCGGTGATGAATATGATATACGGGAGACAGTCTGCTCGCCACAAAACATAGTTGCACTAAGAACGAAATATAAAATATTTATCTTAAAAATAGAAGAGCAAGAAAACAATTTATTGTTTAGGAAACTCAGATGTTTCGAGAGTGAGGTGACTTTCACAGGCATCTCGTTTGACAAACACCATACGAATATATTGTATGCAACAACATTAGACTGTAAACTGACAATAGTAAACATTGATAGAATGACTAAAAGAAGTCTAATATTAAAACAAAAGCCTGAGCTAAAAGATAACTGGAACTGTGTTGTTGGGGCGTCTCGTGGTATGTTCATGCACATACAAAGAGACTCCGTAACTGCATATGATAAGAGGACGAACAAAGTTGTAAATACATGGAGTGGGGTGAAGAGAATAGTGGATGAACTAGATTGTAATGTAATTAGTGCTGCGGTCCAGCTTGAGGGTACCGACAAGTTGTACTTCACCACCAACCACCATCTTTTCCTCATGGATACAAGATGCAGTAAAGCATCTAATATGAAAGTTGTACAAAGGTGGACACACGGTATGCAGTGTGTTCCTACATTCATTTCAGTTCAAGATGCAGAATTTAACAAGGAGTTAATTTTCATGAGTAGCCAGTGGTGTGAAGATATGTGCGTAGTCAGCAATTACTCAGATAGACTGAGCAGGCAATCCGATATAGATGGGGTATCAATACCGTACCGGCCGCCGAGTATTTTCAATGTGTTATATGAGGCCCAACAGAAACGACTTTGTTGGGATCTCTATAACCCTATAAAAAATAGATTACCCATGTCTATATCAGGAATGGTGGAGGTACGACGAAATAATCAATTTGTCATATTGATGCACAATTCTTTAGGCGATATCTCATCGCACGTTCTGTATCCATCGTATATGGAAAACTTAATGGAGGATAACGCGCTACAAGAACTGCACGAATGGTCTAAAAATTACGTAATCAAAAGAAAGCCATTTGAAGTGACAAACGTGCACGATATCAGTGGTCTATGGAAGAAACTGAAGGCAGTGTCAAAACATGATATTGATTTAATTATACAAGCACACCAACCGATCCATATGAAGGTTGATGAGCAACAAGTGTATAGCACCTTTCAAAATGAAGAAGTAATGCCCGAACTACTGGACGTTTGGAAGAATGACCAGCCCGAGGAGACAGTTGCCGAGGAAACGAGAAATCTTTCCCTTCAATTTACAAGTGATAGTGAATAAAACAATTATATTTCTAATAATCAACTTTATTTCAAAGATATCTCCTATCTAAATGACTTATTTTACAAGCACTCCCACACTCGGTTCCTAACACACGCGGCAACTTTATACACATTAATAATTAATTTATCGTCATAACAAGTGTCTATAAACGAAATTTTAAACTTTTGCATCAGATACTTTTGTAGATATCATTTCGATCAAGTGTATTCATCAACAATATGAAATTTTATAATGCACTGAACACCCAAGTTTAAAATCACATTTGATAAGACTATAACATAATCATTAGGAATTGTCACCCAAACAATAAGTACATACAAGCTTACTTTACAGCTATACACAACAATTATAACAATAATTTGAGAACGAGACAGAAAGATTGCTTATTTTCTAGGTACATATTAAAAATCATCAGCAACTAAAATATTAAACATAATTTGGTGGTGAGCGGAAGATCAGAAATCGGTTGAAGCTCATGCATGCCACGTGCCAATTCTATAGTGGAGACTACGTAATTTTCTATTAACTAAATTAAGTTTATGAATCCAAATACATCCTTACACGTATTATAAATGCAAAAGTGAGTCTGTTAGTTGGTCTCTCTGTCTCCCTGTCTGCGACGATTCAACTATAAACTACTGATCTTCGATGACCATGGGCTAGTGTAATGACGTCACCACAGTCGTATTGTCTTATAAAGATATAAGTAATTTGCAAGGTATGGTGGTTTATATACGCAGAAATAATGTCAGAAAAATGAGTAATGAAATAAATATATAGTATAAAGGAAGTATAATGCAGGTACTTGGATTAAATTGTGTTAAAATGATTAGATAGATTACATCTATGTGAGAGTAATCAAGTCTTTCAGCGTGCGATAGAATTAGAGGGAACCGCTGTGATATGAAATTTATGAAAATGGACAAAGTAAAACATACACTGAGGATTTTATTATAGCCTTTGTCACATTATTCTCTCTGCCTACCCCGAAAAGAGGCGTGCAGTTATTAGACTTAGGCATTATGAGCTGTTATTAGAAATGATTTGCCGTGTGGTCTCGGCATGGAACGCCCGCCCCCCTTCCTTTTCCGTGGGTATCATCAGAAGTGACTTAGGGAACTTAACCCTTTTAGTGCCATTGATTTTTACTCATATCTACTTAAAAATGCCAAAGAAATCTTTGTCGTGTCGATGTCATTTACCCTTGTCTCTAAAAAAACTGTATCTCCTCCAAAAATTATCCAATTTTATTATTTTTTTACAGCGAGCTAAACAGCGACTGATTTCACGAACGCGATGGCGCTCGTCGGCACTCAAAGGGTTAATGATCAAGGGATGGGCAGCGGTGTTTCTCTTAAAACATCACCAAAGGCTAACTGCGGTTGCTAACCCACATGCCAAGCGTGGCAGCTACTGGTAAAACCCTCTTTATAGGGGAGACCTATCAGCAGTGATTAACGGCTGATATGATGATGATGAGAGAGGCCACTCGCCAGCTATTTATTTATACAAGTGCTTGTTTGTTTAGAATGTATATCATGATCAAGTAGAAATGAGATAAAGAAATAAACAAGAGGTATGTATTTAATTGCTTTCCCATTTTTTTTTTATACAACTTAGAATGGCAAACAAGCTGACGGCCCACCTGATGGAAAGTGGTAACCGTCGCCTATAGACATGAGCAGTACCATGGACATAACAGAGTATACTGTTTCGCCCATGATACCCCCATGCGTTGCTATTCCTGAGGACTCAGGTGTTATTCCTCTGTACCCTGTAAATTCACGCCATATCCCACCCTTCAAACCGAAACACAGCCATGCAAACAACTGGTTCACGGTAGAAACACGAATGGGACAGAGGTACCCAAGCGATCGACTTTTGTCAACTGTATGGCGAGACTAAAATATTAATAAATAAAATTAAAAAATCAACATATTGACTCAATAAATTCACCAAATAGTCTACATCTTGATTTAGTTTTGGAAAGTGCCAATTCATGTCTCTTCCTATAATTAGATAATTTTTATAACTTATCGAATTAATAGATTCCAAGTATTTATCGATTAATGTCGTATCGATAAATATTGTAATAATAAACAAAAATGCTTTCACCCTCAGTCAGTTCAATGTAATTTCAGACATAATTTACATAAAATTTTATAGTTTTCACTTTCACATATTACATTATTATTGTTATGAAGAGTTCTTGTAGAGATATTGAATTCGTTCTGATATATTTTGGGTTCCTGTTGACATTAATAGCGGGAAAAAGATCAACACGCATATTGTTAATTATCGCTTATACTGGTCGAATATTTATAGTCATTTGGAAGGGACGTTTCATTTCTAAAAATATATGTAGTTTGGATCATTGATATTAAATAAACTCATTATTAAGCAAATATATTACCACCATTAACTTGATTTAAAATTTCAATGTAGGGTAGGTGTAGATATGTCGGTGTTAACTAAATGATGTCCCAGGTTAGATTCTCGGTAAGATCAATATTTTAGAAAAAAAATAAAATTAAATCAGCGTGCTCCAGATTACCACTAGGCAATGGATTTGATTTATATCAATCAATCAATTTATTTGTGTATTACATGCATTTTTTTATACCACTGAGGTGGCAAACAAGCATACGGCCCACCTGATGGTAAGCGGTTACCGTAGCCTATGAACACCTGCAATACCAGAGGTATTACGCGTGCGTTGCCGACCCTGAAGAAACCTCTTTACCCCACTTTTGAAGAACCCCATGCTGAAGTCTTTTGGGAAAACCTCAGCAGGGAGTTCATTCCACAACCTGAGTGTTCGTGGGAGGTAACATCTCTGAATTTTACTCAACTGTGACATAGACTTTAAAACAATATTTCACTCATAATGTATATAAATAAAAATAAAATACTACTCCTTGGTATCGCTTGCATATCACTATAATAAAGATAGAGAACAAAAGTAATGAAATTTATATAGTGATGGAAGAAAGAGATTTTTGAAAAACGTTCATTACAGTCAGATTAATTTTTTTTAAGCAAAGAAACAATAGATTACTGTACAGAAAGGACACCTATCGGATTACTAGTGCAAAATAATAATGAAAATCCACGAAAAATATCACAATATCATGACATTGCGAGTTTCAAAGGAGCATTAAATTAGCCTGGCCAGACTTCCTGGGACATGTGTACTATGCATTCTATTCGACTATCTCTGACTATCTTTAGTGTTTGGTAAAGACTTCGATAACTTTAGCGCCTGGTGAAGGTCCTGAGCCAGTTCCTGGTGAGTGGCTGCTCGCCGTGGCTCTGTTTCTCCTTCTCCTCCATCTGCTCCATGAGTTTCCGCTGGTTCTCCCGGAACGCGGCGATGGGGTCGTTGAACTGGCCGTAGTACATGAGCACTTCGCGGACGTCCGTTACGTCTGAGATGGCGATCGCTGTAAACGCAGAGAAGTTACATTTAAAACCACCTAACCTAAATAACCGCGGGGAAAGGGATTGTTGGTAATGGAGACTGAGAATCCCATTGCTAGCAATATACTCAACCAGGTCGACCTCCTCGCAGTTCCCCCTGGAAACTATCATGGTTAATTCCTGATGAATTCATCATGATGGGCTAACTGGCCTGTTTTTATTCTCATCTATCACCCTTCACTGGTGCTCCGCCAGCGTATCCCGTTAGCGCAGGCGGGGTTATCATTCCATTTTCACCCATCAATAAAAAAAAACACCTAAATAACCTGGAAAATCTTGTTTTGTCCTATACTACCACCTACTAGTCCCATTTTTTGTTCATATTTAATGATACCTTATAATTAAAAATTGTATTTCACAAAAAAACTGACTTCAATTGTGAGTTACTTTGATCTATAAACGTAAATTACTGAACAGATTTTAATAAAATTTCTATAGGATCAATCTAAAAATATAACCTTTCAGACAAAAAAAAGAATTTTCTAAATTGAGAAACACGCATCTTTTTGAAGTCGGTCGAAAAAGTTTCCGCGCGGGAAAAACTACGGGGGAAAATAGGTGCAAGTAAAAATCTTACTTTGTAACAGATTGGCGAGATCCAAGAGTGTCGTATCGTCGTCCGCGCCCGTCCATTTCTTCAGTATTAGCGAGTTTTGTGGGTGGAACTTCGTGGCGCCTTTGTTCCAGTCCACTACTATTACCTGTACAACAATAATTCGTATTTACGATGTGCCGACATGAGGTACAGCATTCAGTAACTAAGCTGAATCAAGGGACATGTAAGACTATAGGCCTTTTGTACTCTATGTAATGTAATGTATGCCCCTCTGCCTACCCCACAATGGGTTTGAACAAGATAGATAAATTTGTGTTCAGAGATTCAGGATATAATGTTATTTCTGTTTAAGTTAAACCTTTTTAATATTATTTCTTTTAATTATGTGTATTATTCCTTTTGATATATGCTATTTTACTGATGCTTTCCTGGGCAAGCGTATCGGGAGACTGTAAAGCTCATCCAATTGATGAAATAAATAAACAGGATTGTGGAACATGGAAGAAGTTACTCCATTTTTAAGCATCCCTCGCGAGTGCAGCCTTATTTGCCACTTTTTAAATTTTTTTATTTTTTTATACAACTTAGAATGGCAAACAAGCCAACGGCCCCCTGATGGAAAGTGGTAACCGTCGCCTATAGACATGAACAGTACCATGGACATAACAGAGTACATTGTTTCGCCCATGATACCCCCCATGCGTTGCCATTCCTGAGGACTCGGGTGTTATTCCTCTGTACAAAGTCTCCCTCTGGTAAAATATTTATAAGTATTTATAATCTAAAGTATTTATTGTCTCAATTCATAAATCTAAAACCATACCCCTGGATCCACATGAGAATCCTGATGGCGGAGTCAAGTGAAACGAAGCATTCTGACCCTTACCTTCCAAATTGAAAATTTTGATCGATAGAAAAATTATAAGCACTTTATATTTTATAAGTTTATTAGATGCTTCACTTCTTTTGTGAATAAAGGGAGTAATATTATTGCTTCATAAATCATAAATTCAAAATACCTTTGAAAGATCTCGGTTCAGTCCCTCCAAATTCTTTACATGAACACCGTCAATGAAGTGTGTGGAATCTCGGAATAGTCTATAATTTATTAACTTATTCTCTGGATCTAGTTTGTCTATGACTGGCCATATCATGAACACATTCTCCGTGGTGAAGATGACCACCTCGTAATTGGAATTGGCTACTGTTTGCAAAAACTGATCCAGGCCGGGTCGCTTTTTAAACCTGAAAATAGTAGAGAAATAACAGATTAAAATTTTTAAAGTGCATATCTTGACACACTTTCTTGGCATGCACACAGTTCTACATGTAGAGTATAGAGCGGAGAGAAAAGAATTAACAATTCCTTTCTCTCCCCTCTATACTCTACAGCAGTAGGGGATAGTTAAAGGCTGATATGATGACGATGATATTGCATCAGTAATCCAAATTTACCACAGGGAGACTTTGTACAAAAGTCGATTGCTTGGGTATCTCATTCCCATTTGTGTTTCTATCGTGAAGCAGTTGTGTTTGCATGGCTGTGTTTTAGTTTGAAGTGTGGGATATGGTGTGAATTTACTGGGTACAGAGAAATAACATCTGAGTCCTCAGGAATGATAACACATGCGGGGTATCATGGGCGAAACAGTATACTCTGTTATGTCGATGGTACTGCTCATGTCTATAGGCGATGGTTACCACTTTTCATCAGGTGGGCCGTTAGCTTGTTTGCCATTCTAAGTTGTATAAAAAAATCCAATAAACAAGAAAATACTATAGCATAAAACCTTATATGGTAACTCTGTCAAGGTTAAATAGGTACAAGTCTTTAAACCTTTTTCTTCAAGAACCTACCTCCATCCAGTTTGATAGGACCAGTCCGGGTGCACTAGGACGTCTGTGAACTCCAGGACCAGCGTGTACGTGGGCTGGTACGGCGCTGGCAGAGGATCTGGCAGTAGCTTCTCGCGCGACGGCTCTTTTATCATCTGAAACGATACACATGTTAATGTCACTATATGGTCAGCCATGACTTATATGTTTATAATATGCAAACAGTTCGTTTGTGGAACTCACTCCCTCTATATGATGCGCTCAATCTTTGCCTATTTTTAAAAACCTAGTTAAATCCCACTACCTATCCTTATAATCACTTAGTCCCCCTTATTTCCTACCAGATTTATGCGTGTTATATATGTATGTTAGTGTTGTATATTTGTTATGTATTTGTATTTGTGTATGTATATAATCGTGTTTACAGGGACATTTTTTTTTTTATATTATTCTTACAGATCTATTTTTTTAACGCGCCACCTACCTATTTTTTCTTTAATTCTTTCTACCCAAAGGTTGAAAAAGTTTGCTTAGCAATAAGACCGCCTTTTGTACTACACTATACTTATTGAAAATTCATTAAGAAATCCTGTAATTTTGGTGCAATAAAGTGTTAAATAAATAATTTATTGTATTTAATAAACTTTTAATACATCTAGAAAATGTAAATGGCGGACTTAACACCATAAGTAGAGAATAAAATCCCGGGATCACGAATGACAAAGGCAACGGGCGGTTACATATGCAGCTATAATTATATATATATATATTAAAACAATTATAAATAATTTTTGAATGACCACAAAAGCAAAAAAAAATTATGTCATTAACCTTCTAAATTATTATCATCAAATTATAATTACTGGTTTTTTTTAATGGTTGAAAATGGGATGGTAATCCTGCCTGCGCTAACGGTATACATTGGCAAGGTACCAGTGAGAGATGATAGGTGAGGATGAAAAGGCAGGTCAGTTAGCCTATTATAACGAATTCAACGATAAATTAGTCACAATGGTTACTTACTTTCTCATAAAACGTGAGCTCCTTCCATGTGCGTTTCAGGTACTGCATTACTGTGGGCAAGTTGGAAAACTCATCTTCTATGATTTGTCCGTCTTCGCCACGCCGCGGGGCGCCCATCTCCACTACCAGGCACCCGCCCATCACTGTCAGAGCTCCACCGAACACGCCAAACCTTAAAAATACCCATACATATATCTTTGATGAGGGCATAGTAGATTTATGTTGAATTAATTTAAACACTCAATATTGCTGTCAGTACTACATATACAGGGGATGGAAGGGATTGTTAGTGATGGGCACTAGTAGCACCTATGCAAACACTTTTGAGTTTACTAGAATGCAATACTTTACTGTAGAAACTTTTGGTGATAGAACAAAACTATGTTTTACAATATTGAAGAAAATATAAACAACTAGAAAAAACTTCGCGATATCCAATTATTATCATTATGTCACTCACAATAACCACTTTTTACATTTTAAAAGTTGATAGAAATACTGACCAATATTACACCATGGAAGGATATGCTAAAGCAAACAGCAGATCCATGCTAGAGTAGAGCAACATGGCATAGAAATCATTGAAAGTAGTTAGAAGAGGCCTTTGCCACAAGGCATTCTACGCTATGCTATATATATTAAAATAAAGAAATATAGTACATTTTAAATATAGCATAGAATGAAGGTTTCTTTCTCTTTTAATGATAACCTTAGAGATTACATAAGAACACCATACCCAAATTTCATTCTCCTCCAACTCCGTTCATTCTCTTCTGTTTTCTCTTTATTCTCTTTGTCAAATTGTTCCTGTTCTTTCCTAATGCTCTGTGCATCATCACTGTTGAGGGGCGCTTGTGGAAAAAACCGTCCCAATATGTCCACTTTTTCTCCTGACTTTAGATCTTTTTTGTTACCTAAGAATAAATAAATAGTTAGCATTGTACAAAACATTCATCTCTGTAGGCATAACAATTTTGTAAATAAAGGATTTAGGTAATTACCATGTTTATTAAGAGTACATAATAAAACATGTGTTATAGGCAAAAAAATAATATACATCAGGCTTTTAATAGAATAATTCTAAATATTTTTATGCTATGAATATCTAATTATTTATGATTGATATATAATAAATATGATTAGTCTGTTAATACTTTGTATATAATAAATATACAATATACCTAACCAGGGAGCCCATCATGGTTAATTCCTGATGAATTCATCATGTAAGATTCTCATCTATCACCCTTCACTGGTCTGTTAATACATTGTTCTTTCTGGTTACCATAGAAAGTGACTATTATACAAAGATGATATTATACAGACTTTGTAGATGAAAGCTTATTGTTTAGTTATTTAAAATAATAAAGTAATTATATCAATTACAAATATTTTTATAACCTAAATAATTAATACAGTACTGCAATGTTATTTTATTTGACGGAATTAGTGAATTTACAAATTGTACTCGATTTTTATACCATGACAATAAAGTAAATTATATTATGAATAAAGAAATTTAAATTTAATAAAAACTAACCTAATTTTTCGGCCGAATAGAACCTAACAGGCGCAGATGAGACAAACCAGTTGTTCGGTCTTGGCAAATTTGTAGGCTGAAATTTGGATATGTGAGTATACACTGTTTTCGAGACCGATAATACTTTTTTAAGGGACATTATTGTTTAAAAATTCACATTTAAATTAACAGAAAAATCGGATTGAGCAAATAATAGGTAATTAGTAGAATAAAAAGTAACATACAGCTGAAAGTGATCAAATTTAGTCAAAGTGACAGTTGACTGTGACACTTCGAAAAGTTATCAATCAGACAGTTACAACGACTTCCAACGTAGAAAAAGAATGCCAGATATGCTGTCTGTGTCTTAGAAATACTGTATACATGTAGGTAACTTTATCAATTTTTGCTTTGATAATTTTTAACTGTATTAAGGCTAGGTGCGTAGTAGTAAGATTTGTAATTCTTTGTTTTTAGGTTCGCAGGCACTACATAGTCTATGATATTACTCTGTGATTATTATTTTTTGTTGTTTGACAATAGTGCCAACTTCTTTTTGATGCTCTAACAGTGACAGTCACTTTTATTCATCCATGTAAAGTCACGTCATTTTGAATAAAAAATGTTAATACCAAATGAAATTTATGCTACCAATTTTATTAATCTGAAGATTATACTTTGTGAAATAACTAGGTCTTTTATGATACCTATCGATATCGATATTTTAAATAAAAATATACAATGTTTTTGAAACGTTTAAATCTAAATTTTTCAATGTTTAAAGAAAGGTTTTGCTAGTAACAATTAACATTTTTTACTATATATATAGAGACATTGTTCAAAAACCAGTAAAAATTATATTACTAATTATTTTTGGAATGTTCAAAAATTTAATACTATGGTACTATGATAGCTGAATAACACTGAATATTTATTTCACTGTGTAGTTGACCCCAGATGGTTGCATTCATTGACTTATCGAATTTTGTAGGTGTTGCCGATTCTTAAATAATGAATTATCATTTTTTAGTATTAGATCTTTAGACAAAGTCTCTATAATCTGTGCTAAATTGTTATGAATTTGATTTTGTTCGTTTTTATTTGTAATTTATATTGTTTTTAATTTTTGTAGCTATAGCGATTAGTGCAAATGTGTACTATAATTAAGAAACAGTGAAACTACCTATATTAATTCTTTGTTATTTACTTGAAGTTATGGCATCCAAAGGCATGGATCCAAAACAAAAATACTCTTTATTAAATTTTATCAAAAAAAGTAGTCGAGATTCAGAATCAGAATCAATTCAAAGGTACTATAATTTTTTAAATTAAATCCTAATTTATTATATCGTAGAATGTACTTATTTATACATTTTTAAATGTTTAAATTTACAGCGCCACCAATCAACAAATAATAGAGAAAAAATCCAAGTTTGTTTTTAAATCAAAATCAACAAGTACTGCAAACTGTGAGTATCAATGTTATCCATAAAACAATACTAATATATATATATATATATATATATATATATATATATATATATATATATATATATATATATAAACAAATTACTTTTAAGTTTGGTAGTTGTTTGGAATTGGGAATTACAATATGGGATTCAGTAATGGGAAATTTTGTTTATTTATTTATTAGCTTTTATTTACTGATAGTACAATTGTACATACATACATACATATCTGTCACGCCTGTCTCCTATTAGGGTAGGCAGAAACAATGGAACCCCAAATGCAAATTGCCAGTACAGTTGTATATAAATAATATATTCTATGACTGGACAAATGGAAAGATGAACAAATATGTAAATTTAATTACATTGTTTGGCTCATACAATAACAATAAATTATCAGTGTATATAAAAAAGTGTTGTTATGTTTTGGTTGCAACTGCTTTTTATGAAATTTATGTATAATTGGTAGGTATTAGGGATATATAGGGAATAGGTTGTAAAGTATATTTTATATCATTAGGTGATTAGGGTGTCCCTATGTTTAATTTACACATCAGTTTTTCTAATCAATGTATGCCGGGTCTGTTAGTTATATATAATAAGATTTCAACTATTCATGCTTTTTATTACATCTCCTGTCACTTTGTCTTGTGACATAGACTTCCTCGAACAATTTCCATCATGTCTGCCACTTCCTTCTATTATTTTTCCATCTAGTCTTTTGTCTTCCTCTATTTCTTTTACCACTGCATGGATACCATTGGTCCACTTGGGAATTAAATTATTATTCATTATTTCCAAATCCAAAATACTGTGGTTATGTATTTTCTATTCTTCTCTAACAGCTATAAGACCTATAAGTCATTCCTTTTAATCTTATAGTTATTAATTTTAATAATGTTTTATGTAGAATAATAATAGAATTAAAATCATCTTTATATAAGTAAACTTGACTACAAGAACTTTTAAATTATTTTGTAATGATTTTTTTAACTCATACTCTATTATAATTATTTTAGACTTTATTAATATATAAATTTCAGGATTGCCCAGTTAGTTCCATTTTCTAGTTTGTTACAATACTTTTATATTGTTAATTTTTTATCATTCTTATTCTGAATAATGAATTTAAGGAGAAGAACCCACAAGAAATTCAAATGTCACTCTTGTTAAATTTCTATTAATTTGATTACATCTAATGACTGAATTCCTAAGCATTCATTTATGTATGTAAACATAGCATGTATATATCTAATTTTCAGGGACCCCTCCATTTAAAAAGAACTCAGAAAATGTGTCACAGTTGGTAAGTATAATTTGAATATATTGTACACAATTAATTGTTTATTTATTTAAGGCAAACACACAGCTATAACAATATGTAATTACATACTTAAATAATAATGTAACAGCCACTAAAGTTTGCACAAATATATAATACATGTGAAGGAAACATAAAATTAAACAATAGAATTAAAAAATACAGCATGTTTAAATAAATGCTCGTGATTATAATCTCTAATAGAGTAATTGACTGTTGTTATTGTGGTAAATGTCAGGGGGCATGGCAGTGCCTCCGCCAAGGCGAGCATAGTCATACCATTATTTTCTCAAAGTGACTCTCGTTGTTACTAATCTCCTTGTAATTTCATTGTGAATAAATAATAAATTTGAATTTTTATTGCTAAAGGGGATATACTATAACTGACTATATTGCCAATATTAGGTATATACCTTATAGTTTACGAATTATAGGTAGTCAAAGTTCTTTAAATGTCAAGTCACTATAAATTTTGATAGGTAGTTGATTATACAACAATTTATTATAAAGTTTTTGTGTAGGTGCTTCTATAGACACTAACTAAAACAAATGACTTGGTTTTTCCATGACATCTCACAACTTTTTAAAGTGCAAGCACTGCATTGCAAGACTTGGCATTTTTTTTACATTTTATGTTTTAATGGCTTAACGCTTGACATGCATGCATTATTCAAGCATATAAGATTTTCCATAGAGACTAGAGTATGGGATTCTTTAAGAAGGGTATATTAAGGTTTCTTCAGGGTTGTCAACGCACATGTGACACTCCTAGTGTTTTTTTTTATATAACGTATAATGGCAAACAAGCTGACGGCCCAAAGTGGTAACTGTCGCCTATAGACGTGAGAAGTACCATGGACATAACAGAATATACTGTTTCGCCCATGATACCCTCTATGCGTTGCCATTCCTGAGGATTCAGGTGTTATTCCTCTGTACCCAGTAAATTCACGCCATATCCCACCCTTCAAACCGAAACACAGCAAACACATCTGCTTCACGGTTGAAACACGAATGGGACAGAGGTACCCAAGCAATCGACTTTTGTACAAAGTCTCTCTCCTAGTGTTGCAGGCGTCCATAGGCTACAGTGATTGTTTATTATCAGATAAGTTGTATGTTTGTTTGCCAACATTGTGGTTTAAAAAATATAAGAATATAGCCTACAGTTGCCATCTATAAATTTTGTTACATATTTGGAAAGTATGAAATCAATTATTATATTAATGAAGTCACTGCCACGTCACATATGTTTTGACTTACTATCTTGCATGGGAACAATTCTATTGTTTATATTAATAATTTAAAATTTATTACAGGCCAAGGAACCTTCGTTATCACCAAGTATTTTGGATAACCGAGTTGAAAACCATGTTAACATTGACAGGAATAAAAGGACTAATAATGCACCTCTTAATGCATTTGATGAAGTTAGTTTTTTTTTTTTTATTTTTGTGTAATTATTTTATTATACTTTTTTTTTGTGTTTATACAACTTAGAATGGCAAACAAGCTGACGGTCCACCTGATGGAAAGTGATAACCGTCATCTATAGACATGAGCAGTACCATGGACATAACAGAGTATACTGTTTTGCCCATGATACCCCCCGTGCGTTACCATTCCTGAGGATTCAGGTGTTATTCCTCTGTACCCAGTAAATTCACGCCATATCCCACCCTTCAAACTGATACTTAAATGAATGTGTCGTTATCATCTCTCTGTTACTCTCTGAAATAACAACTTTCTGTAACATAATGCATTCAATTCTTCATAGATGTTCTTTTAATGATAAAGTTGCTATATATAATTAGATAAAGTATCTAAACCTTAATATATTTTATTTGTATTGTACATAGAAATGCTGTGATATTTAAAAATATTATAATTTTGTAGGAAGTTTTAATTTCATGAATAAGAGAGGTAGTAATAGCTGAATTCCACAGTTTCATTCATGTGAATTACTACATGAAATATTCTATGCGTCAAGTTAGAATACAATCTATCAGTGAATTAAATTTTATTCAAATCTGTTCAGCAGTTTTTGCATTAATAAGTAACAAACATTCATCTATCCATTCTTATAAACTATTTTATTTGTAATATTAATTGAATCTATATTTGTTCCAGTATGACGATATGGATTGTTTTCCATATACCTTCAACGAAACATCTAATACACCAATATCAGAAAAATGCAATAAATCTATAAGAATAAGTGCAACACCCAGCCCTCAAAAAAAGAAAATAGAACAAACCAGTTCAGCGAACACGAAAATTTTGAAAACACCTAAAAAAAGCAGTCCCAAAGAAAATGCCGAGATCAAAAGCCTGAAATTGGATACGTCTTTGAAAAATTTCTTGTTAAATATATCAGAGAATCCTTCTGTACAGAAAGCGAAATTAGTAAGTTTATATTTGCGTAAGTACTATACATGCGAGATTCATTACAAGACAAGGAAAATCATGTGATGTAAACTATATTAATAATCATATTTAAAAAATATAATTAAACATAAAAAATATTTTATGATTATGTCAAAATGAATTTTTTGCTTGAAGCTTTCTTTAATACTTACTGCTCATTATTGGATGCATTAAAATGTTAACTATGTTATAACAGTTAACATTTTGATGTGTTGCAAACATTGTAATTTGACCAAGCATCTGACTTATATTTATTTATTTATTTACAAGAAACATGGTAAGTGTATACATGTTACAATAAGTATAAGTCCTCATATTTCGCCATAATTAGGCGTGCAAATATTAAAACTTAAAAAAAATAAAGTTAAATATCTCATTAAAATTCAAAATGTTATATAAAAAAATCCATCAAAAATGTCAGACACTTGTTAACAATAAAAAAGAAAGAAATGTCACTGTCAAATCATATATGTAGTAAGTGAATATCTTAATTAATGAAGGTCTGTTAATTAAAATATAGATTTAAAATTCTAATAAAATATTGTATTTGCTTTACAGGATAAAAGTGCCTTAAGTTTACAAGATCTAGAGGAATGCAAAACATTATACATAGAGATACTAGAGAAAGTTTTCAATGCTTTTGATAGAATACCGACTAGAACGAAAGAGAAATTACCAGGATATAATAGTAAGATATACTCACATTTAAAATATTGGAGATATAAATTGAAGATGGCTATACAACAGACACCCAGTAAAAACACAAGTAAAAAAGCATCCAAGACCCAAAACGACAGCAAATCTGTTTCTACTATTGAATCGAATCTCTCTGCATCACCATCATTGTTAAATAATTGTGAAGATGATGATTTAGATGATTTCGATCTTAACGGTACCCAAGTTTCTGTGAAGAAATCTGTTAAGACCATATCTGAAGTTCCAGAAGCAAGAGGAAGTATTAACATGAATTACAATGCTGGACCCAGTACAAAACTAACAGACAAGACAGTGAAGAAGTCACTGTTTTGTGATTCATTTTCGACTTGTACCTCTACAAAAGATTTAGATATTAAAACTGAATGTGATGCAGGCAACTTGGATACACCATCCAATGTTAAAGGAAAAGGTAAATTTGTGTTCAAAAGGCCATCAAGAGCTGCCACAGAGGAGTCTAGTAATATGCCCTCTACAAGTCCCATAATTTCAAACACTGCTGAAAGACTAAAGAATGCGTTGGGAACTTTAAAACCTTTGGTGGACCAAGAATCACCAAAGGTGGTGCCAGTAGCAAACAGTTCAGTAAACTTCCAACCTCCTCAGCTGAGCAAGAGCTCTTTACTTTCTATGACTGATACAGTGCTTGAACCTTCAAGTGGTGATGATCCTTTGGTTGATGATGAGTACATGGATGAGTATTCAGTACCCATTGATATAGATGCTGATATTGAATTTGCGCATCCGTCAAGTGAGCCTATGAGTATAGACAGTGATCATAGTAAAGTTGCTGAAGTAGTCAACGATAAAGAGATACCAGTGGACGAGGATGGGTGGCCGGAATACAGGATGGAAGACTTTGAGGATGTTAATTTTGTATCAGAGAGTAAAGAACCAGAGGTGGTGAATTTGATGGAACACTCAATGGTTGAAGACAATAAAAAACCCAAATATGAAGGAATGGGCGACTTCCACGAGGGCACTAAAAATGACGGCATCACAGGTAAATCTGTTAACAGATATAATTTTCTTTTTTATATGCAAACAGATTGATGCAGGTGCTTTTAATATTCTATTTATCTCTTGCTATATCCATTCATCAATTCTTTCAAAGACATATGCCAATTCTAGTGACTTTTACCTTCGTCCTCTCACAGTATACCTACCTATCTACCAGTATACCTGTCTGATGATAATAGTTACTTCTACTACCTACATTTTTCTACATCTATATTCTACATGTTTTGTTAGTCTTATATCTGACAATGTGATTGTTTTTTCATTGTAGGTGAATTTGACGGTATGGACTATCCCCACTCATCACTGATGATGGAAATGTTCAAAGAGAAGTTTGGTCTAAAGACATTCCGTCCAAACCAGCTGCAGGTGATCAACGCGACGCTGCTTGGACACGACTGTTTCGTCTTGATGCCAACCGGAGGAGGTCAGTGGAGTGTTATCATTATAATAATAGTATTTGTAAAGGTTTATATAGAACAATGAAGAATAGGGAAAGAATATGCTATAGGCATGCAAAAATTAAAAACTGTTCTTTTTAGTTTATCATTAATTTCTATTACACTTAACAACTGTTGCTAGCATGCTTGGTTGCTGGACTTACAATGCTTAAGATAGAATACCACCAATCATCTGGTCATCAAGCTAGAAGAATATCATGTGTCGAAGATGATGATGTTCCATGAGGAACTAGGCAACAAACATTTCGAAATAAGTATTGCATCTCACTGCTAGGAACTAATTTGTCCATAGGAGGAGGATTTTTTTTAATGGATGATAATGGAATGATTGTCCCTTCTGCATCATTGGTATAAACTGACGGGGTACCAGTGAGGGATGATGAAGCAGATCAGTTGGCCCATCATGACAAATTCAACAATAAATCAATCACGATGGTTTCCAGGGCGAACCGCGTGAATGTCAGGTCCATTCATATATATATCATAGGGTATATTGCTAGCAATGGAGTTGCTAATCTTCATTACTAGTAATCTCTTTTCCCCCTAATGGAGGATGTTAGACTTACATGTACCATCTTCATCACTATATCAACCGTTAACTGCCCATTGCTGAACGTGGGCCTCCCCAATAAGGGGGGAGTTTTGCCAATAGTTGCCACGCTTTGTAGGCGGGTTGGCAGCCGTAGGCTTTTGGTGACGTTTTAAGAGAGACGCTGCTACCCATCCCTAGACTATTAAATTCCCTTGGTCACCTTTTACGACACCCATGGTAAAAGGAATATGTGGCCCAATCTATGCCGGGCCCATACGTCTAATGATGATCTTTAGGATACTTTTTTTAGTATGTAGTATCAGGAACCCAATATGATGGGGTAGATAGGATCAGGATAAGTAAGGGGAGTTCAGTAGCATTTAGAACAAGTAGTCAAAAGATAAATTATGTTACAGGCAAATCTCTGTGTTACCAACTGCCGGCCATATTGACACCGGGTGTTACGATCGTGATATCGCCCCTCAAGTCGCTCATATTGGACCAAGTCAACAAGCTGCTCTCATTAGATGTAAGTATCATCTGCAAAAGATAGAATTTGGAATAGGGTCGGGGTTCGAATGGGATCCTTCCAATTTCAACTGTGATGGCTCTTTGATTTAGGACTCTTTTACACTGTAAGGACGCAAGGCCGGAATTGCAAAATATATGACGAATCACTCATTCCGCGTTTTTATTATTTTAATTACAGTATTTTCAAATAAAATCGTTGCATCGCATTCTGTACTTCTTTTACCCTATATCGTTGGGTAGTTACCACACTTTTTTGATGTTTGCGACGTTGCCACACTTTGGTATGAACGTTCTAAATTTCGTTGTGTCCAGATCCCGGCGGCGCACTTGAGCGGCGACATATCGGCGGCGGAAGCGGACGAAGTGTACCACAAGCTGTCGATGCGCGAGCCGCTGCTGAAGTTGCTCTACGTCACGCCGGAAAAGATTAGCAGTTCGCCAAAATTTCAAGATGTCCTCACCGCTCTCTACTCGAGGGATAAGATTGCTAGGTAATTACTCTTATTGTTTCTTTAGTTTCAATAAAGACCACTATGATATGAGATAAGATTTGTGAGCATTTCCATTGAGTCACTTGTTTTACAGTCTTCTGAATGGTACTTGTATAATAAGGCGACATGATGCATCGATTATATTATGCTTTTAGACTTCGTATAAACAAGAGAATAAGTGAGCGCGGGTGTTTGCGTGCATATGTGTACGTGTATTTGGTATTAGTGCGTGTGTGTGGTATGGTGGGCGGCAGGTTCGTGGTAGACGAGGCGCACTGCGTGTCGCAGTGGGGGCACGACTTCCGGCCCGACTACAAGCGGCTGCACGTGCTGCGCCAGCGCTCGTGTGTGTGTGTGTGTGTGTGTGTGTATGTGGTGTCAGTGCGTGGTGTGGTGGGCGGCAGGTTCGTGGTAGACGAGGCGCACTGCGTGTCGCAGTGGGGGCACGACTTCCGGCCCGACTACAAGCGGCTGCACGTGCTGCGCCAGCGCTCGTGTGTGTGTGTGTGTATGTGGTGTCAGTGCGTGGTGTGGTGGGCGGCAGGTTCGTGGTAGACGAGGCGCACTGCGTGTCGCAGTGGGGGCACGACTTCCGGCCCGACTACAAGCGGCTGCACGTGCTGCGCCAGCGCTCGTGTGTGTGTGTGTGTGTGTGTATGTGGTGTCAGTGCGTGGTGTGGTGGGCGGCAGGTTCGTGGTAGACGAGGCGCACTGCGTGTCGCAGTGGGGGCACGACTTCCGGCCCGACTACAAGCGGCTGCACGTGCTGCGCCAGCGCTCGTGTGTGTGTGTATGTGTATGTGGTGTCAGTGCGTGGTGTGGTGGGCGGCAGGTTCGTGGTAGACGAGGCGCACTGCGTGTCGCAGTGGGGGCACGACTTCCGGCCCGACTACAAGCGGCTGCACGTGCTGCGCCAGCGCTCGTGTGTGTGTGTGTGTGTGTATGTGGTGTCAGTGCGTGGTGTGGTGGGCGGCAGGTTCGTGGTAGACGAGGCGCACTGCGTGTCGCAGTGGGGGCACGACTTCCGGCCCGACTACAGGCGGCTGCACGTGCTGCGCCAGCGCTCGTGTGTGTGTGTGTCTGTGTCTGTGTGTGTGGTGTGGTGTCGGCAGTGCGTGGTGTGGTGGTGCGGCAGTGGGTAGACGAGACGCACTGCGTGTCGCAGCGCTGTGTGTGTGTGTGTGTGTATGTGGTGTCCGGCCCGGCAGGTTCGTAGACGAAGCGGCTGCACGTGCTGCGCCAGCGCTCGTGTGTGTGTGTGTGTGTGTGTGTGTATGTGGTGTCAGTGCGTGGTGTGGTGGGCGGCAGGTTCGTGGTAGACGAGGCGCACTGCGTGTCGCAGTGGGGGCACGACTTCCGGCCCGACTACAAGCGGCTGCACGTGCTGCGCCAGCGCTCGTGTGTGTGTGTGTGTGTGTGTGTGTATGTGGTGTCAGTGCGTGGTGTGGTGGGCGGCAGGTTCGTGGTAGACGAGGCGCACTGCGTGTCGCAGTGGGGGCACGACTTCCGGCCCGACTACAAGCGGTGTGTGTGTGTGTGTATGTGGTGTCTGCGCCAGCGCTCGTGTGTGTGTGTGTGTGTGTGTGTGTGTGTGTGTCAGTGCGTGGTGTGGTGGGCGGCAGATTCGTGGTAGACGAGGCGCACTGCGTGTCGCAGTGGGGGCACGACTTCCGGCCCGACTACAAGCGGCTGCACGTGCTGCGCCAGCGCTCGTGTGTGTGTGTGTGTGTGTGTGTATGTGGTGTCAGTGCGTGGTGTGGTGGGCGGCAGGTTCGTGGTAGACGAGGCGCACTGCGTGTCGCAGTGGGGGCACGACTTCCGGCCCGACTACAAGCGGCTGCACGTGCTGCGCCAGCGCTCGTGTGTGTGTGTGTGTGTGTGTGTATGTGGTGTCAGTGCGTGGTGTGGTGGGCGGCAGGTTCGTGGTAGACGAGGCGCACTGCGTGTCGCAGTGGGGGCACGACTTCCGGCCCGACTACAAGCGGCTGCACGTGCTGCGCCAGCGCTCGTGTGTGTGTGTGTGTGTGTGTATGTGGTGTCAGTGCGTGGTGTGGTGGGCGGCAGATTCGTGGTAGACGAGGCGCACTGCGTGTCGCAGTGGGGGCACGACTTCCGGCCCGACTACAAGCGGCTGCACGTGCTGCGCCAGCGCTCGTGTGTGTGTGTGTGTGTGTGTGTATGTGGTGTCAGTGCGTGGTGTGGTGGGCGGCAGGTTCGTGGTAGACGAGACGCACTGCGTGTCGCAGTGGGGGCACGACTTCCGGCCCGACTACAAGCGGCTGCACGTGCTGCGCCAGCGCTCGTGTGTGTGTGTGTGTGTGTGTATGTGGTGTCAGTGCGTGGTGTGGTGGGCGGCAGGTTCGTGGTAGACGAGGCGCACTGCGTGTCGCAGTGGGGGCACGACTTCCGGCCCGACTACAAGCGGCTGCACGTGCTGCGCCAGCGCTTCCCGCGCGCGCCGCTCATGGCGCTTACAGCCACCGCCACGCCCAGGGTGCGCATGGACATCCTGCACCAGCTTAAGGTACGTATGAAAAAGACATGTAAGTTTGTCTTTTTTATTCTTATCATTTACATGACATATGACGTGAAGTAATAAAAAAATAACCGTAAATATGTTTCTAGTTAGACGATTAGAATTATTTTCTTTAATTTGCTATCTTTAGTATGTGTGTGACTGCCAACAGTCGAAGATATTGGTCTTTACTCGAAGATTGGTTTGGTGGTCCATTATTACTATCAGAATTTCTACAACTTTCCATATTAACCATCAATCTCCAACTGCTGTTTTTCTTTTAATTTTCCTTTCAGTCACTTTGAAAACGACGTTTTATCAAATCTTCTGAAAGTCGTGAACCGAGTCGTGATTGAGCACACTACGAATACAGTTTATAGTATATAAGGATTTTTACAATAGCTTTGCTCTAGGTCACCGGATGCAAGTGGTTTCTATCCAGCTTCAACCGGCCAAATCTCATATACAAGATATTGGAGAAGAAACCTAAAAGTATCAACGAGGAAGTCGTTGCAGTTATCAAGGAGAAATTTTATAGGTTCGTCTGTTATCAATTCGAGTATAGCGCTTTTTACAGCTCGCTAAGCTACTGGAGCTTTCTAAAATCCGTTAAACTCAGCAAAAAGTTATAAACATACAGCCTTTTATATACTTACTCGGCTGCGGCTCGGCTAGAGTAGAGTAAAATACTAAAGTTAGTGGTGGGCTTAATGTTTGGACTGCGGCGTGCAGAGATTCGGGCATCGTGTACTGCCTGTCGCGCAAGGAGTGCGACGAGATGGCAGCGGCGCTGCGGCGCGCGGGGCTGGCGGCCGCCGCCTACCACGCCGGCCTGCCCGACCGCCAGCGCGGCGCCGTGCAGACCGCCTGGCTCGCCGACCGCCATAAGGTGGTAAGTGCACGTCGCACCACGCCTCGCCACACTACACTGCACTACACTACACACCACACCCTGCCCGACCGCCAGCGCGGCGCCGTGCAGACCGCCTGGCTCGCCGACCGCCATAAGGTGGTAAGTGCACGTCGCACCACGCCTCGCCACACTACACTGCACTACACTACACACCACACCGCCTCACCCTGCCCAACCGCCAGCGCGGCGCCGTGCAGACCGCCTGGCTCGCCGACCGCCATAAGGTGGTAAGTGCACGTCGCACCACGCCTCGCCACACTACACTGCACTACACTACACACCACACCCTGCCCGACCGCCAGCGCGGCGCTGTGCAGACTTCCTGGCTCGCCGACCGCCACAAGGTGGTAAGTGTGCGCCCGCACCACACCTCGCCACACTACATTGCATTACACTACACACCACACCGCCTCACCCTGCCCAACCGCCAGCGCGGCGCCGTGCAGACCGCCTGGCTCGCCGACCGCCACAAGGTGGTAAGTGCGCACCCGCACCACGCCTCGCCACATTACACTGTACTTCATTACACTACACTACACACCACACCGCTTGTGTTTCCAAGTCAAACACAACTATGCTACTTTATGCAAGTATAGTTTTTTGATGATAGAATTAATAGATTTACTTTCTTATGGTTTTTTTTTATCATCGTACTCATTCCTTTGTACTTTGTAATTTCACTACAATATCCCACCTTTTTTTAAACTGAACAGCCATGTAGACAGTTGCTTGGTGGCAAAAACAGGTGCCTTTTCTGAGCCTCTGTAAACCAACGGGGCACGACACTGGCACTGCCTTCGATTGCAGATCTGCGCGACAATAGCGTTCGGCATGGGCGTGGACAAGGCGGACGTGCGGTTCGTGATCCACCACAGCATGCCCAAGTCGGTGGAGGGCTACTACCAGGAGGCGGGCCGCGCCGGCCGCGACGGCGAGCTGGCGCACTGCCTGCTCTACTATTGCTACGGCGACGTGATACGCTACCGCCGCCTGCTGCACAGTACGCACTCGCACTCTTTTAGACACGTACACTAATATTTACTCTCTCGCTCTATTTCTTTTTTTATAATACTCAGAATGGCAAATAGGTTGACAGTAACTTTTCATATTTAATTATACAACTGTAATTTTTAAATGTAAATGAAACTGGTGCGCTCGATTTTGTTAATGGTTAATTGATTTGTAATCTAAAAAGATTTAATTTTTTTTTTATTTTCTCGCTCATTCATAAAGGGATATTCTTTATTTAAAAATGTTTGTTCATAGACTGATTCGATTAAACGAGTTTTAATGATTTAATTTGTTACATTGAATTTGTTAAGATTACAGTATATAATTTTAGTCTGTGTAAATCCTTCGCCTATAATGTAAGTGGTGCCAAATTTGGCGAGTGACGAATGTTAACGTTCGGGCGTAGTGGAGCGCAACACGACGGCGGAGGCGCGGCGCGTGCACGAGGAGAACCTGCTGCGCATGGTGGAGGTGTGCGAGAGCGTGGCCGAGTGCCGCCGCGCGCACGTGCTCGCCATCCTGGGCGAGCGCTTCCCGCGCGACCGCTGCCGCGCCGCCGCCGCCGCCTGCGACACCTGCCGGGCACGCACGCGCCACCAGGTACGTGCACCAGGAGAACCTGCTGCGCATGGTGGAGGTGTGCGAGAGCGTGGCCGAGTGCTTCAGGCGCTACCGCTGACGCAACTCATTCGACATTATTATGGATTACTGTGCTTTACATTACATAATTGTATTTTATATAGATTCCCTAATTCTTCTCAATATGATTTCAATTTGGTCCTATTCTTTTTGTTTCGACAAAATAGAAATGTATTACACAGTATTCGTATACACCTTGTATAAACAAATTGTAGGAACAGCACGATTCAACTATGTATATAAATAAATGACGTCTGCCCACATGCAAATGAGCAAATTGTAAGCACGATGTGTTCTTTCTTTGAACGATCAAAACTATATCTGTTTTGTTGTACAAAAGTATCAGTTCCTGTCGCGGCGAGCAGTGCTACGAGCGTGGCTGTAGTGGCGTACAGTAGCGCTAGTAGAGAGTGTGACCGGCGCGTGTTGTCGGCAGCCGGTGGACGTGACGGAGGAGTGCCGCGCGGTGGTGTCGTGCGTGGGCGGCGCCCGCGGCCGCTACACGCTGCTGCAGCTGGCCGACACGCTGCGCGGCTCGCGCCAGCAGCGCCTCGCCGCGCTGCACGACCACCCTATACACGGACGGTGCGCCTGCCGCCATCAATCTCCCAATCTATTTTTATTGCTATTCTGAGCCAATAGATGGCGTTGTAAATTTTTTATTCCCACACATTTTATATTCTTTTTATATTAATACCAGCCCCCTATGTACTTTTTATTATAACAGACTGTGATTTGTTAATCTTTGTCGGGTGCCCACGATACAGGTTCGCCTAGTGTGGGGCCCATTGTATCTTGTGTTTGCATCTTTGTGTTTTATCAATTAATAAATTTCTATTCTATTACTTAAATGATTAAACACGATGTTTATGCGTAAATACGTGAATACCCTTACGCTATGAATAGTACAGAACTTTACCAATATACAGATTGGTTACGAGTATAGCACCAGACCATGCATCTTTTATAGCCCTTCGAGCCGGATTAAATTAATGTGTGTACAAAATATATTTAATTTTTTTTTTTACATTTTATACCGACAATATGTGGGCAGGTGCAAGTCGTGGGATCGCGGCGACGTGCAGAGACTGCTGCGCCACCTGGTGGTGCGCGGGCTGCTGGCCGAGCGACTCGTCTTCACCAACGACATCGCCAGCGCGTACCTCGAGTTAGGGCCCAACGCAAACAAGTATGGTCTAATTTGAATTATAACAACCATACTAAAAGATTTTCATGTTCATTACATGAGTTATAAGTTCAAAACAGAGACTTAGTACAAAAGTCGACTGTCTTTGCTAAACTCGTGTTATTTCCTGTTCACACATATCTAGCCATTCCCTATGGGGTGTAGTTACGGGCCTCGAGTTACTAGTTTATTGCCAGGGTAATATTACGGTGAGATGCCATGACTGTGTCGTTTATTTTAGCCCTGATTTTAAGATTCTGCTATTAAAGTAACATCAATTAGGGGAAATAGGATATAGGCGACGGTTACCACTTTCCATTAGGTGGGCCGTCAGTTTATTTGTCATTCTAAGTTGTATAAAATAGGATTTTGCTCCAAGAAACAACATCGATTTCAATTCGTAAATTTACAATGTACAGAGGAATAACACCTGAGTCCTCAGGAATGGCAACGCATGGAGGTATCATAGGTGAAACAGTATACTCTGTTATGTCCATGGTACTGCTCATGTCTATAGGCGACGGTTACCACTTTCCATCAGGTGGGCCGTCAGCTTGTTTGACATTCTAAGTTGTATAAAAAAATCATAGTCAAACCACTCGTTTTGATTTTAAAACTAAACCGCTGAACCGATTTTAGTAAAATTTGTATAGGATCAATCTGAAACTATATTCTTCGAGAAAAAAGATTTTTACTTACCATATAAGGTTTTATGCTATAGTATTTTCTTGTTTATTGGATTTTTTTATACAACTTAGAATGGCAAACAAGCTGACGGCCCACCTGATGGAAAGTGGTAACCGTCGCCTATAGACATGAGCAGTACAATGAAAGAATTTTCCAGATCGGTTTATAAATGACGGAGTTATGAGTTAACAAATACAAAAATACAATCAAACCGAGAACCTTCATTTTTGACGTTTTTTGAAAATGAAATTATTCATGTAGAATATTGTCTGGTGGCCACCGTGTGGTGTTCCCAATGCGGTGCGCGGAGAAGCCGAGCGTTAGCTTGCCGGTAGGGGGCGCGGCCGGTGCCGGGTCCGACGTGTCGCCCGTGCACGCGCTGCTTAAGAGGATCGAGGAGCGTTGCTACGCCGACCTGGTCGAAGCCTGCAGGTACATCCTCACCGTACCTCGGGTACAGGCAGCGACAGAATTCGCTGCACATAGTTAATTTATAAAAAATTCTAAGTGTTATTAAATATAGAGTGTAAAAACAGGTTAGTAAAAACTGAAACAGTGAATTTAGACCATTATTCTGAACGGAAAACCAGTGGTAATTCTTTCCGGAAAATTTCAATTTTTTTACTGTTTTTTTTTTTATTTATTTAAAATATTGTAATGATACAAATATAAAGAAATAATAATATTTTATAGTGAAATACTATGAAATATCAAAAAACAACAATGTAATTTTCCGTATAAATTCGCATTAAAATCCTTTTGCAATGCGCGGAATCAGCTGTATAAAGTCAACGCTACAAGCGTACTAAAACTACCTACGAAGAAGCGCTTTTGACTGCGCTTTGTAGGTATCTTGCGTCGTGTGGATTGTAAAATTTCAAATATATTGCGCGGCGTCGAATCTATGGATCGTTAATTATGTGGTGCATTTTTTGCATTTCTGGTGGAAAATAATCTGCCATCTGATTCAGAGCATTCCTCTGAATATACATATATATACACGGTCGCGTGCAGGGAGATGGGCGAGGCCCGCGGCGTGTCGCTGGCGGCGGTGCTGCCGCAGGCGGCGCTGAAGGCGATGTGCCAGCGGCTGCCCGACACGGCCGAGGCGATGCTGGCGCTGCCGCACGTCACGCGCGCCAACTACGACAAGTACGGAGCGCATCTGCTGACCATCACCTCCGCCTACGCCGTCGAGAAGATGGGTGAGCACACGGACGGTCACACGCATACACACACACACACACGCACGCACACGCACACGCACACGCACTCACGCACGCACACGCACTCACACGCATACGCACACGCACTCACACGCATACGCACACGTACTACACACACACGCACACGCATACACACGCGCACACACACATACACACGCGCACACACACATACACACGCGCACACACACACACACACAAGCGCGCGCGTGCGCGCATACACACACGCACATGCATACTCATACACGCACATACGGACACACACGCACACGCATACGTACATACGCACACACACACACACAGAGAGAGAGAGAGAGATACACACACACACACACATATATACACACACACCTGCACTTCTACGCTGCCTCTAAAATATCTAAAAATATCACCCTCGTCACAGGCACTGCTCGCGTTATTGCACGTTAGAGAGTATGTTAGTTTACTTGCGCCAACTGTTATAAATATAGGACCCAGCTGCTGGAGCTCACAGCCGTCTATGCTGTTGAGGAGTTGGATGAGACACGCGTACTCATCGTGTTCTGGTCGTTCTAGAATATTCTAGAAATATTACACTAGCCGGAGGCACTGTTCTTCATACCGTAAATTATTCGCCCCAACTATGATAAGCGATATGGAAGGTAGCTATGGCTGTGGCTAAGGAAGAGAGGGGCATTGAGGGCAACGCCCTACTTTAAAAAGCCCAATGCCCTACCTTAAAATGAAAAGCCCCATGAAAATTAGGCAGATTCGCTCTTTCGAAGTCAATTAATTATGACCACTACCTTATTAAAAAAATTGTTTTGCTCTGCCTTGACCCAAGTGGTCTAGTTACGGCCCTGGACGTAGCCGCTCAAAATTATTTCCGCATACGTCGTCGAGAAGCTGGGTGAGACTGGCTCTAAAATATTGTAGAAATTGTAAAAATTAAATTAAGTTGATTGTTTAACTGAACCCTGGTGTCTAAAAGTTTGGCTCATAGCATTAAGTCCGCCTTGTACATTCATATTTGTGATAATAAATAAATTGGCAGTGAATCTACAGAGTACATAGGAATGACATCCAAGTCCTCAGAAATATCAATGCATTGGGGATATCATGGGTGAAATAGAATATTCTGTTATATCCATGGTACTGCTCATGTCTATAGGCGACGGTTACCACTTTCCATCAGGTGGGCCGTCAGCTTGTTTGCCATTTAAGGTTTGTGAATCCATAGGTGTCCTGATGCAGTACGAGGATGATTTAGAGGCTGAGAAGGCCAAGGAGGAGCAGTCGGAGGAATCGGATTCGCCGCCCAGCAGCAGCACTTCGCGCCGCGGCTCTCCCCGCGCCCGCAGCGGTACGCGCGGCGGCGTGCGGAAGAGGTAGGTTTTATTTTTCTTTTTTTTTTATACGACTTAGAATGGCAAACAAGCTGACGGCCCACGGCATTTGAGAAATAGGAAAGCAAATTAAAAAGATCACTTTTAGATGGGCGTAACAAGTTCAAATATACACTAGGAGGTCTACTATGAAATGAAACTCCAAATTTTCGGGTCATTTTCGTGTTATTATTCGTATTAACATTGGCCCATTGTATATTTATTTATTTAAATCTTTATTGCACCAGAAACATAAAAATATACAATGACAATTGAATAATTCAAGTGAATTATTTATAAAACATCGAATATATAAGAATTCCATGTAACAGTGTTCGTGGTCGCGCTTCTCCAAAACGACTCGACCGATTTTTATGATTTTTTTTATCTATATATTTTTTATTGCACCTGAACAATAGATACAGCGAGTAGTTTTACAACTAGTTTTTTATGTATATTTTGTAAGTATAAGATTAGGTCATAAAGTATACATGTAATACCGCTAGGTGATTAGGGAACCCCCTATTTGTAATTTATATAACAAAACAACGTTTGCCGGGCCGGCTAGTAAATTAATAAATAATAGATAAATAAATTAACCACCTAATGCGAGGGTTTTTCTGTGAAATGAGGTCAACTGGCGCACTGGCGCAAGCACTAAATTCGAACGAGCATACAATAAATATACACTAAGCTCTATGAAATACAAACGGGCGAGAACGTATCGCTCCAGATAAAAATATAAACATAATATTTATGAATACTCGGGATAGCGCAAATCTGAACACATTTGATGCGCGAGAGGTCTCGTTCGAGATGTTTAAGTGTTTTTTTTTTATTTTATATGGGTGAAAATGGTAAGGTAACCCCGCCTGCGTTAACGGGATACGCTGGCGGAGCACCAGTGAAGGGTGATAGATGAGAATGAAAACAGGCCAGTTAGCCCATCATGATGAATTCATCAGGAATTAACCATGATAGTTTCCAGGGGGAACCGCGAGGAGGTCGACCTGGTTGGGTATATTGCTAGCAATGGGATTCTCAGCCTCCATTACTAACAATCCCTTTCCCCCCTGTTTAAGTGGTTAGTACATTGTATTATTTAATGAAATGCCTCTATGCAGGTACAGGCGCAAGCCGACGTCGGCCGCCAAGAAGAAAGCGGCTAAAGGGGCGTGGGGGACGCGCGGCAGGACCGCCGCTACACGTACGTACTTATTTCTTTTATACAACTACATATCTAAATAGATAAATAAATATTTATAATAAATAAATTTCCCAGCAAATTGTTTATAATTGAAATAAATATAGCTCCTCTCCATCCAAAGGTTGCCTAGAAGAGATCGCTCTTAGCGATAAGGCCGCCCATTGTTTTCTCATTGTGATTATTTCTTGTAATTGTTTATATTTATAATAAGTTTACTATTGTAATCTTTTGGAGGAAACAATAAAGAGTATCTATCTATCTATAAATATTTATTTATTTATTATTATAATGCATTCATATACATAATATAGAGTTGTTACAATGTTCTTATGATGAGTAAGTACATGAAGCCCTGTTTGGGTGTAGCAAAATTATATTGATACGTATCTAGTATACATGCATCGACCGTAGGCAGGAATAACAGAAAATATAATTGACGGTGCAACGTGATTAATCTATGAAACAAATATAACTTTTTATTAATATCCAATGTCGGTTCGATGTTGCAGCAAGCACGAGCACGAGCAAAAGCAAGAGCAAGTTCGGCAACAAGCTCGGCAGCATGCCGGTGCCCCGGCCCAACAACACGCTCAACACGCGGCCCGGCGTGTTCAACCCTTCGAAGCTGAACCTCATTTGAACCATCGCTGTATTCGCTAGCAATAACATTACGACTACAACCCCTGATGGGGTAGCCAGAGGCGTTACATGACTGTTGCTGATGTAGTAACATTCGATATGGCTGTAGTTTACCGAGCATATAATGTTAATAGAGTTCAAACGTGGTAGAGGGTAATTCTGCCCTTGTGACTTGGATTAATTTGGTTACCTTATTTCCCCCCACCGGGGTGAGTTTGGAAATTTAAATTAACACAGTTTTTGATGTCCACTTGATTCCAACACATGACTTTTAGGTTCTAAAGCCAGTGGTAATAGACGACAGGGGACATGAGTGGAACATGACATTCATTAGTTGTAACTCGGTCATTAAACCCAATAATGTAGCAGTTTTTTTTTATATACAACTTAGAATGGCGAACAAGCTGACGGCGCACCAGATGGAAAGTGGTAACCGTCGCCTATAGACATGAGCAGTACCATGCACATAACAGAGTATACTGTTTCGCCCATGATACCCCTCATACGTCGCCATTCCTGAGGACTCGGATGTTATTCCTCTGTACCCAGTAAATTGATTTTAATGTCAGTAACATCAGTAGACATTTTAAATATCATTTGTAACAACAGTATTATTTGTATTAAAACTGATATTAAGATGTAAAATACCAGATTAGTGAGGGTAGTTAAATTTTATTCCCTTCAGAGTTTCTTCAGGGTCGGCAACAAGCGCGTAATATCCTTGGTATTGCAGCTGTACATAGGCTACGGTAACCGCTTATCATCAGGTGGGCCGGATACTTGTTTGCCGCCTCAGTGGTATAAAAAAAATCCTTCAGAGGCATATATAAGAAGGGAATGGGTGAGCCGTACTCTATCCCAGGGTTAGGATCGGAGCTTTCAGCTGTGGGCAGAGACATTTTTAAAAGTAAATATGGGCCTCTTCAAATAAATTAAGCCACCCCCTGGGAAATTATCATAAATATTGTCAATGATCTTATTTATTAGAACTAAAACCTACAAATCAGTATGAACTGTTAATTTTTTTTTAATTAAGAATATAGTTTAAAATAAAAAAGAAAAAAAAAACACTTCAATCGCTGAAATAGGTTTTATGCATGTTTGAGTTTTTTTTTATAAATAAAGATATAAATTAAGCTTTTTTACCCAACTACGCAAATTAAAAATGGGTTATGACATTAAATAATTACAGATTCCACCGATCCAGTGATATATAATGTTAAATGTATGTAACATATGTTTCGAAATAGTGTTACTGTACATATTTATTAAATTGGTAAAAATTGTTGTTTAAAAATGTAATTCCGTAATAATTAATTGTAAATAAATGATTTATTTTTTTATATAAAAATGTTATTATTTTAGTTGTGTTTGTTTAAATAGGGGATTTGTCGACGGAGGATAAAAGTACCTTTTGTGCTTGACATGGACGCCATTGTTATACATTCTAATAACCGTAAATTTTTAATATTTTATACTGGAGGGTCACAAGCAGTCTATTTGTTTGTATGTTTGTTCTCTTAAAAATTTGGGATTGTTAGCATCACTTTCTGTCAATGGAGTTCGACATTGCTAGCAATATGCCCTATTAGATCGACCTCCACGTGCTTCTCCCTGGAAACCATCGTGAACAATTCTTGTTGAATTCGTCACGATGTGCTAACTGACCTGCTTCATCCTCACCTATCATCCCTCACTGGTGCCCCACCGGTGTATACCGATAGCGCGGGTGGGGTTACCATTCCATTATCATCCATTAAAAAAAAAACTAACCTACTGCAGGGATACCATTTCAATTTCAGCCATTAAAAAAAAAACGGGATATTTACTACTTAAACTCAGTAACTAGTATAGTATTATATTATTTGTGCTTATACTAAATTATAACAATAAGTTAGTAACCAACAGAATAAGTTATATGAAATATCAAAGTGAACATTTTAGGCCTCTACAATATTTTTCAATCAATACCATACAATAATTTGGGATGTTGTAATTTATATAAATATATATATATATATATATATATATATATATATATATATATATATATATATATATATATATATATAAAATACCATCAAAAAGATACCATCAAAAATCATTAGCCGAGCACTCTTCCCACATCATTACGTGATCATCAGTGTTAGCTACCGAACATGTATACTATAATGAATATATTTATTTACAATCTGTCTATATATTTGTATTGTGTACTGAGCAAACCTCAAAGTAATTTGGCGCCAACGAACTTACTGGCGACCCGTATAGGACCGTGTCACGACGTCACCAGTACAGTGGTGACCGTATCCGAAATGAGCTTGAGCACTCGACTCCACGACTCGTCACTGAGCGGCGAGATGAACGTGTCACGGGATATTGACAATGGTTGGACTGTCAAGGTAATTTATTTTTAAATGTTTTTTTTATGGATGATAATGGAACGGTAACCCCGCTTGCGCTGTCGATAAGTATACGCTGGCGGGGCACCAGTGATAGTTGATGATGAAAGCATGTCAGTTAGCTTATCGTGATGAATTCAATAAGAATTAACCACGATGGTTTCCAGGGGGAACCGCGTGGAGGTCGACCTGATAGGGTATGTTGCTAGTAGACAGGCTGGTAGACAGCCCCATTGCTAAATTACTTCACCAGCAGTGGAGAGTAAATGGTTGATATGTTGATGATGATGATATAAAGAATTCTATGTGTTTAGATATAACTTGTCCATGGAAAGGAAAAGGTTTTGTTAGTAACGTGGACAAATTAGATAAACAAATATTTTGCCAGCAATAGGGAGACCTAATAATGATACAATAATATTAAATGTTTTGCTGTAAAGTTATTTTGTACATCTATAAATATAACCTAACAGGTCAACCTCCATACGGTCTCCTTGGAAACCATTGTGGTAAATCAAGTCAGTTGGCGCACCGTGATGAATTCATCAGGATGTTCGAACTGACATGATTTCATTCTCACCTATCATCCTTCACTGGTGTTCCGTCAGCGTAAAGCGTTACCATTCCATTTTAATATCACAGAAAAAAACTTCGTAGACCTACTGTTTATACACGATGGTTTCCAGGCTTTGATGCAGAAATGTCAGGACATCCGTAACCTGGACACGTGTGATTATTTCAAGTCTTTCCCGGTGGTAAGGAACGGTTGCAAGGAAGATGACGAGTCCGATGAAGCAGACCTGTATTCTATGCTCTTCCATCGTTCTCAGCCAAGGTATAAAAATACTGAAACCTTTAATTACGGGTCAGCTGACGGTCGTCACGCGCCCTGTACCCTTCCCCGCGTACGGTTGAACGCCCATTGCTTATCTCTATCTAGGCTCGACCATATTTTTTTTTATGCAACTTAGAATGGCAAACAAGCTAACGAAAAGCTGATGGAAAGTGGTAACCGTCGCCTATAGACATGTCTTATGTCATATGTAGGCGACGGTTACTCATGAGTAATAACCATAGACATAATAGAGTATATTGTTTCACCCATGATATCTCCCATGTGTTGCCATTCCTGAGGATTCAGATGTTATTCTTCTGTACCCTGTAAATTCACTGCCATATCCTACCCTTCAAACCGAAACAGTCATACAAACACAATTGTTTCACAGTAGAAACACGAATGGAACAGAGACCTATATCCCGCGGCTTTGCTTGCTTGAATCAGTATATATTACTTCTCTCCATCCAAAAGTTGCCTGGATGAGATCGCTTTTAGCAATAAGTACGCCCATTGTTTTCTCGATGTAATCATTTCTAGTAATTGTTTGTGTCTATAATAAGTTTACTATTGTAATCTTTAGGAGGAAACAATGAAGAGTATCTATAAGATACTCGTATCTTATGTGCTAAGTTACGATATAACCTACTCGCGTGCAAAATTTCATCCGTTTTGTAATTCTTGCATATTATTATGAAGTAATTTAGCAGAGTATTTATTGTTATAATTAACCTTTAAAAACCTGATTTTTAAATCAAATTAAAAAATATATAAGTGTACCCTTTATTGTGTTTACTAATGGGGAAAAATAGTAAAAAAATCAAAACGATATTTTATATACTTATTATGAAAAAAAAAAAAACATTTGGTAACATGTAAACAGCCAAATATTAAAATAAAATCGATTGTAGGCGCCGAATGCGATTTATAACCCCGATAACAAATTTGAAACTACAGGTACTTGAGGGTTAAATACGCTTACTTTCTTTTTTTACAATTAACAGACAGCAACCAGAGAGCATCACTCTACATACATCAAACATAGACTAACAAAGTTGCCATATTAAGAAATGTGTGGATTGCTTTTTCAAAATTGCATAAAAAAAGTAACAAACATATACTCATCCTTGCAAAGTTTTGCATTTATAATTTTCATTATGTCATCATATCAGTTGTTAACTATAGATTCTTTATTGCACTTGTAAGTTACATATAAAATTATTATATATTTATAAATGTTGTAAGCAAGGCTGGACTTATCTCTGACAGAGATCTCTTCCAGTCAACCCAGTACAGTGCGAAAGCATGTCGTTAGCGGGCAGCTGAAGTGCTACAACTATTAATACATAAACAAATATACAGTTATGGCGAGTAACCTGCGCGCACCATAAGGGTGTTCTGAAAAGGCTAGACTACAAAACTCTTGCAGAGAGTCGTACTTGTAAAATTGCGCTACCTCCTGTTCGTACTACATTTGTAAAGCGTTTACCTCTATTTTCTCATCCATTATATCATCTGGTATATTTGTAATATACCAGAGAGTAAATCGTAAGTATTTTGTTTAATCGCATGTTTTGTCAACAGCATGTCATGCCCCATAAAGGCGGGAAGCTACAACATAGTAAACTACCCTATATTCAACGAAGACAACTACTTGGCAGTATCGGAAGCTAAGATTTCAACCAGCGTTTTTGGATACACGTTCAGATTGGAGGGGTTCAGTAGGAATATTAAGGTTCTTTTTAAAATTAGCATTTATTAATGACTAGCTATATTCCGCAGTTCCACCTGCCTGTACATAAAGTATTTTATAAGCTAAGTTAGGTTATAACCTATTTGTGTACTAAGTTTCCTTCAAATCCGTTCAGTAGTTTTAGCGTGAAATAGTAACAAACAAATATTCATACATCCTTACATATTTTCGGACTTATAATACTCAAAATAAAATCCGATAGAATTCCTATTCCAGTAATTATGATGCATTTCAAAAGATTTCAAAGAGGGCGGCATTTAAATCCGAGCGGTCTACGCCATGCCATCTATCAAAAAGTTATTGACAAAAAATAAATAATTTTCCCGTATTGTTTCGTAAGCGCATATTATATTTTAATATAGTAACTATTGGTTTAACTTATGTGTAATTTGATCGAGGATGCTCGACTAGTTTCGGGACCATCCGTGACCCTTAGTTTTGAGCGGCTCTGACACTTGCGCTCGCGTCACATAGTTATTACATTAAAAAGAAATAAGTAGATCGTCAATAAATAGATAGGATCTTTTATGCCAATGCTTATTATATATTCGATTGCCGTTTCCAGATATTTTGCATAGAAGCTTACCTACAATTGTTGTACATCAGGGAGCATAACTGGAACCAGGATGAGGCTGTTACATCGGAGCCTTCCAGCGAAGAGGACAAGCGGGCGAGTGATGAAAAGTAGCTTACTCAGTAAAAAGTAATATTATACTATTTAATTCATTAAATATCAATGATATTGTCCACAAAAATGACATTGCATTTAGAAAGAAAGAAAGAAGAAAGAATTACATTTACAACATCAGATGTTAATACGAGTATATAGTTCCTTGCTGTAGAATTAATATTGGTTTGCTTTATAAAGCAACCTATTACTCATAATTCGACTGTTCTTTGATGGAAGTCGAAAAAATTCAAATTAAAAAATACTAAATTAAACCTGTCCATAGTACAAAAAAAAAACCCTCTGACTGCAACTTTGAAATTGCTATTATTTACGTTTTAAAAAATAAAACAATAAAATAAATATAAATTTTTATTCGTCCCATCCCCAAAGGCCGTGACTCTCCCTAATCGTCTCCCTGTTGTCCCTCCTCGCTCTGGTCACAGCGCTCGCTTCTCCCTTAGCAACCGCCTTCTTCCTTTCCATTTTCTTCTGACGCGTTTCTAGATTCTTCTTTACTTGTTGCTTCACTACCTCAGGTGCTATCGTACTCGCCGACGTATAGGAGCGCTGAGATCTAACATCTGACAATGCTTTCTCTATCATAGCTAATCTATACTTCTGTGAGGTTCTATCAAGCTCTGCAATATTGTCTTCTTCTTCTAAACGAGTCTCCGCTGGTACCAGATTGGGTACTTCTTCCTCACTTTTATCATCTTTGACATTGAGTTTTACAGTTTTGTCAACTACATGTTCAATATGTGGTTGTTTTTCGTCATTTATTATTGATTTATCGACCTGAAAATGTTTGGACTGTATAATTGTAATATAATGTAGACTTAAAACCATTTTAACATTTGCATACCTCTGCGGGGTGCTGCATGTTATGTGCCTGTATATGTATGTAACGTCTTATTGTACCATGTAGCAAGCGAATAAATATGATTTGATTTGAAAAAAATATTAATGTCAGTAGAATAATTATAGGCATTTATATAACTTTACAGGGTTGCCAGATGTGAATTTTGATTTTTATCTAAACATCAAGTATTTTTTCTCCAAATCGATAAGTTTTTCAAGACTTTGGACATGAAAAACGCAGTGAAAATGCTATGTTTTTCCATAAAGTAGACGACAGAAAAAAAAGGCCATCCTTTCTATTTCTTCTTTTAGCTTACATACTATTTCTTTTATTCTCTGTTTTGCTATGAGTATATACTTAATAAAATATATACAGTTTACAAATACCAAAAGTGTCTAAAAAACAATAAAATTATCCAAACTACTTGCTACTTTGTTACTACTTACTATTCTTGGAAAATTTAATTTCACAAAAATTTCTCGATAATAAAAATTTTTACTCAAAATTGCGAATCTCCAAGGGCCTCCCCCTTGGTTCCCTACGTTCAACAGTAATATAAAATCAAAATACGTAAAGCAAATTACCTCCTGTCTCAGAGCAGCCAATTCTTCATCGGTGTATTGAGTACTCCGTTCTGATTCTTCAGGTTCACCATCGGAGCTCCCTTCATCATCGCTCACAGCTAATCCAATGCCCATTTCCTATAAATATTTTAAAATGTCATCATCGCAACACAGAAATAATATTGCCATACAAGCCAAAAAGCTAGATTTTCTTTACTACACTTTTTTATTTTAACTTATAGACAATTTTTTCCTTTTATTGTTCTATTGTCTGCCTTATATTTTTTGTCATCTAATAAGGTTGATCGATAGATTTAGCTATTTTTTTTTGGTACGGAGTGAGGAGAATCTAAGATTGCCTTTGTAATGGAGCAGCCAAAAACTTAGATGTCTTAATATATAAATATTTTAGTGTATGAAATAAAAAGGGTTTAATATTATTTATTACTTTACCGCTTTGTTGTGCAATAATTTAAAATGACAAACAAGTTGACGTCCTACTTGTTGGTAATGGTCGCCTATAGTTATAAAGAGTATAAATACACTATGACACACTGTGACAATGCGTGTTTTGATCCGCGTGACTCGTATGTGTTGATTGACCGGACTAAAAAGTCTAATATGCCTGTAACTTTGGCGATCAATATTTAAAACTATGTACGAAAATCAAGTTTAAAACAAAATTTGGTCCTTCGAGTCGGATATGAATTAGAAATCTCTAAATAACAATTTGTTATAGTTTCCAACAAGGTATATCTTTCCCTATTTCAAATGCACGTGAAGTTAAAGTTTTTTTTTTATCTTTTTTATTTAGAGGCTTTTATCTTATAAGGATATGTCAGCCTCATCATACCCTAATTTTATAAAATAAGGTTTAAATTGCCAAAAAGCAACAAACTCAATTTATAATAATATTTGTTGACCATATAGTACCTCAAGCAATTCATCATCTACATCCTTGGCTCGCTTATACCCAGAGCAAGCGACTTCCGTGTCGAGCTCGTCGTCTCGCTCTAAGTCACTGAACTTCGGGTATACCTCGCTCTCGTACCCGAAACGCTTCTTGAAAAATTCCCGGATACATCTGACGTCACGGTCGAAGTATCTACAATGTATAATTCCAATTATAATATACTAGCCGTTACCCGTGGCTTTGCCAGCGTGTATGTGCCTATGTAATAAATTCCAAACAAGCCATTTAAGTGTGATTGAATATCAAATGTCTAAACAGCTTTACAAACTTTCACATTCAAAATATTAATAGGATTTTGTATTATAAAGAATGCGGCGTTGCCAATCTTCCACCGTTGCGTTGATGACCAAAGATCGAATAGACGCAGGGCACGTTATGTAGACATAATAACCGATCTTCCGCAGTGTAACCTAGAGTAGTCGTATAAGTAGTCCTCAGGAATGGCAACGCATGGGGGGTATCATGGGCGAAACAGTATACTCTGTTATATCCATGGTACTGCTCATGTCTATAGGCGACGGCTACCACTTTCCATCAGGTGGGCCGTCAGCTTGTTTGCCATTCTAAGTTGCATAAAAAAAAATGCAATTTGATGTAATAGCATTCCGTCGCGGATGATCGGCAACCGGAAGTCGGTCTATTGCGGCATTAGCCTAAATATGTAGTTTGTTTTATTTATATACAAACTATAAAATTACGTGTTTTTGTATCTAGTCAAACAACTGGGGCATTAAAAGAAGCTAATGATCATGGAACTCACAGTTCAGCATTGGGGTGTGAAGTAGACACCATTTGCGGGAAGTCTATGATGATGGGGTGGCCCTCTTCGGTGATCATGATGTTGAACTCGTTGAAGTCGCCATGTATGACGCCGCAGTTGCCAAGTCGTACGATCAGGTTCATCAGCTCGTCGTACAGGACTTCGGGATCGTCCACCGCTGTTACGTGGGTCCTGAAGCAAAAATTTACTTAAATACTGGTATATAGGCCTCATTTAAGTTTTATAACTTACTATGTATTGACCCTCTAAATAAGTGAGAAGCAAATTCATCGATAGAATTATTATCGCTAACAATATATCTATTGCTAGCGACATCCGATGTTTCATTCTAACTCACTCTTGCTTGTGATAATGATTCCATCAATGGATTCATTTACCATATTTCTAGGTCTTTTTTATTTTTTCAAAATTTTATTTATGAATGCTACACCTACAACACTATAAATGTTTATTTCTTTATTTTAAAAAAGGCTTTTTATTTATTAAAAATCCGTTTTGTCAGAATAATCTAATAATTTGTAGATTACCGTACAAATTCTAGTAACATATATTGATATATAAACAATTATATATTTAAACAATTAAATTAATGTTTTTATAAATACCGGAGATTAATAAACTCTGTTTTTTTGTCCTTTCCGACAATTGTTTTAACTTAATCCGGAAGTTTTCTTTAGAGAGCGTAACGCTTTGTATCACAGCATCTCGCTTCATATTGCGGACCACAGATCGCATAGCCCGTGATGACGTCGGTTAATTAAATTAATATTTTAATTATACATAGACAACTTACATTGGCCCCCCTCTTACGAGCTCCATCACAACACAATGTCGGTTAAAGTCTATCGGCTTCGGCACAGGGAAGTCTCTGTCATACAGCGCCTTCATGTAGGCGAACTCCTTTGTGGCTGAGATTCGGGACAGGTAGAGCCAGGAGGCCTTGTTACGGTGCGCGTGGTAGTCCCGCTTGCCTTTAATGTTCCGGAAACATGTTCGGCCAAGTCTAGAAATGTGATATTTAAAAGTTTCGTAAGAATATATTCTATTTTAGTGCAATAACTATCGGTGTAACTTATGTGTAATTAGATCGAAGAAGCTCGACTGGTTTCGGGATCAATTCGTGATCCTTAGTAATGAGCGAGTCATTAGCGCGAGATTTACATTCGACCTAATTACACATAAGTTAAACCAGTAGTTATTACACTAAAATATTTAAACGTGTTTACCATCTCTTTCTACCACATACAATTGAAATTACACTTCATAAGATGGCAAAAAGTTGATAAAAGTTTGTTAAAGGCATAAAAATTTATAATTAACATATTACCAATCGAACTAGTATGTATGCATGAGTTAGAAAAATGCATAAAGCAAGACTTCTCTGTTTGTCTTGCCCTTGCTCTTCCCTTGAAGAGCAGAAGGATATTTAAGAGCGAGCCAGGTGGTCCATACCTACCCCAGAATTGTCTGGTGCCCAACCCAGGATCGAAGGGGGGAAAGGGATTGTTAGTAATGGGGTCAAATGGCCCCATTACTAACAATATACCCTATCAGGTCGACCTCCATGCAAGGTTCCCCATGGAAACCATCGTGGCTAATTCTAGTAGAATTCATCAAAATGGGCTAATTGACCTGCTTTCATTCTCATTAGTCATCTATCACTGGTGCCTCGCCATTGTATACTGATAGAGCAGACAGGGTTACCATATCATTATCGCCCATTAAAAAAAAACCCAGGATCGAAGAGTGTAACTTTTAGCTTTGGGCTAAGACATGTATATAATATGCTTTCTTAAGGAGCCCACCCACATGGAGTTTTAAAGCAAAGTACATAATTAATTGTCCTCACCTGTGAAGCTTCAAACACAACGGATTGCGATCTTCATCAGCTACTGTATAAATATTTGACTCTTTGCCAACTCCAATCTGATTACCAAATGAAGCAATAACCTTCCTGTTGGTGAGGGCTTTGAGTGCGAGGTAGTCATAGCCACTGTTGGTCAGTCGGTAACCATCATCTGTAGATAAATAATTTAATTTTTATATTAAAAGTAGTTACAAATGCAATAATTAAAGTTTTAAGAAAAAAAATGAAATTTAAAGTATAAAATATTTAATATTAATAAAAAAAAAAATGATTATCGAGTAACTTCTAATAAAAATTTTTGTTTTAAAAAATTTATATACAATCACAAGACCCATTAAATGTAAAAAGAGTGAATAATATTTGTAAGGATATTGCTTAATAACATATATAAGTAGGTAAATTCATAAAAAAGTGACTATTAGAAATTGCTCATAATTAAGTTTACTTGAATATAAAATATTATTAAAAAAAAGAACAATATAGATAAATTGAGAATATCTTTTAAAAAATCACTTAAAACACTTTCTTTATGCTTTATTTTCATACTATAAAATAATAAAAAAAAAAACAAATTATTAAAATATATATTAAAACAATTAATTAGTTGATTTTTAAAAAAAGAGCTATTTCAATAGGATTTTTTTTATACAACTTAGAATGGCAAACAAGCTGACGGTCCACCTGATGGAAAGTAGTAATCGTCGCCTATAGACATGAGCAGTACCATGGACATAGCAGAGTATAAATTAATTAATTTATAAACACTTTTGTATGGTTGATATCTGATTGATATTGTTTTTTTTTTTTTGCCAATTACCAAAGAGCTAACAAACGACTATTATAATAATGAATAGATAAATAATTTATTAGCCATTGAGTTTGTTTTATTCATAAATTTTACTTATAATTTTTTTTTTTTTTTTATCAACTTAGAATGACAAACAAGCTGACGGCCCACCTGATGGAAAGTGGTAACCGTCGCCTATAGACATGAGCAGTACCATGGACATAGCAGACTATACTGTTTCACCCATGATACCCCCATGCGTTGCCATTCCTGAGGACTCAGGTGTTATTCCTCTGTACCCTGTAAATTCACGCCATATCCCACCCTTCAAACCGAAACACAGTCATGCAAACACAACTGCTTCACGGTTGAAACACGAATGGGACAGAGGTACCCAAGCAATCGACTTTTGTACAAAGTCTCCCTCTGGTAATAATTCTGTTGATGTTTGAGATATACTTTTATTGTACCTTTATTGTGTGTTTAAGACCCAAATATTTTTAATATTAAATTTTGTCAATGGTATTGTTCATATCTATATGCAATAGTTACATCTTTTGGGAAGGTAGTAAGTTTGAGGATTACTTCAAATTGTTTAAAAAAAGTAATTTATGGCTATCACTGAATAACTATACAAAATATATTGAGAAATAGACAATTTACTCACAGTGTTTACCACGCTCGTAGGTTAAGAGTCGATGTTTACACAATTCCTTCATTAATTTGTGGACACCACCATGACGAAGATTGGCAATAGATGCTACCAGTGACCCGGGTACTAATTCATGATTTTTCATTCCCATTTCCACCTAGAAAATAAACAATCTTAGATTTCAGGTTAGAATGTGATCAAGCTTCGTATAATACAAATGACTTACCGCAGTTAAAACACGAAAGTCTTCACTGGTCAAGTACCGGAGTATAACAACGTCGAGTTTACCCATGTTTAATTATAAAGTTGTTTTAACAGTAACAAATAAATACAAATGGAAAAGCAAAATTTCCATACTGAAAGAAATGGAAAAGGAAAACATTAGTACACATGTACTTGTATGACAATGACATTACATAATGTCATTGTCATACGCTTGCATGACATTGACTTGTCGATTAATCAATTGTCATTTGTTCTCAGTCAAGTAAAAAATGCCGTCAAATGTCAAGTAAAAGCCAAAACGTAGACTGCGTAGATAAATAATTCATTCTCTGTCTATGTTTTATGTTAAGGTTTTGCATAATTTATTAATGGGTAATAATGGAATGACCCGCCTTATTGCTAGCAATGGGGTCCTTAATCTCCATTATTAACAATCCCCTTTCCCGCACCTATGGATGGTTGAAGTAAGATACTCTACATGAGATAAGAATCATATAGGGAAACGGTAGCAAAAGTTTCCAGCTTTGAGCTGTAAACACGTTCAAAATTCCTTCAGAACTGCGCTAGATTAGAAAGAGGTTTATAATATTAAATTTTTACGTCGTTTACATATATTTAGATTTACGTTGGACTTTAACGCAGGGCAACAGTTATAACTGAATTGTCATAGACAGTTATAGTAATTTATAAAATCTGCAGAATATCTAGATTGGGTGGCTAGCCGGTCGATCGTGACTATTAGTCCAGTCGATCGTAGCAAGGCAAAAAATATAATATTTTGCTAATTTAGCGGAAGGTGCTCAGATGTAATACACTAATATAAATATTTATTTACAGTTTTACGTTTTCCCTCTTAATAAAATAAAAAATATTGCAACACTACATAATTGTGTACTACATATACGTTTCATTTGAAATTTCAAGAAGTATGTAATTAGCAGATCACACAGGGTTTCGTCAGTAAACAGTAGATCTTGAGTCTGTCAAGTCGGATACCCCTGATCTAGATGGAGTGACAACCTCAAATGTAGGCAAGAAGGTAGTGGATGCAGATAGTTAGGGCCCGTTCCTTATGAGGAAGAGCTATGTATAGCAATGAACAGTTAAGGGCTGATAGGATGATAATGACAGAATATCTATTATTAGGTACCTAACTACGGATGAATGAATTTTACATTATTATTAATATACGTTTATTGCATTTAATCTTGTACGCGTATAATAATCTTCATGCCTTCACCGGCCTTGGCTTGTTCTAAAGCTGCTTGAGCTTGTCTCAGTGGGAAGTGATGCGTGATGAGGGGTTTCAGATTAATGATGCCACTTGATACTGCCGCCAGGGCTGCAGGGTACCTGTAAAAATGACACCTTGTAAATTACCCGGTAATTTACCATGACACAAATTAATATTGATAATTATCATAGGGTAATTATTGTCTCATGAGAGAGAGAGAGAGAAGGGGAAAGAGAGAGAGAGAGAGAGAGAGAGAGAGAGAGAGAGAGAGAAAGAGAGAGAGAAGGAGAGAGAGAGAACATGACGGACAAGTTCTTGCCAAGTACGGATAGATAGTCTGGTTGGTGGGAGAAGGGATTGTTAGTAATGAGGATTAGTAGCCTCTTTGCTAGCAATATATCCTGCCAGGTCGAACTCCTCGTGGTTCTCCCTGGAAACCATCGTGATTGATTTATTGTTAGATTCGTCGCGGTGAGCTAACTGATCTGTTTCATCCTCATTTATCATCACTCACTGGTGCCCCGCCGACGTATACCGATAGCAGTTATCATTCCATTATCATCCGTTAAAAAAAAGTTGAGTACATGTTTTCCACCACCAGTGACATATTTGACTGGGTTGTCGACTAAAAGCGAACTTGTCTTCAATTAGTCACTGTACATCTTTACATTATGTACTTACGTATTGGCAATTCTATGAGAGCCTCTAATGTCGACCTCTCGCAACATGGCGTCAGAGAGGGGCAGCTGTGTGAGTGACTCACTACTGATGCCCACTATGAGCACCACACCACACGTACGCGTGACCTGGAGAATTACATTCACTTAGGAACATGTGTCAACTTTGATTTTGGGATCCATGAAAAATTTATTAAAAATTCCAAATACTCCACATTCCTTCATCACTGAAGGAATCTATGTTATCAGGTACCTTATGTCAGACACATAAGGTTTCGAATCCTGTTGGATTCAATCGTCGGGAGATAACTCTTTGACACATGTATTTCGTGAAAAAATCTGACTTTTTCAGATATACTATTGTCCATGGAAAATATTGGATATTCAATTATAATCGATACTCAAATCATGAGACCGAAGCTGCGAGTTGCGATTTATAACATAATATAATATACTTTATTACTCAGACTACAATTTGGTCCATTTTGTTAGTAACAGTTTTCTTACAAACTATGTTAGTAAAAAAGAAAAGCAAATTAATTAAAGCAGTTCACTCAGATGTGAGCCAGCTGACAAGATCAGCATCTGAATGAAATGCCCAATTATAGACGAGTTATATTTCTCGCCTATTACTTTTAGAATGCTGTTGGTACTTGTCCTAACCCTGTGTAGCAATGATGCAGTTCTCTTTCTCCTTATAGCCTTATATTCCTTCTCAAAAAAATTTTTGAGGTCTATATTATAAAGGTACCAGAAGAGCGACTCTCTGCGGGCTGGGGAAGGCGCATGCGTCAATGGTGATAGTGGGCCGGCATCCTAGCAGTCGCACGATCCTGTCCACCGTTTCCTCGTCCGACCAGCGTTCGTCCACTAATAACGTAAAGTCAACGCCCATTTCCTTTGCAACATCCAGACGTGCTTGTATTATATCTGGTAAATATAATAAAACAATTTAACAAGTCAATAAATCATAGAATCATAAAAAAGAATGCAATGTGATGGTATTTGCATCTTAGTATATTCTTTTTTTTTATTTCTTACTGTATTTAGAACTAAGAATAAGAAATTACATATAGGGAATGATAAAATAAAAACTGTAAATCATATGGTTGCCTCTTTTCTCCTTATGCAAATATAATTAATAGAAAGAGGACGAAAGATACACCATCAGTTGCTATCTTTCTCAATTCATAGCAGGCTAGTGTACGGAAAATGTTATACGAGCCTATAACCCTACCAAATTCAGATATAACCTGCTTGCATACTTTCTGCATAAACTGTGTCGAATATATAATCTAGTTTACATTACTAGATTATATATTCGACACAGTTAAACAAAAATTTTAGATACACATTTTCTATGAACTGATTTTGATGTTTCTTTTGCAATCAATGACACTTACTTCAATATTATCCCTGTGCTAATTTCGTCTTGGAGTACATTTTTATAGATATCTTAAATGATATTTTTTTTTAAATTTAAACACCTGTGATGAGTATCTTAGTAGCTCCCATGGCTCTTGCGGTCATAGCGCAAAGCACTCCGATGGGCCCAGCGCCGAGAATAACAACCTCTGACCCGAGTTTAACACCAGCTCTGTTGCAGGCGTGTATGGCGACGGCCAGGGGTTGGACGGCCGCTCCTTCTTCTAATGTCAGGTTGTCAGGAATCCTGGTGAAACCAGATCAAATTAAGAACATGAATAAAAATGAAATGATTATGTCTTATTAGTCAGAATTATGTGTAATGGAAATTTCAGACGAGCTGTATCTGTAAGTCAAGGCAAAATAATGAGACGCCCAAAGCTTTGTTTGCTTGCGCGGCATGCTCGAACAGGAGTTTACTTCTAAATGGTATATGGCCTAAATGGTCGCTTACAGCGCGGTTTTTTTTTTAATGAATGACAATGAAATGGTAAATTTCGATCATGCTAACGATATATACTGGCAGGGTACAAGTGAGAGATGAAAGATGCGAATGAAAACGTAGATAAACGGTTAGCACATCGTGATCAATACACATACAATTCAGGACGACGGTTTCCAGGGGAGACCACGTGGAGGTCGACCTGGTTGGGTATATTGCTAACAATTGGGTCCTTAGTCTCCATTACTAACAATCTCTTCCCCCCTCCTCTTATAGCGCGGTTTCAGAGATGTTTCCTCCCATGAACACTTAGGTTATAGAATGACTACGGTAACTGTCTAACATCAGGTAGGCCATATGCTTATTTGCTACCTTGGTGGTATAAAAAAAAACTCTCTGGTGATCGTTTTCTGAGTTTTTGTAATAAAAGGTTGGATTGGCTCTTGATGTACCATTACTTCTAAAAGACAAGCTTTTTTAATTTTAAAACCAAGTGCTTGCTAAGATTTTGTGGTCACATTTTTGCATATTTGGCTAATGCTTATTGACTAACTTATGCACGAAGTCTGCGACGTGCTTGTAGTAGGTACAAAGGTTGCCATCGTTGCCGCTGGAGCTGCAGTATCTTCCATCCACACACATGTTGTACTTGCCCGTCTTGCAGTACTCACACGAACGGCACGGCTGCGTCGGCTCGATGGCTACACGGTCGCCTACCTTTACATTTCGAACTTCGGCGCCCACCTGTGTAATTAAAAATTTTTCAATTGGTTGGCCGTCAGATTAAGAATAAACATCTGAGGTAATTTGTCCCTAGTTAACAAAATATTTAAAAATTCTCTTGAGTCTGGTTGTCAAATACTGTCATATGGGGGGAAAGGGATTGTTAGTAATGAAGTTCGACAGCCCCATTGCTAGCAATATGCCTAATTAGGTCGACCTCCACGTGGTTTCCCCTGAAAACCATCGTGAACAATTCTTGTTGAATTCGTCACGATGGGCTTCATCTTCACCTATCATCTTTCACTGGTGCCCCGCCGGTGTATATCGATAGCGCGGGTGGGGTTACCATTCCATTATCATCTATTAAAAGAAAAAAATACTGTCATATTGCCGTCACTTATGCGGCGGCTTCGAGTCCGAGACCGGAGTTGGCGTAGCGACGCGCGCGCCATTAGTGGCGTTTCTTAAAACACTGTCATATCTTACAGTAGGAAGGAAGTTGTTAACAATGAGATTAACAATATAACTTGTTAGGTCAATATCCATAAATTTGGCAGATTTAACAACGAACTTGCTCTTCTATTACAGTAAGATGTTTTATACAGTAATATTTTATGTATTTATGTATGTATGTATTTATTATACGCGTATGTTTATATTAATCAAATTACATGTTTACATTATTTATTTATTTATTTATTTATAGCAAGGCAACAGATTACAAATTAATACATTTATAAAATAAATATTACATGAAACGGCATTAAATTTGCACTCCAATAACTGCTCTGCATAACATTCGATATTATATACATTAAAAGAATGACGGCTATAAATTTAAAGTAACAAATTGGCAGCCTTAATGTAACATTGCAAGGATTGTTGGAAGTTATCAAGGTCCTTGCATACATTGTTATATTTTCTGCACATGCGGATAATTGGATTGTGATACGATACATTATTATTACAAATCGGTATATAAAATAATTTTTGTATTCTTTTATTACCTGTACGAAATGAAACAAGGCTCAACAATGTGCTACTGTCCCATTTATAATTTATTATTTTATAAAGAGTAATGAAATCAGACATAGATCTTCTATTTATAAGAGAATTAATGTTAAAATGATTAAGTCTTAATTCATACGAATGAAGTTTCCTTCTCAGACCATACTTAGTGCTCAAAAATCTAACAAAGCGTTTTTGAATTGCTTCTATTCTGTCAATGTGGTTCTGATAAAAAGGAGACCAAATAACAGAACAGTACTCAAGTGAACTTCTAACTAGTGATGTATAGAGTGACAAGATAGCATGCGAGTTTTTAAAAGGTCTAGTTGTTCTAAAGATAAACCCTAGAGTTCTATTTGCTTTTGCAACTAAATAATCATAGTGTTGTATAAATGATAATTTTGAGTCAAGTATAATATTATATGAATATATCAAGTACCAGAGGGAGACTTTGTATAAAAGTTGATTGCTTGGGTACCTCTGTCCCATTCGTGTTTCAACCGTGAAGCAGTTGCGTTTGCATGGCTGTGTTTCGGTTTGAAGGGTGGGATATGGCGTGAATTTACTGGGTACAGAGGAATAACACCTGAGTCCTCAGGAATGGCAACGCATGGGGGGGTATCATGCGCGAAACAGTATACTCTGCTATGTCCATGGTACTGCTCATGTCTATAGGCGACGGTTACCACTTTCAATCAGGTGGGCCGTCAGCTTATTTGCCATTCTAAGTTGTATAAAAAAAAAGGTCGATCTGATAGGGTGTATTGCTAGCAATGAGGCAATGGGACCCCATTACTAACAATACCTTTCCCCTACACTCACCTATTATTCTTAATTGGTTGATTCCTTATTTCGCCAACGTATATACGTACGTACGTACGTTATCATTCCAATATCATCGATAAAAAAATGTACTAGTAGTGTTACCTTGACCACCACGCCAGCACCTTCGTGTCCCATGATCATGGGCTTTTTCACTGCAATGACGCCGTTCTTGTACGTGCTGTACTTCTTCACATCAGAACCGCAAATACCGACGCTGTCCATTTTTATCAGGACCTCTATTAAATATTAATAACATGGTTTTAATTAGTGGTTTGTATTTATTTTTTTTTGGTGGATGTAAATGGAATGGTAACCCCACCAGCGTTATCGGTATACACCGGCGGGGCACCAGTGAAGGATGATAGGTGAGGATGAAGCAGGTCAGTTAGCCCATCGTGACGAATTCAACAAGAATTGTTCACGATGGTTTCCAGGGGGAACCACGTGGAGGTCGACCTAATAAGGTATATTGCTAGCAATGGGGCTGTCAAACTCCATTGCTAACAATCCTTTTCTCCCGCATTGTATGTATTAGGTCTGATATAGTTGCAATTCAGTTAATTAGAAAAAAAAAAACAATACCAGAGGGAAATTGTTCAAAAGTCTTTACCTTGTGTATCTTTGTCCCACTCCTGTTTTTGCTATAAAGCAGTTGTGCTTGCATGACTGTGGTTTGGTGTGAAGGGTAGGATATGGCACTAAAATTTCAGGGTTCAGAAGTATAACGTTTTAGTTTTTAGGAATAGTAACGCATGAAGGACATCACAGTGCATTTTGTGATTACTATATTGCTGTCTAAGAAAAAAAGACTTTCTAAAAAGAATCCTACTTTTTTTCTTCTTTAAACACATTATTTATTTATTTATTTATTTATAGGATTACCAACATAAGATGCAGCTAAACATTTTAATACAATACACTGGTAGATTAGATCTTACTGTTCTTACATTTATAGGCGTTATGTGATTACATGCAAGTTGTCAGTAAGATATTGTTTTTAGCGATAAGGCCGCCTTTTGGAATGCACATCTGTATTCTATATATACCAGTTTTATGTGCAATAAAGAGTTTGTTATATTATGTGATAATGTTTAGGCTCCAAGATTTGACCAGTGATAGGTATACATCAGTATTTTTAAAGTAGTACTTACCGTTACTGCTGATGTTCGGGATAGGCCATTCTACCTGTGATAGAGTAACACGGCTATAATTAGATTGAGATGGCGATATCCGGCAAGTATCTTGTAAGACTTCAGGCGTCAATGTTTAAATTTATTAAAATTATTTTGCACAAAAAAAACAATTGCTCTTCTTTTAGACCTTGTATTTTTCAAAATTACATGTCTTCAGAAATGGCAACGTAAAAGATAGCAACTGAATACATGTGAGGATCAATGCATTCTATGGCCATTCTATGTCTGTCTACATGTCTTTGCCGCTCGTATAAAAAAACTTATAATTTTATTGTATGTGGCACACAATGATTATGAAGTTTTTTAAGTTATATACAGTGCTGTATTTCGTGGAGTAGACGCTATTCAATGTTAAGGTTCCATCTAATCTCATCACCAGAGCGATTTTGCGAGCTGATATTGAACACAGATCTTTCACGGGGAAGATGGTTGGTATACGTTTTTATAACTAAGTTCCAGATGTTTAATATTTTATATATATATATATATATATATATATATATATATATATATATATATATATATATATATATATATATATATATATATATATATATATATATATATATATATATATATATATTATAAAATAAATTACTCATTAAATGACAATAATTTATAAATTTGAATTTTGTATTAATTTTGTGTTAATTTAATCAATATTTTCTATGCAGACATTTTATTCTTGAGATAGTAATTATAATAATTTTAAAATAATGTATCATAAAAGTCTATAGCAGATTTATATGAATACAATTTGTTTTTTTTTTTTTATAGTTAGATTGCCAACAAACATAGTCTACAGAAATCATGTCGTTATTTATCTTGACTTATGTTTTTTTTGTAAAATAAAGAATTGAAATTAAACTCAAGGATTACGTCATTATTTGTCTTAAACTCACGATATTGTGTGAAATGAAGAATTTAATTTAAACTTACGATTTTCAGCTGTCTGGGTCCAGATAGTAGAGCAGCGTAGTTCTTGTCCATTATTATTTTTATTTTCTAATAAACAAACTTCTTGTTTTTAATTCAATGTTATCGCACTTACTTACAAAGCTTTAATAAACAGTAAGCTTACATTGAAAGCGTTCATCGCGTGGCTTATCGGTTACATAATAATTTATGGGTTATTTGATAAGAAGTAAATCGCTGTTTATCATATATGTTATGAAATAACAAACAATAGGTACCTGACCTATGATAACTTTTGAACACAGAGTACCAACATAACTAGGGTCTCTGATAATCGATAGCTTCCTTTTTTACGATCGGTTTTAAATAATATTTAGTAAAATATAGTGAGTAGAAAGAAAATTAGAGCCCTTAGCCTATGCCCATACGAGAGACTAGTTTGTATTTTTTGTCTACTGTTAATTTAATCTTTTATTACGGGTCATTTGAGGTGGAAATCGAAAAATATAGGAAGTATGGCAAGATGGCTCTCCCACTGAAATTGTAACCGTCGCCTATAGACATGAACAGCACCAGAGAAAATACACCATGGCAACTAGTCCATCGGATTTTTTATAATATTGTATTGTTTTTTATATTTCATTTGATATATAGCATATATTTTTGGACACTTCTCTGTTTGATTACAAAATAAATCGTGTAAACTTTTTTTTTTATAGGTGAAAATGGTATGGTAACCCCGCCTGCGCTAACGGAATACGCTGACGGAGCACCAGTGAAGGGTGATAGATGAGAATGAAAACAGGCCAGTTAGCCCATCATGATAAATTCATCAGGAATTAACCATGATAATTTCCAGGGAGAACCGCGAGGAGGTCGACCTGGTTGGGTATATTGCTAGCAATGGGATTCTCAGTCTCCATTACTAACAATTCCTTTCCCCCCAATCGTGTATTTTGGTAAACCAAGACGTACGTGGTGTCATTGTTTTTCTAAAGCAATACCCATGATACTGCCCATGTTTTGCCTTCCATAAGGGGTAAGATGTTATGCTTACACGCTCTGTAATTTCACTGCCATGTTTAACCCTTCTTTGCATGATTTTTTTTATTGGTGAAATTAATCAAGGTGATATAATTCATGTTCAAAATTAAAAGAAAAATAGTTAAAAAAATAAATTTAACAGCATTTTTTTTTTTGCAATGGACATTAAAAAGGTATCCAGACACGATCAACTTAAAGTGAAATTGTTCTTTTATATAATTTTTGAGCATTCAATGTTATGATGGAAATTTCTACCAGTGTGCAAAGAGGGGTTAATGTTTTAACTAAAGCAGAATTTGCTTGACGGGACAAAAATGATGTACCCATGCACAGAAATATTCCTGATCTTTGATTAAATTCTTTCTCTGGTAAATTATCATCATCAACACCTCACCTATTATCTGCACGCTGATGAACATAGGCTTCTTCCATAGACTGCCATAAGGAACGGTTCTTAGCCACCTTCATCCACTTCCTGCAATGCATTTGCGGTCGTCACTTCACTTAGTTAGAGAGCGACCTACACTGCGTTTGCCCGTACGGAGTTGCCACTCAAGAATCTCTGGTAAATGTTTGTGATAAAATGTTATAAATAACATAATAATGTTATAAATAAACACAATATAACGAGATTAAATAATTTAATTCTTTGGGTGTATTATAATCTTCATTGCAGCTCCAGACTGGGCGAGTTCAACGGCCTCCTTGGTTTTGGAGAGAGGGAAGTGATGAGTGATGAACGGCTTCAGGTTGATGCTCCCGCTGGAGACCGCTGCCAGCGCTGCTGGATAGCTGCAGGATGCAAACATTATTTTTTATTGTGACTTGCCTGCTTGTAATGGCATACAAATTGAGATGTCTGATGTTTATTGTTTGTTTTCAAAAGTTCTTTATTTATCATAAGCGATTACAAATATAATAAATTCCAGTGTACGTAAGCCTAGAGTTTACAATCAGCCATAAATCGTTTGGCGAGTAATATACACTCGTTCAAACATTTAAATTAGAGATACAAGTATCAATATAAAAACTTACATTACATGATGTAACTTATTAATTATAATCATAAAATAAACACAAAATGCACATAAAAAGTGCTGCTGGATAGCTGCAGGATGCAAACATTATTTTTTATTGTGACTTGCTTGCTTGTAATGGCATACTTACTGACATTGTATTGTAAAAAAACTAAATAAATGTGTTAAATCCTGAATAGAATTATTTTAGGTTTTAATATGATGTAATGTTTCGCTGCATTAAAATACAACGATTTCATTGAAAAGCTATCCTGGATATTGTTTTTGAATACAAACGTGTTACATATCCTGTAGGAGCCCCTGATGTCCACTTCGCGTAACATGGCGTCCGAGAGTGGCAGCTCCACCGTTTTACCGCCGATACCCACCACGACCACAACGCCGCACGTTCTAGTCACCTGCAGATTGATAAAGCTTTACAAATTGTACTTTATCTATATCTATAGTATGTCTATGATATTTACCAGAGGGAGACTTTGTACATTAGTCGATTGCTTGGGTACCTCTGTCTCATTCGTGTTTCTACCGTGAAGCAGTTGTGTTTGCTTAGCTGTGTTTCGGTTTGAAGGGTGGGATATGGCGTGAATTTACAGGGTACAGAGGAATAACATCTGAGTCCTCAGGAATGGCAACGCATGGGGGGTATTATGGGCGAAACAGTATACTCTGTTATGTCCATGGTGTTATGGAAGCACTTCCAGTATGTGGCACGTCTAGTGATCTTAAATCAGTGTAATTATATATCTGTGTTTAGGTCGCTATGGTAACTAGATGTTTATATATGGTTGTTGATTGTAACATAAAATATATTATTCTTTGCTAATTCTCTTTATTTTTCTTTAATATGGTAGCAGAGCGTTCGCGACCTCGGTAAATAGATAGTTTGTAAAGAACAAAGGTTCGGAGAGAGTGTAAACATGTCTACAAATGTAAAACTCGACATTCGACCGTTCGACGGAACTAACTGGACCACTTGGAAATTTCAAGTGTTGATGCTGTTGAGAACACACGCCGGAGCCTTGGAAGCGGTTCAAGGGACACTCACAAAGCCAACACATCCAAGTACCACTGCTACACCGGGAGCTATATCGACTTATAATGCAGAGTACGATGCTTATGAGCGAATCAATAGCACTGCATTTTTACTACTCACCACCAATATGACAGAGAAAATGCTCGCCAAAGTTATGCGTTTTACTACAGCTAAAGAAGCTTGGGATGAACTGAACCGGCTTTATGAAAGAGTATCGCAAGATCGCTTTTATGATGTCTGCATGCAATTCTTTGGATACAAGCTTGATCCTACTCACGATATGGGGACACACTTGACTACAGCAAAGAATTTATGGCATGAAGTAAATCTGATCTTAATGAAACAAGGTAAAACCGAACTACCAGAGATGTTGTTGATATGTAAAATTATGGATTCACTTCCTGAGGAGTACTTCAATTTTAAATCTAGTTGGGCCTTGATGTCAGTGAATGATCATACGATAGAGAACTTGACTACTCAGCTGTGCGCATATGAAAGGTCTTTAAAGAAAAATATAGATGAAGGTGAAAGTAGCAATGAACTTCTTATGGTACGAGGTGAGAAACGTAATGAGAAGCAAAGTAAGAAGAAAAAGTTCAAATGCAACTATTGTGGAGAAGGGTTTCACAAAGTCAGGTCATGTAAAAAGTGGATTGCGGATGGTAGACCTCCAAAACCTCAAAAGCAATCTACGAATGCAGTAATGTCGACAGGTCTAGCTCTAGCTTGCAATGATAAAAATCTTCATAAAGAATCATGGTACGTAGATAACGGCGCGACAAGTCACGTAACTAATAGGAGAGATGTATTTCAGTCTTTCAAGTACTTTCATGATCCTCATACAATTACGACTGCTAACGGGGACGGAATTGAAGCCATTGGCAAAGGTTCTATCCAACTTGAAGCTGATATAAATGGACAAAAACAGTTGATAACATTGACTAATGTATGGTATGTACCAAGTATACAACGAAACTTGTTCTCTGTACTAGCTGCGCAAGATGTGCTTAAAAATAGTCTTTTTCAATCAACTGCTCGATCATGTTGTATGAAGAATAATGGTAAAGTGATTTTAGTTGGAAATCGTGAGGAGCATGGTAGTTTATATAAATTAAATGTAAAACTATTAATGCCTAAAAATGAAGCAAACCAGTTATCGACGCTACAGAATCTTCAGCTGTATCATGAACGCTTAGGGCACCAAAATTGTCGTCATGTAGCTAAATTAATACAAAAAGAGCTTGGAATAAGGCTAGATTCCAGTTCTGCTGACATTTGTGAAGGCTGTTTCTTCGGCAAGAGCCACAGAAAGAAGTTCGGAGAAAGACCTAAAGCTACCAAACCTGGAGAGCTAATTATCACAGACGTATGTGGACCATTTTCTTATTCAATTTCAAAATTTAAATATTATGTTCTGTTTAAAGATCTCGAAATATCTTTGGATCTACTTTTTGAGACACAAGTCAGAGGTACACGCTCGCTTAAAGGAATTTCTAGCTGAAGTTAATACTTCTGGACACGTCATTCAAGGGTTGTTGAGCGATAATGGAGGAGAATTTGATAACGAACAGGTACGTAATACTTTGAAAGAATTTGGAATAAAGCAAATGTTGACAATGCCATATACTCCTGAACAAAATGGTTCTGCTGAAAGAGAGAATCGTACAATTGTGGAGATGTCAAGAGCACTTATGCATGCTCATAATGAGATACCAAAAGGTTTATGGGCTGAAATATCTAAAGCTGCAGTCTATATACTCAATAGAACGGGGCCAACTCCAGTAGATGGAAAGTCACCGCATGAGCTATGGTATAATAAAAAGCCAAAAATAAATCATCTCAGAATTATAGGATGCAATTGCTATGTACATATCCCAAAACAGAAAAGATTGAGAAAGTTAGAGAGTAAAGCCGAGAAAGGAATACTTATTGGGTATGATGGAGATGAAGGATATCGCGTTTACGATGTGAAAAATCTGAAATTGATGAGATCACGTGTATTTGATGAGAAATCTTTACTAGAAAAACGCAAGATTGACAAACCTCCAGAAAAACCTAATGTAGAGCCAGTAGGAAATAAAACATATGTACTACCAATACCTTGTGCAAATTGTGGAACTCATTTAAATTCACCTATAGAGACAAATGGTAGGGATGAAAATATTAAATCGTTTAAAGAAGATAATGAAAGGGATGAAAATGAAATAGAGGCAACGATGGGGCGACAACTTCGTGATCGTAACCGAATTAAACTCCCTGAGAGATTCAATTTTGAGGAAGTTATTAATGAGGCTATATCTGTTTCTGAGTCATCTTTATACCAAAAAGTCTTAAACAGTCCTGAAAAGGATAAGTGGATTGAGGCAATGAATAAAGAAATAAATTCATCATATGAGAATGAGACATTAAAAATGACAGATTTGCTAAAGAACAGAAAAGGATTACAATGCAAATGGGTATTTAAAATTAAAAATTAATCTTAATATGCCTACTCTACGCATTGAGTCTACAGTCAAATAAGTACATAATCCATAAACTATACCATAAAGCAAAACACATAAAGCTGATACACTTCTATGTAAGACACTGTGTATGTGAAAGAGAATTTACTATTGAAGAAGTACCAACTGAAGAACAGCTTGCCGATATTCTTACGAAGCCTGTTTACAAGCCTAGGCTAATAAAGTTATATAATGAGTTTGGCTTGAAAAAGGAGAGGGAATGTTATGGAAGCACTTCCAGTATGTGGCACGTCTAGTGATCTTAAATCAGTGTAATTATATATCTGTGTTTAGGTCGCTATGGTAACTAGATGTTTATATATGGTTGTTGATTGTAACATAAAATATATTATTCTTTGCTAATTTTCTTTATTTCTCTTTAATACATGGTACTGCTCATGTCTATAGACGACGCCTACAACTTTTAAGTTGCATAAAAAACAATTACAAAAAAATTATGTCGGCCACCGTACTTACTAGTAACGCCGCTCTCTGCGCGCTGGGGTACGCGCAGGCGTCAATAGTGATGTTGGGCCTACCGCCAAGTATGGCGACGATCTTATCTACTGTCTCCTTATCTGACCATTTCGTGTCGGTGAGTAGTACATGGTCAACGCCCATGCCTTTGGCTGTGTCTAATCGGGACTGTACCACATCTGAAATGGAGAAATCTGTTACCATCTACTAAGGTACAAATAGATTCTTGGTCGCCTTCATTACAGATCAGTATCTTTCAACGTGCGGGTCGCGGCCTCACCCTTATAGTAAGGGTTTGTTGATGTTTTAAGTGGGATTGCTGCTGCCCATTTCTCGACCATTAAGTTTCCTTAGAAACCCACGGAAAAAGAAGGGGTAGTTCATTCTATGTGGGAGCATTATGACAATTGTCTTTTGATGCATTGCTCAAACTGTGTTTGGGTATCGTCATTCTGTATTTAGTCATTAGATCTATTCCCTAATTCTGAGTCGTAGGTATTTTAAATTTCACTCTTCTGACATCAAACAGAAGAGCACCAAGATTATTGAGACTTGCCTGTTATTAGGATTTTAGTAGCCCCCATGGCTTTAGCAGTTAAGGCGCAGAGCAGTCCAATGGGTCCCGCGCCCAGTATGACCACCTCGGATCCTAGTGCGATGCCAGCCCTGTTGCAGGCGTGGATGGCTATTGCTAAAGGTTGCACGGCCGCCCCTTCTTCCATCGTCAAGTTGTCTGGTATCCTGCCCAAACAATAAAAATATATTTCAAATTCTTCAAACACTTTTTTAAGAATTTATTTTTTTTTATCTAAGATCTGGGAATTCGAAGTTGTGTCGCTACATATTTTTTTGTCTTATTTCTTAAAACATAAGTTATAGCGTCTTCTACACTCTATAACAGAGATAAGCTCGACAGTGAAAAACATCGTTTAGATAAAGTTCATAGGTCTTTTATGGGATTAGACATTAAATATAACGATAAGATACCAAAGAATATTCTGAATCTGCCTTTTATTAAGTTTAAGACTGTTATTAAGAACATTTACTTATTCATACATGTGTATTGGTGGCGAGATCTAAATGAAATAATTGCATTATACAAATTAGTTACACAACTGTCAGTACTGCTAAAAAGCCTATGTTTAATATCTATATGCATGTATATGATAACACGATATCTGTCTCCTACAGGACAGCCTCAGCCTAGTGTAGGGAGCAATGGTAAATTCTGTGCTTATACAAACATACTTTGTTAAATAAATATATCTTTATCTTATCTATTTTATCTATTTATTGAACAAAACCTATTACACACTAAATGATTACTTGAATGACAAATGTGCGTAGTGTTAATTGATCATGCATGGGTCTTTATTTTTTTTTTTAAACATACTACATCTAAATAAATATATATAATGTTAATAGATATTTAAAAAAGTGACTGTCGTTTCGAATTCGCTGCATTCATAAAAAATGACGATTCAAAAGCACTTTTAAATAAGTCTATTTGAATAAACTATTTTGAAATTATTTAAATTCGAATTTTTTTTAATGGATGATAATGGAATGGTAGCCCCACCCGCGCTATCGGTATACACTGGCGGGGCACCAGTGAAGGATGATAGGTGAGGATGAACCAGGTCAGTTAGCACATCGTGACGAATTCAATAAGAATTGTTCACGATGGTTTCCAGGGGGAACCACGTGGAGGACGACCTGATAGGGCATATTGCTAACAATGGGGCTGTCAAACTCCATTGCTAACAATCCCTTTCCCCCCTGAATTCGAATTTGATCCCTACCACGTTAGATTCAAATATGCTCAGTAAATTGTGGATAGGTATGTCGTGTGTTACGTTCACCACAATGCAATGGTTAGAGTCTATGAATTGCTTTACAATTCTATTAGGGGATACAATCGTGAGCATTAATTTTTTTACGCCGTGGTTTGTGCTGAAAAACAGCGTTGTAGCAATTTGCTGAGCGCAGACCTATTTCACAGAATACTGTGACACACACACGCATACGAGTACACACTTGCATTTATTGGTTTTTTTTTTGTTTGTTTTCTTTTTAATTATACTGTAAAACAGTATAATTAAAAATTTTAGTTTTTTTTTTTAATTTTATTTATGCTACTGTGTGAGTCGCATAATTCTATGAATAAAGTCTTTGTTTCTTTTCTTACTTGTGAACGAAGTCGGCTTCGTGTTTGTAGTAGCGGCAGAGATTCCCGTGGGTGGTGGTGGTGCAGCAGTACCGGGGCAGTGGACAAACGTTGTATTTCCCTAGCTTGCACGCCTCACACGAGCGACAAGGCTGCGTGGGCTCGATGGCCACGCGGTCACCCACTTTTAACTTGTCCACTTTAGCACCCACCTGGACAATTATAAATAAAATAAATAAATACTACTTCACTTACTACACAACGCCATCTAGTGTCAAAAGAAGTGGACCTCCGTGTTGTCCCTGAAAAATATCATGGCTTACAGGGGGAACACCAAATCTCAACATTTCGTCTTTTACCGATATTGTATACCATTAGTGAATGTGGGGGGGGGGGGGGATTGTAAGTAATGAGAAGAATTAGTAATCTAGAGATCTATAAAAAACTTGACTTTGGAAACTTGACTTTATCTCACCTTGATCACAACGCCGGCACCCTCGTGTCCCATGACGATGGGCTTGTCTATCACCTCCAGCCCGCACTTCCCGTCGGTGTAAAACTTGACATCTGACCCACAGATTCCTACGGAGTCTATCTCCACCAGGACCTCTAAATAAATTTACATTATATATATATATATATATATGGAAAATGGTAACAGTCGGCTTTATATATGGAGAGTACTGTGGCGCCCATGGTGTTCCTCATTCGTTGCTATTTCTGAGGATTAAAGCGTGATTTGGCAACGATATCGTGTAATATACATTTTCTAGGGGAAAAGGGACTGTGAGGGATGATAGGTGAGGATGAAAGCATGGCTTCCAGGGGGAATTGCGTGGAGGTCGACCTGGTAAGGTATATACTGTTAGCTATGGGGCCTTTAGTTCCATTACTAACAATCTCTGTCCCCCCATTTCTATCAGGTTGGCCGTCTGCTTGTTTGGTATTTCGATTTGTATAAAAAAATTTCAACAAATTGAGAAATTAATTATTCTTTTTTTAAATTGCTTAAAAAATACATGTAAAAATACTTTTTAGGTATTATTATTTTCTTCTCTTAATGTTCTTTACTCAAAAGTTGTGTGGATGAGATTTCTTAGCAATAAGACCGTCTTTTGTATCCCTTCTCATTAAAATTAACTGTATTTACATATACGGCCGTATGCTTGTTTGAGGTGACAAACAAGAATACGGCCCACCTGATGGTAAGTTTACCGTAGCCTATGAACACCTGCAATACCAGAGGTATTACGTGCGCGTTGCCGACCCTGAAGAAACCTCTTTACCCCCCATTTAAAGAACCCCATGCTCTTGGGAAAACCTCGAAAATAAATATTTTCTTGCCACTTACCCGTATCGTTTATTTCCGGCATCGGCCATTTTACCTGAATGAAACAGAGCGAGAATTATTATAAATTATAGGACAAGTGTGAGTGTAAGTAGATCTTGATGGATAGATAGGCGAATTAAGTGATCCAAGAATTTGAGATCCAAGAAAAAAAAAAGAAATGTGTTCCTGAAGTTTAAAATTAAAATATCGTGTATTATCATACGAGCATCAGCCTTTAACTTGTCCACTGCTGAACATAGGCCCTTTCATTTAGGGGTTTGCCAGTAGTGGCCACGCTTAGCAAGCAGATTGGCAACCGCAGTTAAGTTTTAGTGATGTTTTAAGAAGGACGCTACTGTCCATTCCTCGAGTATTACGTTTCCTTAGTCGCCACTTACGACACTAACAGGAAAGGAAGGGGTGGCCTATTCTATGGTGGGACCACATGGCAAAAATATCGTGTATGTGTTATTTTGATACACCATTTTCAAAACTTATGCATGCAAATGAAGTCGCAGACAAAAGCTAGTTAAAAATAAAATACAACTTACCACTCTGAGATCACGAGGACCATAGAGCACAGCTGCGTAGTTCTCCGCCATAGCACTTAAGTAATTTAAAATAAAATAAGCAAAATTATAAAATAACTAATGTAGATACATACATAAGTGATAGATTAAATATACAAGTGTACGGGTAATTTATACTCTGTACATTGTAGTAAAGTGCGAATGACAGATTACTAAAACCGTAAAGAATAATACTAACTTAACAGAACTATCGATTATGAACTTTTATACTATTTTACCAGAGGGAGACTTTGTACATAAGTCGATTGCTTGAGTACCTCTGTCCCATTCGTGTTTCAACCGTGGAGCAGTTGTGTTTGCATGGCTGTGTTTCGGTTTGAAGGGTGGGGCGTGAATTTACTGGGTACAGAGGAATAACACCTGAGTCCTCAGGAATGGCAACGCATGGGGGGTATACCACCATGGGCGAAACAGTATACTCTGTTATGTCCATGGTACTGCTCATGTCTATAGGCGACGGTTACCTCTTTCCATCAGGTGGGCCGTCAGCGTTTAGCTACACGGATGAAGTTGTGAGTAAAAGCTAATGATAAATAAATTAGATCCGGAAATCTTACTCACAACAGCTCTTTTACAGTAATGACTGTCAAAAATTCAACTGTCAAACGCACCGTGCTATAGCAAGCAGACTATAGTTATGTAATTACATATGATAATGACCTTTCGAGTATATTTAGATAATGCTACAATATCCACTATCAAATAATTTAAAGAAACAATAGGATATTTATCACAGCACGATTATATTATAGGTCAGACGTATCTCGGTTATGTCAATGTTGGCTATCTCCATTCGAGTGAAGATACAAAACAAACACATAAATATTTGGTTTCATTGCATGTTTGGTTCCATATGTATGTATGTATGTTTCAGTAAATACAGTCTGATCGATTTTTATAAAATTTCACAGTAATTGTTAGAGGAATACTTTATAATAAATTACTTACTACTAGTTGCATGATTCATTGAAGTCTATTTTAAGAATAGACGTAGTATTGCTCACTATGTCAGGTCGACCTCCACGCGGTCCCCCTAGGAAACCATTGTGCTGATTTCCAGGTATATTCATCACGATGGGCTAAATGGTAAATCCGCCTGCGCTAACGGTATACACTGGTGGGGCAGCAGTGAAGCATGATAGATGACGATGAAGTCAGAATCATCACGATGATTTCCAGGGGGAACCGCGTAAAGGTCGACCTGACAGGTATGGATGATTAACGTCCCCATTACTTGTTACTTCTCCCCCCATTCTCAATTATCATCCCTCACTGATGCCTCACCAGTGTATACTTGAACTGATAGCGTAGGCGGGGTTACCATTCCATTTTCACCCATTTAAACATTATGGTTGGGTAATCCGGTTGAATCTACCAGAGGGAGACTTTGTACAAAAGTCGATTGCTTGGGTAACTCTGTCCCATTTGTGTTTCTACCGTGAAGCAGTTGTTTGCATGGCTGTGTTTCGGTTTGAATGGTGGGATATAGCGTGAATTTACAGGGTATAGAGGAATAACACCTGAGTCCTCAGGAATGGCAATGCATGGGGGGTATCATGGGTGAAACAGTACACTCTGTTATGTCCATGGTACTGCTCATGTCTATAGGCGACGCGGGACACTCTCTCTCTCAGGGACATGGGACACTAGACACTCGGACACTCAGACACTAGACACTAGACACTCGGACACTAGACACTCGGACACTAGACTCTCGGACACTAGACACACAGACACTAGACACTCAGACACTAGACTCTCGGACACTAGACACTCAGACACACAGACACTAGACACTCAGACACTAGACACTCGGACTCTAGACACTCAGACACTGGGACACTAGACACTCGGACACTCAGACGCTAGACACTAGACACTCGGACACTAGACACTCGGACACTAGACACTCGGACACTAGACTCTCGGACACTAGACACACAGACATTAGACACTCGGACACTAGACACTCAGACAGACAGACACTTGACATTCAGACACACAGTCTCTAGACACTAGACACTCGGACACTAGACACTCGGACACTAGACTCTCGGACTCTAGACACTCAGACACTGGGACACTAGACACTCGGACACTTAGACACTAGACACTAGACACTCGGACACTAGACACTCGGACATTAAACACTCGGACTCTAGACACTCAGACACTGGGACACTAGACACTCGGACACTCAGACACTCAGACACTCAGACACTCAGACACACAGACACTAGACACTCAGACACTAGATACTCGGACTCTAGACACTCAGACACTGGGACACTAGACACTCGGACACTCAGACACTAGACACTAGACACTCGGATACTAGACACTCGGACACTAGACACTCGGACACTAGACTCTCAGACACTAGACACACAGACACTAGACACTCCGACACTAGACTCTCGGACACTAGACACTCAGACACACAGACACTAGACACTCAGACACTAGACACTCGGACTCTAGACACTCAGACACTGGGACACTAGACACTCGGATACTCAGACGCTAGACACTAGACACTCGGACACTAGACACTCGGACACTAGACACTCGGACACTAGACTCTCGGACACTAGACACACAGACACTAGACACTCAGACACTAGACTCTCGGACACTAGACACTCAGACACACAGACACTAGACACTCAGACACTAGACATTCGGACTCTAGACACTTAGACACTGAGACACTAGACACTCGGACACTCAGACGCTAGACACTAGACACTCGGACACTAGACACTCAGACACTAGACACTCGACACTCGGACACTCAGACACTCGGACACTAGACACTCAGACACTAGACTCTCACACTACACTCGACACTAGACACTCGGACACTAGACACTCGGAGACACTCAGATACTAGACACTCGGATACTAGACACTCGGACACTAGACACTCAGACAGATAGACGCTTGACACTCAGAGACACAGTCTCTAGACACTAGACACTCGGACACTAGACACTCGGACTCTAGACACTCAGACACTGGGACACTAGACACTGGGACACTAGACACTCGGACACTCAGACACTCAGACACACAGACACTAGACACTAGACACTCAGACACTAGACACTCGGACTCTAGACACTCAGACACTGGGACACTAGACACTCGGACACTCAGACGCTAGACACTAGACACTCGGACACTAGACACTAGACACTCGGACACTAGACACTCGGACACTAGACTCTCGGACACTAGACACACAGACACTAGACACTCGGACACTAGACACTCGGACACTAGACAATCGGACACTAGACACTCAGACAGACAGACACTTGACACTCAGACACACAGTCTCTAGACACTAGACACTCGGACACTAGACACTCGGACACTAGAGACTCGGACACTAGACACTGGGACACTAGACACTCGGACACTAGACACTCGGACACTAGACACTCAGACACTAGACACTCACACACTAGACACTCGGACACTAAACACTTGGACTCTAGACACTCAGACACTGGGACACTAGACACTCGGACACTCAGACACTCAGACACACAGACACTAGACACTCAGACACTAGATACTCGGACTCTAGACACTCAGACACTGGGACACTGGACACTCGGACACTCAGACACTAGACACTAGACACTCGGATACTAGACACTCGGACACTAGACTCTCAGACACTAGACACTCGGACACTAGACACTCGGACACTAGACTCTCGGACACTAGACACACAGACACTAGACACTCGGACACTAGACACTCGGACACTAGACACTCGGACACTAGACACTCAGACAGACAGACACTTGACACTCAGACACACAGTCTCTAGACACTAGACACTCGGACACTAGACTCTCGGACTCTAGACACTCAGACACTGGGACACTAGACACTCGGACACTTAGACACTCAGACACTCAGACACTAGACACTCGGACACTAAACACTCAGACACTAGACACTCACACACTAGACACTCGGACACTAAACACTCAGACACTAGACACTCGGACACTAAACACTCAGACACTAGACACTCGGACACTAGACACTCAGACAATAGACACTCAGACAATAGACACTCACACTAGACACTCGGACACTAGACTCTCAGACACTAGACACACAGACACTAGACACTCCGACACTAGACACTCGGACACTAGACACTCAGACAATAGACACTCAGACACTAGACACTCAGACAATAGACACTCAGATACTAGACACTCAGACATTGGACACTCGGACACTAGACACTCGGACACTAGACAGACACTAGACACTCGGACACTAGACACTCGGACACTAGACACTCGGACACTAGACACTCAGACACTAGACACTCGGACACTAGACACTCGGACACTAGACACTCGGACACTAGACACTCGGACACTAGACACTCAGACACTCAGACACTAGACACTCGGACACTAGACACTCGGACACTAGACACTCAGACACTAGACACTCGGACACTAGACACTCGGACACTAGACACTCAGGACACTAGACACTCAGACACTAGACACTCGGACACTAGACACTCAGACACACAGACACTAGACACTCAGACACTAGACATACACTCCGACACTAGACACTCAGACACTAGACACTCGGACACTAGACACTCAGACACTAGACACTCGGACACTAGACACTCAGACACACAGACACTAGACACTCAGACACAGACTCTAGACACACAGACACTAGACACTCTGACACCAGACACTCGGACACTAGACACTTGGACTCTAGACACTCAGACACTAGACACTCGGATACTAGACACTCGGACACTAGACACTCAGACAGATAGACGCTTGACACTCAGAGACACAGTCTCTAGACACTAGACACTCGGACACTAGACACTCAGACACTAGATAATGAGACACTAGACACTCAGACACTAGACACACGGACACTAGACACTCAGACACTAGATACTCAGACACTAGACACCAGATATTGAGACACTTGACACTCAGACACCAGACACTCAGACACTCAGACACAGACACTTGACACTAGACACTCAGACACTAGACACTCGGACACTAGACACTCAGACACTAGACTCTCAGACCGGTTACCATCAGACTGGTTACCATCTAGTATCAAATTACTCTTCAAGACGAATTAAACGAGCCAAAACTCGATGGGGTTGCGTCGTTTAATTACGGAGTTCCTATGGCCACCTTGCAGTCTCATCACCAGTCCCTGGTTACTATCTAATATCAAACTACTCGTCAAGACGAATTAAACGAGCCCAAACTCGATGAGCGAGAGGGTGAGAGGAGAGATGCAAAATGCAGGTTAAATGCGTTCTATGTGAATGCGATATATTAATTATCAGCAGATTTCTTTATTATTATCAACAAAGAATATCAACTTATTTTGATCCGATTCGCCCTGTGATCCGATTCGCCCTGTGATCCGATTCGCGTCGGTCTACCCTACTCTTAACGATGTTGTTAAATATTTTCTTGTAATATTGTTTTGTGCATTTAACAATTTTGTTGTTTATTTTGTTTAATGTGAATCGAAATTATTGCACGACAAATCTATTTAAAAACGAGTAATTATATTTAAAATAAATAAATATAATCTGACATCTAAATTGACATAAATGCATGTATACTATCTACGTATCAATTTAGTTTTGCTACACCCAAACAGGGCTTCATGTACTTACTCATCATAAGAACATTGTAACAACTATATTTAATGTACATGAATGCATTATAATAATAAATAAATCTATCGATAAATACGTTTTCGCTATTGTATGCACTAGATATGGAGACAATAGTGTGGTGTCTATACACACACCACATACACCACACACACACACGCGTGCATACACACACACGCGTGCACACACACACACGCATGCATACCCATAATTATTACATTCATAATACTTATTCATGCATGTGTATTGGTGGTGAGATCTAAATGAAATAATTGCATTATACAAATTAGTTACACAACTGTCAGTACTGCTAAAAAGCCTATGTTTAATATCTGTATGCATGTATATGATAACACGATATCTGTCTCCTACAGGACAGCCTCAGTTTAGTGTAGGAAGCAATGATAAATTCTGTGCTAATACAAACATACTTTGTTTAATAAATATATCTTTATCTTATCTTGTACTTCCAAATGCATATAATGAAAATACTGTACCTACTTACAATTTTAATAAACACAGGAAAGTACTTGGATAGGTAAATAATTAAGACATTTCATTGTAAAAATAATATATTACAATATTTTATTTAAATTTACAATATGTTTATATATTTTACATTTTTATACTTACAACTATTATTTATTTATAGTAAAACAAATTTTGTAATTTAACCATTAATATTATTTATAAACTTTGATGGCAAGTTTTAGCTTGATCGAAATTATCCGAATATTTTAAATGCATCTAAATGTATTTTTGTTTTACAACACAGGGGGCAAACGAGCACGCGTCTCACCTGATGGTAAGTGACTACCGCCGCCCATGATCACCCACAACATCAGCGGCATTGCAGGTGTGCTGCTGGCATTTTAAAAAGGAATATGCTCTTTTCTTGAAGGTTATGTTGTCGTATCGGTTCGGAAATACTGCTGCTGGAAGTTGATTCCAACGAGTGGTTGTGCGTGGAAGAAAGTGCCTTGAAAAACGCACGGTGGAGGACCGCCACTCGTCCAGATGGTTGGGATGGAACTTTAGTTTATGGCTGGTAGTACAATGGTGAAAATCAGCAGCAGGTATCAATCAGAACAATTCCTCAGAGCACTCCCCATTATAAATTCGGTATAAGATGCACAGAGATGCAACATCTCTGCGTATAATGTAACATGTACATAATATATATTCCAATAACATATGCCCTGTTCTTGTCTATACTAATATTATAAAGAGATAAGATTTATTTATAATGGATAAACTCAAAAATTACTCAACCGATTTTAAAAATTCTATCGCCTAAAGGAAGCTACTTTATCAGCAAATAATATGGGCTGTATATTTTTATCGTAAATTCTATCTACTCGTACAAAACCGGGTCGGGTTGCTAGTGTAATTACAAAAATCAACTTACCACTACCTACTAGAACAGTGTTTTTCAATCTTTTTCATGACGCGACCCCCTTATTACGAATATGTAAAAATATCCTGCGACCCCATACCCTCCACGCTTTTGAATGTGTATAAATTGTATTATAGTACAATTCTGAAATCCGTACAGTTGTATTTATATTCTCAGTTAGGTATCGGTTAAAATAAAATAAATAATACATAATAAAGTATTTAAAACAGACATGTAATCGATGTCTGTTATAGATACTTCATTATGTATTATCGATTGATTGATGTATTTACGGAACTGTTGATTTTTCACTGCTTCGCGACTTCCCGCGACCCCCTTGTAGAGGCTCGGGGACCCCCAAGGGGTTGCGACTCACACTTTGAAAAACACTGTACTAGAAGAAAAAGATTCAATACTAAAACTATATTAAATCATAAACTAAGTAAGTCTTAGTCTATTGTTTTACCCTGTATGAAAATAATGAAGATTGAACATTTTTGAGATCTTTTGTTCCATTTTTATAAGTGTATTATTGGTAGAACTAGTTAGTCGACAGGTTTATTTTTTTACCTTTTTAGTGGTCATTCTTTAGAGCCACCAATAAGGAGTGATCAAAGACATAATGTGGATAAGTAAGGAGTTATGCTTCATCATATATCAGCTTTTAACAGTCCACTGCTGAACATAAGCCTCCCCCTTGGGGGGTTTTGCCAGCAGTTGACACGCTTGGCAGGCGAGTTGGCAAGCGCAGTTAGTCTTTAGAGCTGTTCTATGAATAGAGAATTATACCTACTAATGATTAATTACTTAACTCGACTATGACCGACTGTTTCTGAGCTACTTTAAAAATAAAGATGTTTGCATGTTACGCGATATCTTTGGTGATTTTAAACCAATTTTGACGATTTTTTGCTCAATTGAAAGGGTCTACTCTTGTATTGGTCCCATGTACAAATTGTTACGAGTGAAATAATATATTTTGGAGCAAAATTAAAAACTAAACTATTTTCAGTTGTAATACCTATCTATTGTTCAGCTAGGGCCACATATAATCCGAAAATCGATTATATAATCGATTATGATTAATTAATCGGAATGTTTAATCGATAGTACAGTAAAACCTCTTTATTCGCGGTGTATACGTTCCGTAAATATGCCGCGAATACAGAAACCGTGAATATAGAAAGCCGAAGCATTTATACAGCGGCGACAGCATTTGACAACACATTTTAGATGCAGTTATGTAGGTCTGTTTTAATTTTTTATTAGTCCATTTATCGACGCGTTTACAAAGAAAACCAAATCTTTTTTATTAATATGTACCGATTAGATCCGCAAATAAAGAAATCTTTAGCGAATATAGGAAATAGGTCACAAATTTTTAAAGTCGTGAAAAAAACGTGAATAAAGTAAGCGTGAATAAGGAAACTTTACTGTATCGATATGAACACTGGATGGTTTATACGTCACTATACTATAATCGATACTATCAATAGTATGACATCGATATATGAAATAATCGATGCATCGATTATAAATTTTTGACAACCGGTTCGCAGCATATGGATAACTGTATCAAATTAAACAAAGACCAGATATGGTACCCGAGTCACTAGAACTTGTTAGGGTTGTTGGTGTCCCTCGGCTGGACGTGGATCATGACCTTGATGCCGGTGCCGCGGCGCGCGATCTCGTACGCCTCCAGAGTCTGCTCGATGTCGAAGTGGTGGCTCACCAGCGGTTTCACGTTCACTTGACCGTTGGCCAACATCGACAGTGCTATCGGGTATCTGTGATCACATAACATATTTCATCGTCATATCAGCTTTCAATTGTCTACTGTTGTACATAAACCTCCCCCTAGGGGGAATTTGCCAGTAGTTGCCACGCTTGGCAGGTGGACTGGCAACTGTAGTTAGGCATTGAAGGTGTTTTAAGAAGGACGCTGCTACCCATTCCTTTGCCCTCCCCTTAGTTGCCTCTTACGACACCTACAGGAAAGGAAAGGTTGGCCTTAACTATGCCGGGACCACACGGGAATAATAAACTATAAATACATTGCCATTCCAAGAACAGATTACACGAGTTTTTTTTTATACCAAGAAGGTGGCAAATAAACATTTTCTTTATACAACTTAGAATGGCAAACAAGCTGATGGTCCACCTGATGGAAAGTGGTAACCGTCGCCTATAGACATGAGCAGTACTATGGACATAACAGAGTATACTGTTTCGCCCATGATACCCTCCGTGCGTTGCCATTCCTGAGGACTCAGATGTTATTCCTCTGTACCCAGTAAATTCACTGTAATATTCCACCCTTCAAACCGAAACACAGCCATGCAAACACAACTGCTTCACGGTTGAAACACGAATGGGACAGAGGTACCCAAGGAATCGACTTTTGTACAAAGTTTGCCCAAAAATAAGATTTACATATTTTTTTCTTTTTTTTTTTAGTCTATAGAGAATAATAAAACTGCATACTAACTCGTTAACATATCGGAAGATCCCCTTGATGTCGACTTCCCTGGCGACCGCTGCAGCCAGCGGCAGGGTGAGCTCTGACGCCCCCATGCCAACTATCACGACCGTACCACCGGATTTGGTCGCCTGTCAACCCAGGTTTATAATAAGTTGTCTTTCTTTACTGAATGGTAGCCCTATCTTTTCTAGATGGAACTTGAATCTGACGCGGGGAGGCTGGTTTTAACTAAATTATTTAATTATATTTCGAATTTTTCATGTGGTATTATAGGTGGCGGTTTTTTTTATTAAATGAAAATGGTATGGTAACCCCGCCTGCGCTAACGGGATACGCTGGCGGGGCACCAGTGAAGGGTGATAGGTGAGAATGAAAACAGGCCAGTTAGCCCATCATGATGAATTCATCAGGAATCAACCATGATAGTTTCCAGGGGGAACCGCGAGGAGGTCGACCTGGTTGTGTATATTGCTAGCAATGGGATTCTCAACCTCCATTACTAACAATCCCTTTCTCCCCCATGAAAAAGTGTTTATATAGTGTGGGTAGCGGGTTAGATTGTAATCTGGCATTGGACCTGCGACCGATGCAATTCTTAACCATCAGGTTCTTTACCATCAGGCTACTGATGGAGTTAATGAGCTGTGCCATTATAAAAAAAAAATATTAAGATTATTAGGTAAACGTTTGATGGATGCATTTTATTTTTATTTTTTTACAATGCAGGGGTAAACAAGTGGTAAGTGACTACCGCCGCCCATGATCATTCACAACACCAGCACCAACAGCATTGCAGGTGTGCTGCCGGCCTTTTAAAAAGGAATATGCTCATTTAATAACAAATGAACTAACCAGTAACGAGAGCCGAGTGGTTGCGGACACGCCGCACGCGTCCAGTGAGACGTCAGGGTGGTTGCCGAGCAGCTCGTGCACTTTCTTCACGAGCTCCGCCTCGTTGGAGTCAGGCTTCACCAGGAGGGTGCTGTCGGCGCCCATCTTCTTGGCGAAGTCCAAACGGGATTGAAGAACGTCTGCAATGCACATACAATTTGGTATTAAATACCTCTCGTTTGTAATTCATTATATTTTAAAGATCAAAATACATTTTCTTACAACTTGTAACAGTTCAAGGATTCCAGATTTCAATTTAGAACAACATATTATTTTAATACAAAATGTCATAAAAAAATATAAAAAGCTGTAAATAATTACTACAACAGCTTTGAGCTTACAAACAAACTAGTAAAAAGTTACGTCAGAGGTGACTAAGGAAGGTCAAGGGATGGGTAGCCGCGTTTCTCTTAAAACATTTCCAAAGCCTAACTGCGGTTGCCAATCTGCCTGCTAAGCGTGACAACTACTGGCCAAACCCCCCAAGAGGGAGACCTATGTTCAGCAGTGGACAGTTAAAGGCCGATATGATGATATCGAGCAGTGAGGTGATTTAATGAAATCTTACCTGTGATGAGTACTTTGCTGGCCCCCATCGCTTTGGCGGTCAGTAGGATCATGAGGCCGATGGGCCCGGCGCCGAGCACCAGCACGTGGTCTCCCGCCGTCACCTTCCCGCGGCGACACGCGTGGACGCCTACTGACAGTGGCTCTAGGAGTGCTCCTTCTTCCATTGATACGTGGTCAGGTAGTCTGTAAGTGAATAAAAATTAAAGTATTCCAATAGAAAAGTCGTCCCACTCGAGTAGATAGATAGATAGATACTCTTTATTGTTTCCTTCATAAGATTACAGTAGTAAACTTATTATAAATAGATACAAACGATTACAAGAAAATATTACACTGAGAAAACAATGGGTGGCTGTTCCCAAAGAGGGTTGACGTCAGGCAGACGGCCGGTCGTAAAACAATAAGCTAAATCTTTTTGTAATATGGATAAAAACATATTACACCGACCACAAATAATAATTGGGATAAGAGTAGGAAGATAATGATGTCCATGATGCTGTTCATATTTATATTTCGTCGTATGGTCCTGGCCACTTCTTTCTTCCCGTGTGTGTCGTAAAAGGCAACTAAGAGAACTTATGGACAAGGGACGGACAGCAGAGTCCCTCTTAAAACATTACCAAAGGCTTAACTGCGGTTGCCAACCCGCCTGCCAAGCATGGCAACTATTGGCAAAACCCTCTTATGGGGGAGACCTATGTTCAGCAGTGGACAGTTATTGACTGATAGGGTATGGCATGGTCCACGATGCTGCTCTCATATTTATAGGCGACACTTATCATTTTCCATCGGGTGGACAGCTTGTCTGCTATTCGATTTTATATCATCATTTCAACCTTTCCTGATGCCTTCAATCATGTGCGATTTATTTATCAAATTTGAACCGTATTTGTTACGTTTTTTTTTATTTCTTCGTATTGTATTATAAATTTAAATACACTATCGGGATTTAGCGCGATGAGTAAAAGTTGCTAGCAAATAGTACCTACACACCTGCTTCTTATTACTATCATTTACCAGAGGGAGACTTTGTACACAAGTCGTTTACTTGGACATCTCTGTCCCATTCGTGTTTCAACTGTGAAGCAGTTGTGTTTGCATGGCTGTGTTTCGGTTTTAAGGATGGGATATGGCAGTGAATTTACAGGATACAGAGGAATAACATCTAAGTCCTCAGAAATGGCAATGCATGGGGAGTATCATGGGCGAAACAGTATACTCTGTTATGTCCAAGGTACTGCTCGTGTCTATAGGCGATGGTTACCATTTTCCATCAGACCGTCATCTTGTTTGCCATTCTAAATTGCATAAAATAAAAAAAAAAATAGGAATGAATTTGTCTAAATTGGTTCGAGTTTGGGTGTTCTGGGTTGCTCCTCCAGATGCACTTTGCTTAGTTGCTCATCAATCAGGGTATCTTGAGGACCAGGCAAATAATGTAATTGTAGTACTTCTTATTATTATAATAAAATCAATTACTTATAGCAGAAGTCAGCAGCGTGCTTGTAGTATCTAACGAGGTTCCCGTGCACTGGCGGTGTGGCGCAGAAGACGATGTCAGGACACAGGTGGTAGCGGCCCGTCTTGCAGAACTCGCAGTACCGGCACGGCACACCGGGCTCGATGGCCACGCGGTCACCCACCTTCAGGTTCCTCACTTTGGAACCGATCTGTAAATTTAATTTCAACCTAATAATACCATCATCATATCATCATCATCATCATATCAGCCTGCTGCTGATGAACATAAGCCTCCCCTTTGGGCGTTTGGGTATCATGGGCGAAACAGTATACTCTGTTATGTCCATGGTACTGCTCATGTCTATAGGCGACAGTTACCACTTTCCATCAGGTGGACCGTCAGCTTGTTTGCATAAAAAAATGGTCCTCTTCCTGTCACCGCTCTGCATCAGGCGAGCCGTTAATTTGTTTAACATTAAAATCGCTGTATTTTCTTGTGAAGTGTGTTATAGTAGATACCTATCAAGTATTACGACACACCCTCAACGGCGATCGCATCGGACCACCTAGCTTAACGCAAGAAGGTGCGCTACCGAGAAAGACACCTGCGTCGAGTCAGCATTTCAATTCCCGCAGCAAAAATACCCATTTCCTTTATGTTTGATTGGATATAACTTCACTTACGGATTACATATCGATCTGAAGACACTTATTATTGTAATAATTAATTTTAGAATTAAATTTAGTTATATAAAATTGTTTTTTTTTATTCTTCCGCCAGCGACTTCAATAACTAGTGAGATATACTTGTTATTGTTATTTATTATCATTGACGTACGTCAGTACATCTCGAGAGATATCAGTTGTAGCAGCTTACACAATGCTACTTGATAATGTGGTCACTTATTGTACGCATTGATGGTACGTATATACGCATGATTACTGGCAAGGCTATTAACATTTTATCGTGAAGTTTAAATTATGTAACTGCAGCGAAATGATATCAGTAAGATATACAATTATACCATGGAAGTTTATAAAGATGTTTGAATTAATTTTTATTTAGTAAATATTGGTGATTGCCAGCAGCAGATCTCAAAATTACAATTGTTCAGCAATATTTACCATTACATACGTGTGTAAATGTTTTTTTTTTTATAATTACTATAATAATATAGTAATAATAATATTAACAATATAGGTTATTTTAAATTACGATTTTCTTTATACAACTTAGAATGGCCAACAAGCTGACGGCTCACCTGATGGAAAGTGGTAACGGTCGCCTATAGACATGAGCAGTACCATGGACATAATAGAGTATACTGTTTCGCCCATGATACCCCCCATGCGTTGCCATTCCTGAGGACTCAGGTATTATTCCTCCGTACCCAGTAAATTCACGCCATATCCCACCCTTCAAACCGAAACACAGCCATACAAACATAACTGCTTCACGGTTGAAACACGAATGGGACAGAAATACTCAAGCAATTAATATAACAATTATGTATATATTATATGTATGTATATGTAAGTATTATTATGTAAGTATTATAGTAACAATTACGTATTTAAACAGTAATTTAGATATGTAATACAGTCTACATTATCTACCTATTCATGTAAATCTAGTGTCAATACAACGATGTAGATTTAGGGTTGCCAAAAATACAAGTTAAAATATCTATTTCTCAAGAGTTCACCACGAATATAATAATAAATATTTCGCTACGAATTAACCACGAAGTTTTCCAGAGGAATTACGCGGACGTCAACGTGATTGCGTAAATTGTTAGCAATTAATCTAATTGACTTATTACTAACAATCCCTTTTCATCTCCTCGCAGATACTGATCCCTCGTTTTGATGCCAAGCATTTGTATGTTTAAGTTGTTATGCGTCTTATTTAAGGGGCCAACCCTCTAAATACCTCTCCCAATAATCTCACATGTAAAAAAGAGAGGTAACAGACACCTTTCAAGGACACGACCTTCAATAATGAAGTGGACGAAAAGAGGGAAAATGCAAAAGTTTTCCAAGAGACTACAAGCATGGGGATATTAAAAAAAAGAATAAAAAGGTTTCTTCAGGGTGGGCAAAGCGCGCGTAATGGTATTGCAGGAGTTTATAGGCTACGGTAACCTTTTACTATCAGGTGGGTCGTATGCTTTTTTGTCACCTCAGTGGTATAAAAAATGATGGATAGATGAATGTTTGTTACTCTTTAACGCAAAAACTACCAAACAGATTTAAATGAAATTTGGTTCACGCGTAGGTTATATTCTAATTGATCACACAAGTTACTTTATAGACTGACAAACGTGGGCAAAACCGCGAGATACAGCTAGTCTTAAATATGGCAACATCAATTTACTTGTGGGACAGGGATTGTTAGTAAGAGATCCAACAGACCTATTACTAGCAATATACCCTAACAGGTCGACCTCCACGTGGTTCCCACTGGAAACTATCATGGTTAATTCCTAATGAATTCATCATGTTGGGCTAACTGGCCTGTTTTTTTTCTCATCTATCACCCTTTACTGGTGCTCCGCCAGCGTATCCCATTAGCGCAGGCGGGCTTACCATACCATTATTAGCCATTAAAAAAAAACGTCAACTTACTTTTGCTACAACTCCGGAAGCCTCGTGTCCCATTATCATAGGTTCTTTGAGGACGAAGTGACCGCATTGTCCAGTTTGCCAATAGTGGACGTCCGAGCCGCAGATGCCCACGCAGTCCATCCGCAAAAGAACCTCTGTACGAATAAAAAAAAAATTAAAAAAGAAACTTTTAATATGTAATCCAATAATATTATGTTATATATAAATTAATTTATAATTATTTGTCGTAAGTCAATACTTTATGTGGTTGCTAGGTTGACCGGTAATAGTAGATTACTGTAGCGGCCAGCAACTGAGGCATTGATGGACGAACGTGCAAATGTGAGCCGAGGCGTAGTCGAGGCACACATACGTAAGTCCATCAATGCCTATGAGTTGTAATTTATCTGGCCAAAACACGACAGTATATGGATTTTCATCAAACAATGTGCGGAAATCAAAAACACAATTTCACTTTTTAAGTTCAATGACGATTTAACGATGTTTGAAAAATAATATTTCATTAAGTGGGTACGCGCCATGTAATGTTCAATTTTTTTTATTTAACAATATTGCACCAAACAGTAAATTGAACATTGCAAATGAGCGTGTTTATATTTTAGATTGTAACGTCTTTTTTGAATACTTAAGTCAAAGGAAGTTTTTAACATGGTTTGAGATCAGGCACGAGGACTCAGTTATTCTTCCGTGGCTAGTAGATTCACGTATCCCACTTCAAACCGTGTATTTTGTTATTCAAACACAGACTATTTTATTATTATTATTATTAAAAACCCTTGTTTATATTGATTGAAAATTGTATTTAAATTTTTATAATTATTTATTTATTTTATTTATAATTTATTGTTCACATATTGTATACATACATTATTTGTATTTTTTTATAACGCACATATAATTACATAAAACTATATCATTACTGCACTCACCATCTTCTGATATTTCTGGTATAGGTGTTTGTACCTGAAAAAAAAAAGTTAATACATTTTAGTGTGATTTAGAATTTAAATAAACCTTTTTTTTTATATATTATAATCTAAAAACTTTTAAAAAAAAAAAAAATTTAAATGAAATTTGGTTCACGTTTATATAAATTCTATTACATAAAATAGATAACATAATTTAAATTTTAGATTATGTTATTCTATTGATAAACATTTTTTTAACTAAACTGAATGGGCACAGCATGCCCGATCGTAACAGGCTTGATATACCATGAAAGGCATTTTAGAGTTATCAGTTATAATCAATATCGCAGACAATTGTATAAAATTATATGAATAATGTAATATTTAGAAGCTTCTCAATTCATTTTTTGTTTTTTATTTAACTTTCTTTATGTTTACGTTTATTTTTATGTTTAATTTTTTTTACTAATAGTTGCAACCGAATGGCTTTGTTGCAGTCGCATTTATTATTGGATCATGCTGTGTGCACATGTTGTGGCAAGTTTACCTGATCAATACATTAATGTACTTGCATTTTATAGTTTAAGTTTGTATTTATAAACTTCTGTTATGTGCGCCAAATAAATAATATAAAATAGAAACTAAAACTTCCTACAAATTTATTTTAATTATTGGAGTGTTTTATAAATTCTTCTCAAAGTGAGAATTTAGAGCAAAAGAAATAGACGATTCACTTAATTTTTTTATGGATGTTAATGGAATAATGGCCCGTATGCGCTAACGGTATACGCTTGCGGGACACCAGTAAGGGATGATAAGTGAGAATGAAAAGGAAGGCCAGTCAGTCCATCATGATAAATACATAAGGAATTAAGCATGATACATAGAGTCTACTGAGGACCATGGAGGTCAAACGCATATTGGGGATCTGGTATCCGCATTACTGATACAGTATCTCCGCCCCCCAAACACTTCATTAGCTAAAATAGGTTTATGATAAGATTAATATTTTTTAAATAAGGGGGGGGGGGGTATACTTTGTCAGGACGACTTAATGTAATGTCTTGGTAACCGTCATGGCACAGGTCAAGATTAATTTACGGTAAAATCGTGATGGGCCAACTGATTTGATCTTATCTATATCTTAAACTAACACCATATACTGGTACCTCGCTGGCGTACATCGATAGCGCAGTCGGGGTTACCATAAAAAATATCCATTGTACTGCCAGCTTACCACCCACTGTTAATGCCATATCTCATGTTAATCACATAAGCTTAAAGTTATTACCGGATTTAGTGATAAAACTAAGACTGTTTGAGATTACCCGCAGGTATTCTGTAAGTTTATTAACCCACGGGATATTTTTTTTTTTTTTCAATAGATGATAATGAAATGGTAACCCTATCTGCGCTAACGGTATACGCCGACGGGGTACGAGTGAGGGATGATAGGTGAGAATGAAGCAGGTCAGTGATGAATTCATCTAAAATTAACCATAATGGTTTCCAGGGGAAACCGCGTGAAGGTCATTACTTTATTCTATGTCTGAGCTGACCTTACATTTTAAATCTACGCTATAGCAAGTTTATAGGATTGATAGCTGTTTCTTTCTGACTACACCGTAAAAGTATACAAATTTTTTACTCAACTGCGAAAGACAAGTGGATTTACCAGAGGGAGGTTTTGTACAATTACCTGCTTAGGTATCTCAAATCCTTCCCAATATTATAAATATAAAAGTGAGTTTGTTTGTTACTTTTTACCACCTTAACGGCTTAACCAATCACTATAGGGGAAAAGGGATTGTTAGTAATGGGGTCTAATTGACCCATTGCCAGCAATACACCATATCAGGTCGATCTCCACGCGGTTTCCCCTGGAAATCGTCGTGGTTAATTCTAGTGGAATTCTTCACGATGGGCTAACTGACCTGTCTTTTCATCCTCACCTATCATCCCTCACTGGTACCCCGCCAGCGTATTCCAATAGCGTAGGCGGGGTTACCATTCCATTATCACCCATTAAAAAAACCAATGACTATGAAATTTGGTATACATGTACTATATGAGAAGGAGGATATATATATATATATATATATATATATATATATATATATATATATATATATATATATATATAGGATATATATAAAACTATATATATCGATCATAAATAATAAAAAAATGTAGGTATAGCTGGTTTTTTGGAACTTTGTCATATTAGTTGTTTATATATATATATATATATATATATATATATATATATATATATATATATATATATATATATATATATATATATATATATATATATATATATATATATATATATACATATCTGTGCCTACTATTATATCTATCGTTTACATTGATTCGGTATCACGAAAACGTTATAGGGTTATCTAGATGTCAATAATTTCATAAACAATTTATAATTATGTATTAAGTAATAATATAATTTATAAATATTTTTATTAACTTATTGACAATTTTCATGGAATATACCTGTTTTCTAAAATTACATATTTGTCGTGTTGTTCTTCGTCTTTCTGTTTATAAAACTGGGGCTATCAGTGCCCATTTATTAACTATCTCTTTTCCTTTCGTGAATATTTATTTATTCATTAGTACATATATGTGTACATGGCGGACTTAATGCTAAAAGCATTTTCTCCCAGTAGACCATAGGGAAGTGTTAGAATACTCGATTTTACATATATAAACGAAATTACATATATAAACGAATTAATATATATGAATAACAAATATATTTACACATATATAACATATACTATATTAGACACGAAATTTAGAATAATATAAAGTACTTACTGTTCGGATAATGTAAAAAAGTGAGCGTGAACGTTTTTATATCTACATTTTACGTAATTAACGTAAATTTATACGCGTTTTTATTTTTTTTTTTATTTAATTATTTGTCAAACAAATTTGGCTTTGAGATAGAAAATTAGTTTACTCTCTGCAATTTTTTTAATGGTTTATAATTCTACCATCATCATTCTAGCCATAAACAGAAAAATCGACAAATACACAAATGAAGAAAAAAATTTAATACTATGTATATATAATAATAATATAATAGCCCCTATGAAATAAATTAAAAAGTATTTTTTATTCAACAATAAACTATAAAATAAAAATATTTTTAATTTTTGACTTTGTTACCAATAATAATAATAATAATACTTTATAGGAAACAACATTTTTAATGACACTTTTGACAATATTATTAAAAACGATGATATCCATATAAAACTGTGTCGCGAATATCAACGCCCACCTCCTCATTGCAGGATTCCAAAACAGACATTTAAAACGTATGGTAACGTATAGCCACGTCAACGAAGACATTTTGTCATATCTAGCAACCAACTACAATAATTTAAAAAATTGAAAATTTAAATACAGTAGCCTACATGTTAACTTAAAAAAAAGTGTGTGTGCGTGCGTGCGTGTGTGTGTGTATGAGTGTTGAGTGTGTGTGTGAATTTGTGTATATCAGGTGTGAAAAAAGTTATAAATTTATTCGGAAAATTTAATAAGATCTTCTGTATCATTATAAGGATTGGAACCTACTATGCGAAGCAAAAAGGGTATTGATTTTTTTTATATAAAGATAATCGTAAAAGTGTGAAGCGATGTGACATAGTGATAAACATGTTAATGACACGTCAAACACAGATCATGATCGAGTAGACGAGTTGACGAGCCGAGTGTGTCAATGACTCGTGGATGTCACTTTGACGATTTTATTACATGTAATGATTTTAAAATGTTTGGTTTCAAAAATAAAATCTGTCTAATGCGAGTTGAACCACGCGTCGAGGGTTCCGTGCAATAAAATACTCTGCAAATAGCCGACAAATTACGACCATTCTTTTCTTTTTCGTGGGTGTCGTAAGAGGCAACTAAGGGATGGGCAGCAGCGTCCCTCTTAAAACATTTCCAAAGCCTAACTGCAATTGCCTATCAATCAAGTTGCCAATCGTGGCAACTACTGGCAAAACCTCCCAAGGGGAGGCTTATTTTCAGCAGTGGACAGTTAAAGGCTGTTTTGATGTTTACACAAAATTAAGCTTCAAAACAAATACCTATTTTGTTTAGATAAAAAAATATTTGAATGTGTACCTACTTAGATGTAAGATAAAATGGCCATATTGTGTTTTGTAGATAAAATAGAAATCATTCTTATCAGTGTTCTTGTTATTGCAACTCGGAATTTCTTATTTTGGGACATAACCGTGGTTTTTGGCGGTTTTTGGTGGCCACTCAAAAATTTTGCTACTTAGAAAAACAGTTTTATTTTTCTGTAACATTCGCACATATACTTATACCATTATATACAGTAATTATTCGAGATTTTAACTTTCATAGATAGAAAATATATTTCAAATATAGAAAAAATAAGTGGACATTTTTCATTTTCTAACATTTTTAAATTTAAACGTATATGATATAACTAAAAAGTATATAAAACTCTTTTACATAATATTCCACTGAGACTATTTAGAAATTTTAAAATTTTGAGTTTTGGAGCCCCAAGCAAAGGAGAATATTTTCTCAGTTATTTTTATTGTAATCTATACTCGAATGTGGATCAATAATATCTAAAACTATTTCAAATTTCGAAATGATAGCATTTACAGTTGCGTTATGAGAGACCGACAAACAAAATCTCACCCGAAGGATTCCTTTGAAACTGATATGGAACTGTAAAAATATGTTTTTTTATAATTTTGAGCTTAGATAAATAACTATAATAACTTATTTGTTTATGAATGCAAAGGAAAATTCTTGTAGTTATAGAGTTTATATCTTAATAAGTAACAAAAATCTTTATACGTGAAATATGTTTAGACCATACAAGAGAAAAATGTACGTTTTGTCTATTATTTTTACTTGGCGGGATAACAGAAGAGACCTTATTTGGGACAGTCCGTCTCTACAAAAAAGGCGCGAATTTAAAGTTATAAAATTATTTGGAATTGTTTATTAAATTTTACGCGAAATGTACTATATTTATTTATTTAATTTTAACATTTCATTACATAAAGTTTATTGCAGTAGGTAGTTGTGTAACTATTAATTTAAAAACAAGTATAAAATGTAGTCTTACCGCTATGCAATTTCTTATAGATAACTATAACTTTTCATAATGCTTATTATGAGTACATATTTATATAGTAAAAGTAGGTAAAACATAATTAAATAAGAAAATATGTATTAATGTTATTAACGATAATATACGACACGACCTAATTACTCATTGGGTATAGAATCGATAAAACTAACAGTTTTTCTAACCAAGTAGCGAATCAATTAAGAGATTTTTTTTTCAATTTAAGCATTTTATTACAAGAAATATATAAACAAATCAATAATTTTATTAAAATATAGCACATATGGAACTATGAATGATTGAATACTAAATAACCAATTTAAAAATAGAACCGGCATTTTAAAATTAGCATAGACAAAATGTTATAGTTTTAATTAAAAAAAAAATCTATCAAGCTAATTTGTGCCGTAGAAGTTAATTTACGATAAAGTACTTACCAATTTAAGATCCTTCGGTTTGTAAAGAAGCGCGGTGAGGTTATCTTTGGACATGTTGACTTGACGTGTAGTACTATCGATTGTGCGGTCACAACTGTGCTCAGACTGTGGGCCGGCTCAGCTGGCCTGGCAGGCAGACAGAATTTATGAGCAGTCGCCTCGCACAATGAATGAATGCTAACTTGACAAATAATTGATATATTCACGAGAAATGTCTTATAGTCCTATTTGGATCGCAATTGATATTCGTGCACGCATATTTAGTTACATAGTAAACTTGAGGTTATTTTTTATTTTATATAGCTGAGATGCAAAAATCAGCATATGACCTGCCTGATGACAAGATTTGTTAAATGGGTGAAAATTGAATAGTAGCCCCGTCTGTGTTATTGGTAGGCGGGGCACTAGTGAAAGAAGATACGTGAAGATGAAAGTAATTCAGTTAGCCCACAGTTATGTATTCAACTTGAATTAACCACGATGGTTTCCAGGGGGACCAATGCTTCTTTTTTTATACCACAGGTGGCAAACAAGCATACGGCCCACCTGATGGTAAGCGGTTACCGGTGCCTATGAACGCCTGCAATACCAGAGGTATTACGCGTACGTTGCCGACCCTGAAGAAACCTTTTTACCCCCTTTTGAAGAACCCCATGCTGTTGTCTCTTGGGAAAACCTCGGCAAGGAGTTCATTCCATCCTAAAGGATGACCACGAATTCCTCATCAGTGGTGACCATATTATGCTAGAAAGTGACCCTGAGCTTTAAAGGAAACAAATCCTAATAGTATAAGTCTGATGAATTTGAAAAAGCAATTTTTTACCGCAAATTTCGTATATTTGTAAGAAGAAAAGAGTCAAAGAGTTTAATTTGGTTTACGAATGCTCCTGCCAAACCATATGTGATGTCTAGACCAGGTCTTCCAGTTATAATAAATGTTTTTGCATTACCCAAATTGATATCCAAAAACCTTCTAGATAACTAAGGAACCGTATGTCGTTAGAGATAAATCCGCGAAGTTCTTCGAAATCATAAAGGACTTGATCATGGAGTTGTGGTTCCACAGTGAATGAGATGATGAGATAGATGATTAAGCGGTTAATGCGATAATATAGAATGCTCTCCCTATCGAGGTTTTTCTAAGAGACTACAGCATGAAGTTTTTTTTTTAAAAAAAAAGGGTAAAGAGATTTCTTCAGGGTCGGTAACGCGTGAATAATGCCTCAGATATTGCAGGCGTTCATAAGCTACGGTAACCGCTTACCATCAAGTCGGCTGTATGTTTATTTGCCACTTTATTGGTATAAAAAATGCGATAAATCACAACAGGCGCCATCTTTTTTTTAATATTATGAAAAAAAAAATTGTTGACTCGCTCTAAATGGTGTTACGGGATGTTCTTTAAATGATTAATTTTCTTTCTTATCTTGATTACAAGGATTTTCTCGCAAGTCAAATTTTGTTAGACATGACTATAGCTAGATGCTCGCATTTTTCCCTTTCAATTGAAGAGTCGATGAACACGTGGTAAAGTTATCACATATAAGAACCCTTTTCTTTTTAAATCGGTTAAAAATAGTTGTACCATTTACCGTACTAATTACGCCGTTGACAGAATATGTTGACACTATAACATAGTAAGCCGCAAGTGAGACGTGACGAATCTCGAGGTTGATAGGACAGCTACGACAAAGGTTCATGACCGTGACTGGCTGATACCTGAATGAGAATCAATAAAGGTCATGATCAAGGGCATGAACGGTAACTTGTTAAGTGTATTAATATTATAAAAGCGATAGTTTGCAAGAATTCGTAAGAAAAGACGGGCTTGAAAGTATGGGTGAATGTTACTCTCCCACGCAAAAACCACTCAACGGATTTCAATAAAAAAAAATTTGTACACGAACAAATTATACTCTAACTTAGGACCTAAGATACTGATGTACTGATTCACACATGCAAACCCCCGGGATACTGCTAGTCACATTATTTTGCCACAAAAATATAAAGACGAACTGACAACGTCTTCCTTTTTGGATATCGCTTAAAAAATCCGGAACCTCATTACGCAAAGCAATTCCACGAAGGTCGTCAATCATATATATAATAAAAAAATCACCTAAACCCCATGACCCTACCAGCCACGTGAACATTTGAAGCGACTAACGCAACGAGTGCATCACATCTGCGGACTGCGGCAGATGTCCGGCTGCGCGTGCGCATCGTGACGAATAGATTTTTTGCGTGACCACTGCATTGATCGATTATAAGTTAGAGCTACAATCTATTAATTTATACTAGTCTCTACTAATATTATAAATAGGAAAGATTTGATTTTTTGTACGTTTATTTGTTTGTAACGGATAAACCCAAAAATTTTTCAACCGATTTTAAAAATTCTTTCATCTATAGAGCGCTATATTATCCCCACTAAAATAATAATATTATATTGTAAGTATGTAATAAGTCAAGGCTACAATAATTTGTTTATTAAAGCTAATATGAAATTATCTTTCTAATAAATTTATTTTTCGAATGTCCTAGCCAATGCACATTTGTTTCACAAAAAATAATTTGGAATGAGTTAAAAATATAATGGAATATATTAATAAAAGAATACAAAAAAGTAATAATATTAACAAAGAGTATTAACTAATACTTTTAAGTAGGATTTTCATTTAAAAAAAAAACTGTCCTTAAACTTTTCTTTACTTTTTCAAAAAAAAAAATTGGGGTCCCTAGGCAGACTACCTTACACTGCCTAATAGATAATCCGACCCCATATGGGCAACTGAAGAGTATTCATTATGTAAAAAACAACATTAATTCATAGTGCCTCTAACCAAACTGCTCTCTTAAGGGGAAAGAATTGTTAGTAATGTGAAGGTTAGTCCCCATTGTTAATCAATATACCCTATCAGGGGGACCTCCATGCGGTTCCCTCTGGAAACCATCGTGACTAATTTTTCGTTGAATTCGTCATGATGGGCTAACTAACCTGCTTTTTCATTCTTACCAATCATTCCCCACTGGTGTTCCGCCAGTGTATACCGATAGCGCAGGCGGGGTTTATCATTTTATAGTCATCCATAAAAAAAAAATTGCTCTCTATCCAAAGGTTGCCTGGAAGAGATCGCTTTTAGCGCTAAGATCTATTGTTTTGTCAGTGTGACCTTTTTTTTTTTTTCTTTTCTATTTCTTTTTTAATTTCTATTTTCGCTTTTAATTTCTAGTTTTGGGAGCTGTATGTTTATGTATGTATATTTGATTTTCTGAGATATATTATTTTGGAGAGAATAATAAAAAAAAATATTTATCTAAATACATAGTTAAATAAACTTATCTATGGTAATCTATATTGCTCAGATAAATAATATCCATTTGTAGTTTCCATGGTAGATACTTAGTTTTATTATCTATACACTTATTTATTTGCTTATCTTTTTTTTTTTATTATATCTACCGTATATAATCTTAAATATGATCATGTTATTTTCCAGTATATCACCATAACGTGGTAACAAACAGAGTTATCTGAAATAATTATGTTGATAGTTAAATACATTTTATGCGAATTCACATAATGTAATCTTTTCAGGCCAAGAGGCACGACAAAACAATTATATGCGAGTAAATAGGTATATTATGTAACAAACAATATTATTATAATATCTACTTAACTACTACGATTTTATCTACATTAGGTATAGTTTGTGACCATAAGACTCTGCCACCATCACGAGAGTCTGCTGATGTCCTATAGGTATATTATATATATGCTGTGTTTCGGTTTGAAGGGTTTGAAGGGACATAGCAGTGAATTTACAGGCTACAGAGTAATAATACCTGAGTCTTCAGGAATGGCAACGCATGGGGGTATCATGGACGAAACAGTATAGGTTTTATTTATTTATTTATTTATTTAACACTTTATTGCACCAACATAACATGATTTGTTAAAACAATTTTCAATACGTATAGTGTAGTACAAAAGGCGGTCTTATTGCTAAGCAATCTCTTCCAGACAACCTTTGGGTAGAAAGGATTAAAGCATAAGTAGGTAGGTGGCGCGTTAAAAAAGATAGATTTGTAAAAAATAATATTTGTGACAGCATAGTCATATACATATACATACATAAATAAACACATACATCCAAACATATACATATATATACATACACATACACATATAAATATATATACATACATATACATATATACGCATAAATACATACAAATATACCATATTAATACACATATATATAACACACATAAAACTGGAAATACGTAGGACTAAGTGATTATAAGGATAGGTAGTGGGCTTTAACTAAGTTTTTAAAAATGGGCAACGATTGAGCGCACCGTATAGAGGTAGGGAGTGAGTTCCACAAACGAACTGCTTACACGGAAAAGGATTTGGAGTAGAAAGAGGAAGAATGGGTAGGAATTATGAGTTGGAGGTTGTCAGTACTACGTAAAGAATAAGAATTAGAATTGCTCTCTCCAAGAAACATAAAACGTTCTTTTAAATAATGAGGTGTAACTGGATTAAAGAGAATTGAGTAAAGAAGGGAAAGGATGTGCCAGTTACGACGAAGACGGATAGAGAGCCACTTGAGCCGTGTACGATATTGGGATACATGGTCATATTTGCGAAGTCCAAATATGAACCGTATACATAAATTTTGAAGACGCTCAAGTTTATTTAACTGCTCTTCAGTGACATTTGAATAACAGGAATCGGCGTAGTCAAGGATGGGGAGGAGCAATGTATGAGCAAGCGCAATTTTGGTATCCATAGGAAGAACCTTACGCAACCTGTAAAGGGATCCAGTTGCCGCAAACATCCTCCTGCTAATCTCAGCAATCTGAGGTGACCAGGATAAAGTACTATCAAAACAAATGCCGAGATTTTTAACGCGGTCGCTGTAGTTTAACTTCATTCCATTAAAAACTACAGAAGGAAGGTCATTCAAAGCCATTCTGGAAATGTAACTAGGGCTACCTATGATTATAACTTGGGTCTTGGTCGGATTTACAGCAAGACCATAGGATTTGCTCCAGACAGATATACATTCAAGGTCTTCGTTTATTGTATTTACTGCAACAGAAATATTAATAAGAGGAGCCCGGCAGTAAATTTGAAGGTCGTCTGCATAAAGATGGTAGGAAGACCGAAGCTGAGACGTGATATTGTTGATAAATAAGGCAAATAAAAGAGGAGATAAGACGCCACCCTGGGGCACGCCCGCAGATGTACTGCACCAAGATGACAAAGAGTCGTTGATACGAATACGCTGCCGACGTCCAACCAGGTAACTACGAAACCATTCAATTGCCGTTGGAGATATGTTGAGAGAAGTCATCAGTTGCAACAAAATGTCGAAATCGACGGTATTAAAAGCATTACTGAAATCTAATAATGTTAAAACTGTCAGCTCACTGAGCTATCCATTCCGAAACGGATATCATCAGAGATCTTTACAAGAGCAGTAGTCGTGCTGTGACCTGCGCGGAAACCAGATTGCAGAGGATTAAGAAGGTTATTTTTGGACAGAAACAAGTTGAGTTGCTGATGTACTAACTTTTCCAGAGCTTTGGAAAGGAAGGGAAGAATGGATATAGGTCGATAATCGGAAAAAACTGTGGGGATATTTTTTTTAGGTAGGGGGATAATAAAGGCTTCTTTCCAGATATGAGGAAAAATACCTGAGGATAATGAATTATTAAAGAGAAAAGTAATAGTTGGCAACGACTGATGTTGTCAGTACCCAGAGCATTAGAAGATATTGACAGTAAGCTTCTCTCAACATCACAATCGGACAATTGTCCGAAAACAAAAGGAGTGTAATCAGGAGTTGGAAGTGAAGAAAGATAATACAGTGTTTTTAATTTGTCATTAGGAACAACAATAGAAGAGGAACAAAAATGTCTATTAAGGTTCTCAATATCAATACTAGTGGAACTCTCATTGTGCTTTTTTCCAACTCCTAAAGATTTAAGAAATTTCCAGACTTTTGCTGGATCTCCATTCTCAACAGATTTATGGATGTGGCGACGTTGAGCCTCCCTACACATCTTATTGCAGAGATTTCTGATGCGCACGTAGTTGTCACGATATCTGTCTGGGTCTTTTTTAAATTTAGTTTTAGCATTATTTTTCTTGTTTATGATAGCTCTAATATCATCAGTGAGCCAGGGCGCAGGCAGATGTCTGACTCTGACGGGACGGATTGGGGCATGCCGATCATAAAGGTCAAGAACGAGTTGATTAAATTCTTGTATCTGTATGTTTACACAACCTATATTTGCAATAAATGACCAGTCACACTCCGATGCATCTTTTCGCAAACGGTCCATTTTAATGGCCCCAAAATTGCGCTGCATGAGGAGTCTACGCTTTAATTTAGGAGGACGGATTTTATAGGAAAGGTATAAGAGATTATGAAAGGAAAAAGCATCAGCGGTGTGCTGACCAAACTTGGAAACATGTTCGGGAGATGATACAAGGATTAGGTCAAGTAAAGAAGGATTGCAATTCGGAAAAAAATGGGTTGCTTGGAGAGGCAAAATATTTAAATTACAAGCACTGGCAACAGACTTAAGACGGTAAGCTCGGCTATCATTTTTCAACAGACAGGTGTTAAAATCACCCATGATGATCGTGTGATTGAAAGATGGGGTAAGGTTTTCGAGGAGATATTCAAAAGAGGAAAAGTAATCTACAGAAGAGGAAGGGCTACAGAAAACACCTAGAAGGACTTTGGAGTGGGATAAGGTGATTTCAAGAAAAAGGAATTCCGCTTCATTAGAGGAGTTAGAGGAACAAACGATATTAAATGGTATATGAGTACGAAGATATATGGCAACACCACCACCACCTCTACCGGTGCGATCACAGCGAATAAGATGGAAACCAGGAAGGGAGTAAGCGATAGAAGGAAATTATTACATCTAAAGACAAGGTTTCAGCCAAGACTCCGACACAAATATAGCATGAATATTGTTATCAGTAAATGAGTCTAACATGTCAGAAAAATGGGCAGGAATACTTTGAGCATTAATATGTACTGCATTGAAATTTTTTACTACATCCGAAAATGTAGTATGCAAAGTTTCGTCTAGAGGAATGTTAATGCTATGAAAACTGTCATCACTAGAAGAGGAAGAGGAGGAAACTGATATAGAAATATCATTTATATCATTGTCCATAAAATGTGTGTGATATATAATTAATAAACAAATATATTATTTATATAATAATAAATATCGTATAAAATATATAACGTTAAAACATCTACCCGCCAGTGGTTTGTTAGAATTGGTATACAATAAACAACAAATATTCATAAATAAAGCAAATATTGAAAACACATTATCACAACAGAAAGAAGAAAAAAAAAGGAAAGAAAAAAAATACATAATTGTTCAGTTAAAATGGAGTACACAGGAATAAATTAAATATAAGCGGGCCCGGATACGTACACCCCGCATGCAGTCATTTGTAGTAATATTAATAGTATATTAAATATCATTCTATATTTTGGCTGTTAAACCCATTCTATAAACTTCTATAAATTAGATAAAAACTAATTATTGCATGTAACGGAATACATAAAAAAAATAACTACACAAAACAATTAATCAGTACTGGCAATAATACACACTCAAAATCTACCTGCTAATTTCTAATAATTCGGTCTCTTATTCTATCTATACCCAGTTTCATTAAATATTCATTACATCTGACAGTTGAAAATACGGTTCTCTGTTATGTCCATGGTAGGTACTGCTCATGTCTAAAGGCGACGGTTACCACTTTCCATCAGGTGGGTTTGCTATTCTAAGTTGCATAAATATATTAATAGATTACATAATCGAATGTTTTACTTGTTACTCATTTTATTGCGAGTGTCTTTCATATTTCACCCTTTAAACCGAAAAACAGCTATACAAACAACTGCTTCACTGCAGTAATATGAATTACAGTATAATATAATAATCTAAGAGTATTATATTATCTGTGACGAATGGAACAAAAGTACCCAAACAGACAAGTTTTTTTTTTACAAAGTATAATATTCTAGTAATTTAAAAAAAAAAGTGTATGAAAAAGGTTGACAGCCAATTTTCTTTTTAATCGTGATTGCTCTGCAGTTAAATTGAACACCTAAAAAAATGTTTCTTTGTTGCTTTGTTAAAATAAAATAATTTATTATATATTTAAGAAAAGAAAAGGATTTAATTTCCACCTTTATAATAGACAATAACTTTGCAACAAAGCGTACGTATACGCCTATTTTCAAAGGTCCGGATCTCATCTAAAAAATAATTAGAAATAATAACACCAATTTTTAAATACATAATCGAGACTTAACGCAATTGGGATTCATTTCGTTAAGATTGTGTATTTAAAAATAAGTGTAAACAAGGCGAAAGTTTTAAATTAACTAGGTACACCAATGTCGAAGTCGCAGTCCAACCAAAAATATCATAATTGATATTTTCTCTTGGTCTAAAGTTGTTGCTTCATCTTCACGTAGGTATTATTGTACTCATTTGCTATTAATTTTTAACAGGCGGTTCGTCCGATACAAATTTGAAGTTAGTTTCATAAATTAGCTAAGTACATTTATCTGAAACCAGTTTCGAACTTAATTGCCTTAATATTCAAATAGGTTCCATTTTTAATTTAAGAGTTTCCTCTTGTCGGTGCAACTAATTCATGCATCTTCCTCCAGCCAGTTCTATCCCAGGCCATATCCATATTCAAATAGGTATTAACTTAATATTAGTTTTTAAGTTAAGTTAAAAAAATTAAGTTAAAAACTAGTTCATTTATGAATTTACAACTTTCATTACTGCGTACAATACCCTCTATAATAAAAAATTGTTAAATAAAAACATGTATAACCATATATAAAGTCATAGTGTATTTGACCCTGTGATTTGACCCTAATAATCTTATAACTATGTCCTATGTAGGTATAAATGTCATAGATCAAGCGGAGTACCTGCGTACAAATGTATAAATGTATACATATAAAAATGTATCTAGTACTTGCCTACTCTGTGAGGAGTAGAGGAAGAAGAGGAAACCCAAATATTATTTTTTTATGAAGAGTAGAATCTAAATGGATAATGTATTGCTATCGATAATAGTTCAATACAATCATTTGTTCATGTAAAACCAATAATTATTATTTCCAACTTGCTCCTTATATTATACATTAATCGATAGTATCCTAACAACTTAGACTCTAACAAGAATAATTGGTTAATTTTTAATAATCTATCATTATTTATTAATTAATATCGATTATCATTAATAGATAAATAATTATCTATTACATTATCGATTTCTTATCGAATAATTGATTAGGCAACACATGTTAGCACAGAGTAGCTTCATTATTTACATCTCAGAGTGAACGAGATTAATCATTATTTATGTTATGTATAGTTACTCAATAATAGTGACCTTACCTACTTTCTATTCTTCTATTCATTGCAATGTTTTGAACTTTTCTTATGTTTTAATACTATGTGACGACTTTAATGAAGAGATTAGCAATTCTCGTTCAGTGCTTACTTTGTAGCTCTTACGTTGACCCTGTCATTATTTAGATTGCATTAATTCAATTAAACTGGATAAATAAGATAAGAAAAAGCATCTCATGCACCAAACAATGGAAGCAGGTTTCAAGAATGGTGTTATATCTTTGAATGAACGCGCTGGTATTTATTATGCTGGTCAAGAAATATCGGGAGCATTAAATTTCAAATTGGAGCATACCTTAACGTTTAGAGGTGATTATTTAATATTGTTTAATTATTTGAGGTCTCTTTTTGCTTGACTTTCAAGACTTAAATAAGCAAGTAACTAGTAGTAAAACTCTATCTCATAACCGAGCCTATGCAAGAACAACTATTATCAAATAGTACTATTTTATTTATTGTGTTTTAGCAATTGTAACCTGTTTACACAAGACTCCGAAATAAAATTACATGCATCTTTTATTAAAACTTAGCTGTTGAAAATAAAACTGTTTTATCACTTGTTTAATTTTTATTGCGCCATAAACATAAAAATGTATAATGATAATTAAACAATTCAAATGAAGTATAGTAGCATAAGGTACAGATTAAAATATATAAATATAAATAAAGGTGCAAAAGGTGGTCTTATTGCTAGGGCAATCTCTTACAGACAACTTTTACTTTTATAGTTTATTAATGAAAAAAAAAACAGCCAAATTTTGTTGAAATTATTACAGCAATACCAAAAATAATAAATGTCCCCATTTAATCATATAATTAAATTTTATTGGTACTAGTGTTGGACATAAGCTGATAGATTAATTTTTATTTTTTCAATTTTCTAGTTTTGAATTAGTAGTATTGTACTACTTGTTAAAGGATATCATCTATTGGTTTTGGCCAGGAGTTGTCTTCTTTATTGTACATGGAGACTGATACTATAGTCTACTATCTATATCAGAGGGAGACTTTGTACAAAAATTGATTGCTTAGGCACCCCTGTCCCATTCGTGTTTCAATCACAACAAATATCTACACCTTTTATCTGGCAATTTATATTTTTCTAATATGGCTAAATTTTCTGAAAATACCGTGAAGCAGTCGTGTTTGCATGGCTGTATTTCGGTTTGAAGGGTGGGATATGGTGTGAATTTACAGGGTACAGAGGAATAACACCCGAATCCTATGGAATGGCAACGCATGGGGGGAATCATGGGCGAAACAGTATACTCTGTTATGTCCATGGTACTGCTCATGTCTATAGGTGACGGTTACCACTTTCCATCAGGTGGGCCATCAGCTTGTTAGCCATTCTAAGTTGCATAAAAAAAAATATATCCAATAGACAATTGCCATGTGGTCCCGTCATAGAATAGACCACCCCTTGCTTTTCTGTGGGTGTTGTAAGAGGTGACTAAGGGAACTTAATAGTCGAGGTTGGGTAGCAGTGTCCTTCTTTAAACATCACCAAAGCTTAACTACAGTTGTCAATGTGCCTGCCAAACATGAAAACTACTGGCAAAACCTTTCAATAGGGGGAGGCTTATATTCTGCAATGGACGGTTTTTTTTTTTGGTGGGTGAAAATGGTATGGTAACTGCACCTGTGCTAACGGGATACATTAGCGGAGCACCAGTGAAGGAAGGAAGGGTGATAGATGAGAATAAAAACAGGCCAGTTAGCCCATTGTGATGAATTTATCAGGAATTAACCATAGTAGTTTCCAGGGAGAACCGCGAGGAGGTCGACCGGGTTAGGTATATTGCTAGCAATGGGATTCTCAGTCTCCTATATTAACAGTCCCTTTCCCCCCAGTAATGGACAGTTAATAACTAGTATAATGATGATGGTCTAAATTCCAAATTTGTTTATTTTCCCCTAAAAACTTGCTTAAATATTTTTATAGCTAAATTTAATACATGGTGTGTTACAGCTATAACTCTTCAAATAACTGGTGCGGGCAGGGTGCAGTGGATTGAAAAAGAGACTATAAAATACCATGATATGAAACATTATGGTGAGACTATGTATAAGGGCACTGAGGAGTACTTCAACCATGTCCAGATTTTGTGTGGCGGCCAAGGTTTGTATATTAACTAGCTGTTTCCTGGAGCTTAGTCTGCATGAATCTATATATGTTAATATATATTATTTTAGGATATAAATTACATGATAACAATGTATGTAATCATTTAAACATGAGCTCTTTAACCCTTTAAAGCCTGATTTTTTAAATCAAATTAAAAAATATATAAGTGTATCCTTTACTGTGTTTACTAATGGGGAAAAATAGTAAAAAAATCAGAAAATATTTTTATATATTTATTTTGAAAAAAAAAAACATTTGCTATCATTTTTGATACTTTAGGCATTAAGGTAATCAAAATATTTAAATTTATTTAACAATGAAACAATGCAAACCCTGGTATCAAATTTGGAACTTCAGGTATTTAAGGGTTAAGCATCATTGAGTAATAAACAATACATGAGTTCTCAAACCAGTTTCCAGACCTGAGTCATTTTAAAAAGGTCCTAAATTGGTCTTATGTTAAATAGAAAGCGAGATCTAATTTAAGCAGTTAAGTAAATTGTTAAGTATTGCCTGGGGCCTAGGTGTTCTGGCTTGTGTTCTCAGATGTTTATTACTTAGTTCTTCATAACATATCCCAGCTTGAGAACCAGGCGACTGTTATACAAATATTAATAAATATTTTTTGTTCACATTCAGTCAAGCATTTTATTTATTCATTCATTCATTTGTATCAGCTGTTAATTCTCCACTGCTGCCTTTACTCTGTTGAGAAATTTTGCCAGTTCCCTTAGTCACATTGTATGGCACCCATGGCGAAGCAAAGGGTGATGGGCAACTCTGGGACTCTTCTGGGACCACACGGTTTTTTCTTTCACATTGGATATAAACGTTTTATTAACAGATTGTATTACAATAAGGGCAATTTTACTATAACAGGAGTATCACAACTTCAGCCACAGGATTACACATTGACCTTCAAGTTTCAAATACCACATTCAGCGCCATCTTCCTTCAAAGGAAACCACGGATATGTGTGTTATCATATAGTCGCTTATATAGAGTTTCTGGACCCTCTGATGCCATGCGAGGAGGTGATGAGGGAGATTCAAGTCATTGCTCCTTATAGATTGTATAAAAGTCGTCTTAGTATAAATGTGAGTATATTTATTTTCATCTCTCAAATATGTTGCTAACATGCATAAAGTATAATTGTTTATTGTGTTTATAATATAATGATAGGGGGGAATGGGATTGTTAGTAATGGAGACTGTGAATCCCATTGCTAGCAATATACCCAACCAGGTCGACATCCTCGCGGTTCCCCATGGAAACTATCATGGTTAATTCCTGATGAATTCATCATGATGGGCTAACTGGCCTGTTTTCATTCTCATCTATCACCCTTCACTGGTGCTCCGCCAGCGTATCCCGTTAGCGCAGGCGGGGCTACCATACCATTTTCACCCATCAAAAAAAAATATAATGATAATACCTATAAATATATTACACACACCCATAGAAAGGTTTGCTTAGTTTAGGACTTTTTTATGGGTACCAAGCAATACATAATTTTTTTTTTGTGAACATGAAAACACTCTGTATTAGTATTCGATTGGGTAAAAATTAAAAAAAAAACTATTCAAAAATAGTTGATATAAAATTACTGCATTTTTTATATTTTTTCTATCTAAAAAACCAAAATTTAGATTTAAATTTAAGTTTACATTAATAAAAATATTTCTTTCTTTCATTATAAACAGATATAGCTGGTTGGTTGATTGATTAAGAACACCATCCGGTGTTAAGTCCGCCAAATGTACATAGTTTCGCTGTGTGTGTCATTAAAGTTTAAATAAATAAATATAGTCTTGAATAAAAATATTTGCACCACATGGGTATTGAACCCACTACCATTAGGTGTGGCAGTGCATTACACTGCTACACCATCAAGGTCTTTTTTTTATTTTTATACAACTTAGAATGGCAAACAAGCTGACGGTCCACCTGATGGAAAGTAGTAACCGTCGCCTATAGACATGAACAGTACCATGGACATAACAGAATATACTGTTTTGCCCATGATACCCCCATGCGTTGCCATTCCTGAGAACTCAGTTGGACCTCTGTACCCAGTAAATTTACGCCATATCCCACCCTTCAAACCGAAACGCAGCGATGCAAACACAACTGCTTCACGGTAGAAACACGAATGGGACAGAGGTACCCAAGCAATCGACTTTTGTACTTTATTTTGTATGTTACGGTATAGAGTTTCCATAATGTTATTTTGCCCACAGGAACCGATAACATTGATTTTCGATGAGATGTATTCATCTGGCTGTTTATGTGAGCCCAATCCCCTACACATCACCATAGTGCTGTCCCGGTCTGGATTCTGTCCTGGAGATACGGTTCCAATTACAGTGAAGGCTGTTAACGAATCTGGAGTTAAAGTTTTGGCTATTATATTTGAAATTTCTGATGGTAAGTTGACATAATAAGAGAAGGATATACATATATATATATATATACATATATATATATATATATATATATATATATATATATATATATATATATATATATATATATATATATATATATATATATATATACATAATAGCTAGGCGGCTTGGCTTTTGGATATCCTTCGCTTACAAAAGTATATTATCCACTGTTTTTGTAATCGCATCTTACGACACCTTGAGGATGAAATTGAGTTAATCTTCTATACTTATAATAAATCTGTAGAGATGTCAATTCTGTACATGAAATATATTTCCAAAATAACTATCAGGGCGTGATTAGTGATCGATACTGATGCCAAAAATGCAATCAGTAAAATTTTTGTCTGTCTCTCTGTATGTTCCTTAAAGAAACAAAAACTACTCGATGTATTTTAACGAAACTTGGTACAATTATTCTTCATACTCCTGGTCAGGTTATAGTACACTTATCATCACGCTGCGATCAATAGGAGCAGAGCAGTGAAAGGAAATGTTGGGAAAACGGGAGAAGTTACTCCATTTTTAAGCTTCCGTCGCGTGTGCAACTTTAATGGCCAATTTTTAAAATGTAAAAATGTCCACCCGTGCGAAGCCGGGACAGGCCGCTAGTAAAAAATATGGTTTGAGGAACGATATAACATTTAGAGTCATCAGAGAACGTCAAAGTATGGGAATCCCAAATTTTATGTCCGTCAGCGTATACCGTTAGCTTAGATGGCGTTACCATTCCATTATCGTCTATTAAAAAACCCTTGCTAATATTCAGGTGACCCGGTACCGCAGCCAGCGGCCCCGCGCGGAGATGTCGCCGGCAGCTGTAGTGTTGGCGGAGGGTCGCACGGCGCCGCTAGCGGCCCACGCCCGCCGGTCCTTCTCCTGCGACCTCAAGATTCCGCAAATGATGGTGTACGACCTGCGCAACTGCTCCCTCATCGATGTGCTGTACTATTTTAAGGTAAGCAGTCCTGGTCCCGGCGTAGAATGGGCCACCCCTTCCTTTCCCGTGGGTGTCGTGTAAGTGACAACTAAAAGAATTAATGGTCGATAGATGAGCAGCAGTGTCCCTCTTAAAACATCACAAAAACCTAATTGCGGTTGCCAACTCGTTCGTCAAAGTTGGTAACTACTAGCTTTCTGGCTTTCTCTTTATCTGGCCGCAAAACACGACAGATACGGATTTTCATACAACTTTTGCCGGCACTGCCCGCATGTATCTGGCCAGTACGGCAATTTTAATTTATCTTGAAGAAGATTGTCAAAATAATGCTTACATTTTCAAGCATGTTTGAGTGAAGAACCCAGGAAGCTTCTGCGCTTCTGGGCGGAGCTAGGTTGGCTGCACTAGCCACGACTCATACGCACAATGGCCCAAGTGAGAGGCTAAGCGCGGAAAATGGAGTCTTTTTCACATTCACAAGCATGTTTGAGAAAATGAATTTATTTGAATCTAGTCTGTAATAAACGTAGTAGGATGAATGTAGAGAAATTGTAATAACATTATCTCTTTTTTTCAGGCAACAATCAAACTGTCCGGTTTTAACAGTAACCGAGAACAGGTGTCCGAAATACAACTGGGAATGATACCGCTGGACAAGAAGTCAGTAGCCTGGGATACTTCGTTCGCAGATCAGCTACCCAAGAGTCCACCCCCAGACCCGAGCACCCCGACCACTCCAGGCATTACAGCATTCGAGCCAGGTTTTAAAGTCACACCGGTACCCGTCATGTCTAGCTTCCAGATCACTAAACCATACCCGGTTGAAATTGGCTTCAGAGTGTCCAATACAGATTTGTCAAATACACTTTATGGTTATCATGCGCCGTACAATCATGACGGGGCGCCTGGAGGGAACTTAACAAATAATGAACCTCCATACCCGTTATCACAACCGTCAGCGCCATCTATGCTTTAATATCTTGAGTAGAAAAGATTCAAAATTGGAATTAGCACTGTTTTACGCTTTACATTGTATAATGTGTTATTTTAATTTAAAACACGCACATGCGCACGCGCACGTGCAGACATATAATCACTACATGCACACAACAAACATACACACTTCTAGTATTAATTCCACCCCACCTACTTACTAATATTGTATGTTTGTATGTGGTAATGTGTAAGTGAAACAAGATTATGCCTATAAAAAAAATTATTCAAGGTTTTTCTCAAATCCCATGGGATTATCAAATTTATAAATAAAAAAATAGATTGTGATAATAAAAAAAAAAATCAAGAAAAATTATGCCACAATCATTACTGTCGGAAATTTATTTTTTGTAACTGGGTTTGATATGTAACGATATTAAATTTAAGTTTCGATAAAAACGAAATAATTTATAATTTACGAACTAAAGTACATTTGGCCATTCGAAAACGAGAAAAAACAGGAGTTGCCATATGAATTAATGCAAAAAATACAATTATTACTGGCAAGTAAAAGAAAAGTTGCTATTTTTAATTATTCACGATTAAGAATGAACTATAAAAGTTCTCTTTTCTGTGTACACGGGTTATTTTCTTAAATATAGTTAGTATACTTTAGTTTTTTCAATTCAATATATTTGTTTATCTAGTCCATTCACATGTACTACACAATGTCGCAGCGACAAAAAGTGGTTACGTGTGTTAGTACTGCAGCATTTTGCAATTGAGTCGATAACCTATTATTTGGTTACATAATTAATACATAATTCCCCATAAAATACGCACGAACGATAATTATGTACGAAATAAGTACATCAAATAGCGATTTAAAAAATATTTCTAAAACATGTTGGATAAAGCTGTTTATGGGACCTGATTTAATATTTTTAGTATTAATCCTTAAAAGCCTGATTTTTTAAATCAAATTAAAAAATATATAAGGGCACACTTATACTTTTACTATTGGGAAAAAATAGTAAAAAAATCAAAACGATATTTTTATATATTTATTTTGAAAAAAAAAAAAACATTTGGTAACATGTAAATAGCCAAATATTAAAATAAAATCGATTGTAGGCGCCGAATGCGTTTTATAACCCCGGTATCAAATTTGAAACTTCAGGTATTTAAGGTTTAAATATACTCTTAAATTTAATGTTGGAGAATAAATTAATCTCATTATATTGTTAGTTAAATATTATTATTACAGTTTTTAACTGTTATATGTATATATTGCTTCGATACATATGTATATTAGATTCGAAACCTACAACTTGTTGTAGTAGAGAAAAAAAAACAATGAAAACACTATTAAATTTTTTTTTAATTTTTCAAAATTAATAATATTGATTGTTATTTTTATATTAAAATATAAAAAGTAAGTAGATAATAATGTAGTTATATTTTTTTACGGGTTTCTAATACTACTTCAGAGCTCCTAGTGTAAGTTACACATAGATATAATATCGAAATACCAATATAGATATTTTATATTTAAAAACCTAGCTGCGCCTCTATCGGTTAGTTTTGGAAACTCATTTCCATACAAACTTTTCGACGTAAATGAGAACGCGGTCGTTGCGTAAATTTTTGTGCAACTCACACTAGACGCTCTGAAGTGAGAGTTAAGTCTCGAAAATTAAAAATATCAATAATATTGATGTTACCAAGGTATGCCTTATTTATGTATTCATTATTTAATGTACTGCCATCCGTCCACCTTATTTAGATTAAAATCTATTTTTACATATGCATAGGCTTACATAATATAAAAAAAAAAATAACAACGTACATAGGCGGACTTATCCCTCAGAGGGATTTTTTCAGCCATATTTACATACTTTTATAATTTTTTGTAAATGTGTGCTATAAGTACTTGTTGATGCCATATTATGCATGTTAAGTATCTTCTCTGAATTGGATATAAGCAAGATTAAAACATGCATATTGTTAAAATGCCATAAAATGACGAAAAAGTAATTAAAAGTTTTGATATGAAATCATAATATATACATATTATGTATTATAGATGAATGACTGTTAAGTTTTGTAAGAAAACTTTATTTACTTGCAGTTCAGTCATCAATAGTATGTAACTATTGTAACCTAGACTTTGTCATAAATACATACCTATAGACAATTCTTTACATTTTAAAATATTTATTTAATAAAGTTTTGTTTTGTCAAAACACAAAGATATTAATATATTATTTCAGGTGACTGTACTTTATCTAAAAACCTAGAGAACGCAATAATCATATTAGTTGAAATGAAATGAAATATTTTAAATGTTATATATCAAATGCCAATAAAAGTCTAGAGAACCTAATGATTATAATAGCTGAATTCAAATGTGGTATTTCAAATGTCAATGAAAGCATAGAGAACCTTATGATTGTAATAGCTGAATTCAAATGTTATATTTCAAATGTCAATGAATGTCTAGAGAACCTAAATGGTTATAATAGCTGAATTCAAACATTATATTTCAAATGTCAATAAAAGCCTAGAGAATCTAATAATTATAATAGTTAAATTCAAGTGTTATATTTCAAATGTCAATGAAAGTCTAGAGAACCTAATGATTATAATAGTTGAGTTAAAATGTTATATTTCAAATGTTAATGAAAGCCTGGAGAACCTAATGATTATAATAGCTGAATTCAAATGTGATATTTCAAATGTTAATGAAAGCCTAGAGAATCTCATACTCACTTGGCTATAATTGTGTTCATTATAATAAGATATAGTTAATATAGTTAGAATTGATGTTTACTAATTAAAATTTTATGATGGTAACTAAATTAAGCACAATTTATTAATATAGTTTGTTATATAATCTTAATATATAAATTAAAAACATTGTGACATATATACAGAACTGATGACTGTTTTTAATTTTATATCTTTATTGTCTTGTTGCATATGAAATTATTCCATTATTATATTTTTATAATAAAAATAATGATTTTTATTTATCACTAAAATCTACTACATGAAAACACTAGGATTTTTTTTCATACAACTTAGAATGGCAAACAAGCTGACGGCCCACCTGATGGAAAGTGGTAACCGTCGCCTATAGACATGAGCAGTACCATGGACATAACAGAGTACATTGTTTCGCCCATTATACCCCCCATGCGTTGCCATTCCTGAGAGCTCAGGTGTTATTCCTCTGTACCCTGTAAATTCACGCCATATCCCATCCTTCAAACCGAAACACAGGCATGCAAACACAACTGCTTCACGGTAGAAACACGAATAGGACATTTGTACAAAGTCTCCCTTTACAAGAATTCAGCACGATGGTTTCCAGGGGGAACCACGTAGAGATCAACGTGATAAGTACCTTAAAACCAAAGACCTAGCAATATACCCTATATTGCTAGCAATGGGATGGACTGGTAGTTCGCATTACTAACAATCCCTTCCCCCCCTTTCTGTGACATTAGTAAGATATGGGGCACAAACATTAAAAAAAAAATATATAGTTTATTGATTTATTTCAACTCGTAAAAAAATATAATTATGTATGTATGTTATATATCACAAAGTAGTATATTATGTCAAACAACGAGAATTCATTTTAAAATATATCCAAAAATCTATAACATAAATATTTCATAAGTTTTCTATAACAGGGACAATATATTTTTTAATTTACGTATAAAATATAAGTACAGTCAGCTTTATAAATATACTTGGTGTAGAGGGTGCTAACACGTAGGTATGCTGCAAATCAAGCAGTTTTAATTTAATCTCATATCTCATTTATTTGTTTCAGTCCATTAGCGAATCTTGACGCTGTCGAATTTATCCGATAAATATTTCTGTGCCCATAGAATCACCAATTACAGTTTTAGTTGACTGTACCTCTTGTAAACTTTCTAAAAATATATATAATCGTAACATATCGTATATGACTAGAGCAGTTATGTTTTTCGAGGCTGACTTTATAAAATTCATATAAATGCGACAACAGTAGGCCTAAATATTTTGAGATTTGTCGAACCTAATTTATGTAATCATTTGATAAAAAAAAAAATTAGTCATATGTATTAAATATAAATATAAAAGGCATCTAAGATCATAAATTCATTTTAAAAATGTAAATATCTATAAATAATAAACTCTTAACATTAAGTCTCGACTTTGTCGAAATTTTTAATAATGACAAAGTATGTTCTATCAAAATGTAATTATTCATTCCTTAAATATAAATGTATAAGGCATTAGGATCACAAATTTATTTATAATTAAAAAAAATCAAAATTCATGTAAATTATTTACCCTTAATTATCGACTTTGTCGATACTAATCATAGTGACAAGCACGTTCATGTTACATTAAGCAAGTTTTATAAAAATAACTATAACTAGAAAAAAAATAAAAGTCTTTACCTTTTCCATTCCTTTACAACTCTTTCAGTCTTAATGTTCGATTTTTATATTCAACTTTTGAATTTTGTCCAAACACAAAAATGCATTTTGGTTAAAAATACAAAGGGGATTAAAAGTATCTCATCCGTCCCAATAATAAACCAACCCTCTTATTAATAAGAACTGAAACCTATAAACAAAAAGTTAAAATAACTATTATAGTTTTGTCACTGTCAAATTGGAAAATTCAACACAAAGAAAGGGACAAAACAGTTCAATAGCTAAAATAAGTGATTTGACGTTTTTATAAATAAGGGGGTAAGTCTTTAAGGGGGATTTTTTTACCCCGAGGGCTATATTCCTCGTCTTTGTCCTTACATATCTCTAATATCTTTATATGTAAATCACTTGCACTATTTTTAAATTTTTTTAATGTGTAAATTATATGGCATCCACACGAAATAATGTGTACAATTAGTACAGTTTGTATCAAAAGTCGATTAAGAACACGTACAAAATTTCAAATAGAATAAATATAATTTCGTTATTAGGATGCTTAACAAAATTTGCGTTAAAATAGGCTGAACATAGGAAAAAGTCAAAATTTGTTGAGTATGGAACGGCGTGTTCGGATTTTAAAAATTTGATTGTATTTACCTACATTTGATGCTGACTGCACAAGTGCCCTTACATATAAAAAGGAATTCCAAATTCAAATTCCATCAAGTGTCAACAATCTCCCGCGTTGATATACTTATCTCCAACTCACTAGTATTACTAGGCCAAATAAAAAAAAGAAATTAAAAAATATTCTATAAAATTGAAAACACAAAAATAACATTTAAATGGAGTGTCTTTATATGCGTTTTGCTAAAACAACTCTTTTATTCTTGTGTGATTCACTCACACAAGAATAAAAGAATGTTTCTATTTAATAATTTATTACTGGCAACATTGACAAATGGAGTTTTTTTTTTGTAACATATTTCAACACAAGATTGTAGATGTATATGATCTACATAAACAAATACTTAACTAATTACTATCATGCCACATTTCAAATAACGAACAGTAAAAAAAGAAATGATTATTATAACTTTTTAAATTTAATGTCAACTATACTTTTGTCAGAGATTATAATATATATATATATATATATATATATATATATATATATATATATATATATATATATATAATTATTCATATCTAACCTCTGCCTTCAGGATCTCTCTATAGATATGCGCCAAATGAATAAATGCCTTATATAACTAAGTTTTAACTTTCTTAAACACGAGCATAGAAATAGTACTAATATCTTTTTTTTTTTATTAAAGTACGAAGCGCATAATATGACTTAATTAATATGTAACCTACTTAATATTAATTGAGGATATTAGAGTAGTAAATTCGTAGTAAGCTCTTATGATGAGAAATATATGGGTCGTAATAAAAATCAATATGTCGTCAATTCTAAAATAACCTTTTAAAAGCACCGATTCCATTTTAAATAAGGTCTATAATCATTTGCAGGTGGTGGGCGGTTGTAACGTTCCGTATCGTTATAAAAGTCGTAACCAATTACGCGCGCATGGAAGAGCTAGTAAATACTGACTGATTGACGTATATGTCAATCAATCAAATTGCAGATTGGAGTGGCGCGAAAAAGGGTCGGTAACTCGGATAAAACCTAGACTTATTTTTTTTCTTATTCTTCTTATTATTATTTATAATTATTCCGTGTTTCCATTGTGGTAGTGAATGTTCATTACATGGCAACATTTCATTTATAAACGTTCATAACTTTAGCTAACCAAAGTGTTGCTAGGTCGCAATTATTTGTTGAAAAATTCCGATGCAAAATAGGAAGTGTAGTTTTTTTATATGCAATATAGAAAAAGTTATTTTCAGAATACGTTACATCTAAATTCACCACTAAAAATTTCGTACTTACTTCATTTATTGTTTCGAAATTTTTATAATACTTTTATGCTATCCAAATTTAAATTTTCAGCGCCAGCTGAATAAGTATATTATTAAATAATTATTATTTTAATTCCCTTTCTTTTTTCTTCTTTTTTTTAGCAGAACTCTTTTAAAAAGTCAATCAGAAACATTGAAAATTTATAATTTTTTTTGACAATTGATGTATAGTTGCGGTGTTGCCACGTTTTAGTAAGCTAATGTGAACGCTCTTAATAAGTACATACAAACTATATTTTCTTTTCGTCTTCTTTTTTCGTTTCTTCTTTAGCTTTCATGAATTCAGGGTTGTATGGAGGGTTCGATTCTGTATCAGCGTCGGCTGTGGGTTGGCCTGAAATTAAAGTTTTTGGTACATTGATGAGTATATAAATTAGTATTTAGTATATTAATTACTTTGTCGTGTGGCTTGACATAGAATGGGCCACCCCTTCCTTTCCTGTGGGCGTTGTAAGAGGCGATTAAGGTAGGGCGAGGGACGGACAGTAGCGTTCATCTGGTAAAACATTTCTAAAAGCCTAACTGTAGTTGCCAACCCACCCGTCCAGCAGTGGATAGTTAACGGCTGACATAATATGTCATTTAGTATATTAATATATAGGTTTAGTATATTAGTATGATCGCCGTGTAGTTTGGCATACAATAGGCTACCCCTTCCTTTCTCATGAGTGTCTAAAAAGGCGACTACGGGAACTCAATAGTTGAGAGATACGCAGCAGCGTCCCTCTTTAAACATTACCAAAACCTAACTATTGGCAATTGGCCAACCCCAGGCGGGGCAATTGTAGTTTCATTGCCATATGTCAGCCTTCAAACGAAACACGGCCATGCAAACACCATAGAAACACGAATGGGACAGAGGTAACCAAACTTACGACTTTTGTACATTCTTGTAAATATACTTAGAAATAGATAATAAATGACGGAAATGATGATGAATTGCATAGAAAAATATATTTAGTAGGGAGGTTCCACGCGTGGACTCACCGTGGGCATCTTCAGCGGCAACGGGCGGTGCGCTGGCGGGCGGCACAGGGCTGATGGACTGGTCATCGGGAAAGAACGGTTACATTTAAATACAGGACAGTTTTTTTTAATTTTGAATTTGGTTAACCAAATTCAAAGTTTAAAAAATCTTATTAATAAAAAAAAAAAAACATACTACTCTATGGTAATAATCGAGATTAAATTCCTGACGAATTCATCACGATGGACCAAGTAACATAGCTTTATCCTTGAAAAAAGAAATGTTATTATATAATCATAAGCGAATGCTTCGGCTTCGCGCGTCTTTTTTTAAATAAAATACAACTCATGTCATTCGCTAACAATGTATTATATAATATATAGGAATATTAAAGAATTTTTAAAATTAATTAGGAATTTTTTTGAGTTAATCAATTACAAACAAAAATCAAATGTACCCTCTTAAAACTAATATAGTTTAGATTTTGTAGCGAGTCAAAGTGATATAAAATGACTGATTTAGCAAATCTGATTAAATCACGCTAAATAATTGATTAGATTCAAAAGAACTAATTAATGGATAAATAATCAAAATATGTGTGAACATACTATATTAAAACTCAACTCACCCGAGGCAAAGGAATACTAGTTCCTTGCGGTAGCAAAGGAATCGTAGCGCCATCTTCAGTTTCAGTCTTGAAACCATATTTGCCCGATTGTGCTAATGTATTCGACACAGGCGACACCCCAGGCGTTGGATACGGAGCTGATGATTGTTGACTTGGTGTCCCTTGGTATGGAGTATTGTTAGGATAAGGATTAGAATTGGGATATTGGCTTCCAGGATAAGGGGGAGTGGAGCCTGGATAAGGGTTGGTACTGGGGTATGGTTGGTTTTGGCTTGGATATGGTGAGTTAGAAGGGTACGATTGATTTCCTGCAGGGTAAGGAGAGGTGTTAGGAGTACTGGCACCAGGGTAAGGTAGGTTTGCGCCAGGGTACGGCGGGGTTGGGCCGGGGTAAGGTGAATTGGGTCCAGAATAAGGTGAACTAGAGCCAAGGTAGGGCGCGTTCGGACTATGGTAAGGAGAGTTTGCACCGGGATAAGGTGTTGCGCCTGGGTACGGGGAGATAGTTGGTAAAGGTTGGTTTATAACTGGAGTCGGGTATGCGGTATTGGGACTGGGGTAGTTTTGGACTTGTTCTGTGACCATGGGTTGTGGCATTTGATCGTACAGTGGATTTTGCACGTTGTTTTGGAAGTCCACCAGAGGAATCGTGCCGAAAATGAGTAAGCAGGATTCGCTGTTATCCTCATGACACCCTTCTGGACATACCGTCACCTGTGAAATAATAATCGTTCAGAAGTACTTAAATGGCCATAAATCCCTTAAGCAATGGAAGAAAGTGATATGGTATGATATAATATTCATGTTAAAAAAAGTCCATGCTCACCTTACGAACTCATTACAATAATATTAGCTAGTCATCATCTTTTATATTATTTATTGTGTATTATGGTAAAAGTAGGAGGGAGGGAGGGAGACTTTGTATAAGTCGATTGCTTGGGTACCTTTGTCCCATTCGTGTTTCTACCGTGAAGCAGTTGTGTTTGCATGGCTGTGTTTCGGTTTGAAGGGTGGCGTATGGCGTGAATTTACAGGGTACAGAGGAATAACACCGGAGTCCTCACAGGAATGGCAATGCATGGGGGTATCATGGGCGAAACAGTATACTCTGTTATATCCATGGTACTGCTCATGTCTAAAGGCGACGGTTACCACTTTCCATCAGGTGGGCCATCAGCTTGTTTGCCATTCTAAGTTGTATAAAAAAAAGTATGTAGTCCCGGCATAGAATAGGCCATCCCTTTCCTTTCCTGTCGGTGTCGTAAGAGGCGACCAAGAGAGGACGAGGACAGCAGCGTCTCTCTTAAAACATCTCAAAAACCTAACTGCGGTTGCCAATCCGTCTGCCAAACTAACCACTGGCAAAACCCCCCAATAGAGGGAGGCTTATGTTCAGCAGTGGACAGTTAAAGGCTGATATGACACAACTAAGTGGGGGGAAAGGGATTGTTAGTAATGGAGACTGAGAATCCCATTGCTAGCAATATACCCAACCAGGTCGACCTCCTCGCGGTTCTCCCTGGAAACTATCATTGTTAATTCCTGATGAATTCATCATGATGGACTAACTTATCTGTTTTCATTCTCATCTATCACCCATCACTGATGCTCCGCCAGCGTATACCGTTAGTGCAGGCGGGGTTACCATACCATTATCACCCATAAAAAAAAGATACAACTAAGTACTTATAATAGGTATTCTGAGTATTATAAAAAAAAAATTGATATATACCTTGAGTTCATAGTTGACGTCGATGTGCGAGCAGCTATCGAGGTTGTAGATGTCCATGGCGGGCACGTCCAGCTGCAGCGCCCAGCTGCGCGTGCTGTTGGCGGGCACGGGCCCCTTCTTCACCTCCAGCACTGTGTCGCGCTCCATATTGGTGCCGGGATTACACACTGCTCTGAACGTTATTTCCTGGGTTCGAATTAACCGTTCATCAGTCAATTTCTTGTGACATAGTTTTTTTTAAGGTAATATAATAGATACCTGCCATTTAACTGGTATACGATTACGAGGTACTGGTGATGGTAGTTGAGGTTGAAATCAGATTTTTTTTTATATGGAACTTAGAATGGCAAACAAGCTGACGGCCCACCTGATGGAAAGTGGTAACCGTCGCCTATAGACATGAGCAGTACCATGGACATAACAGAGTATACTGTTTCGCCCATGATTATAATGCATCCATTGTTAATAATGCAAACTATCGGTTCCATTGCTAGCAATATACCCTGTCAAGTCGACGTCCACTCGGTACCCATGGAAACCATCTTGGTTAATTATTATTAAATTCATCACGATGGGCCAACCTGTTTTCATTGTCACCTGTCATCCCTCACTGGTGTGGCAGGGTTATCTATTTTAATCCACTAAAAAACAATGAGCACTAACCTTTTTGACGGTTATCTTGATTTTCTCAATGTCCACATTGCTCTTATTGACGCAGTTCACTTCGACCGGCATCACCTGTCCTGGGCAGTAGCCGGTGACGGGCAGCTTCACCAGCGTCTCCGAGGTGCCCGACATCACGCACCAGCAGCAATACACGTCGTTGAGTTCCAACGCTATGGGATCCTGCAAACGGTGATGTAATAGCAAGGTAGGGGAGTCATCATCATCATCACTACATAGTATAAAACAAAGTCGCTGTCGCTGTCTGTCCGTCTCTATGTATGCTTAAATCTTTAAAACTATGCAACGGATTTTGAAACGATTTTTTGGAAGTGATTCGAGAGGAAGGTTTATACATGCATAATATTATAGAGAAATACTGAAAAATTTAGAGGTTTCTAATGTGATGTCGTAAATAAACACTTTTATTTGCGCTTACATTGCAAATGCGGGCTGAACCCCACGAGATAAATAAAAATAATGTACTACAGTATTATACACCTTAAAAAGGTCAATAAAAAAGTCCGCGATGATATATGTCTATCTCTTAAGGATAACTCATAATAACCATTTTTTATCCTTTACATTTTACGGGAAAAAATTGCTTATTTACGAAGTGATTTTAAGCAATACAGCATTAATTTTTATTCAATTAAGTACCTTAAATACATTGTCCATTTAATATAAATCAATATGGCTTTTTACAGCATGTAATTTAAATGAATATTTTCGAAGATATTACAGATTTAAACTGCAGGGACATAGCGGTGCGGCAGTACAGGTCCAGCCGCGTGCCTATAAATAACGCGTCGAACCGCGCTTCGCCCTATAGCACTTTATCATGTTTGTATTGTCTAATGACAAAAAAGTTGTAAACGTTTTTTATAAGGACATTTTGTAGTAGGTACCTACCTATTTATATTTAGTATCAGCATTGCACTCGTGCGAAGCCGGGGCGGGTCGCTAGTGATAATATAATTTTGATTTGGGTCGTTAAATACTCTGCTTCCGCGCCATCGTTAAATAATCCACTGAAGTAAATTTACTGATCAATTTAAATTACGCCCTCAGTGCGAGAGACCTATTAAACTAAGTGGAGTAATGTCAGACCAATCTGTCTAGTGTAAGATCAGTATGACTCGTGTAAAGTCGTCTTTTTAACCCTTCTGATCTTGGGGGGGGGGGGGGAGGATTAACAGCAATGGGACCAGCACCATTGCTATCATACGTTTAATCACTGTGGATAATTATTGTTGAATTAGTAACAACGGGCCAATTGACCTGCTTCATCCTCACCTATCATTCATCACTGGTGTATACCCGCTAGTGTATACCCATAGCACACAATGGGGTTACCATTCCATTATCATCCATTAAAAAAATAAAAACTCACTTTAGCATACTGCTCTTTGTTCAAGTCGAGCGGCGCTATTATCTTGATAGGTGCAGAGATTTCTTTATCAATCTTGAACGCCCGGTCCACGACCACCTTGAGCTCGTATCGGACATGTCCATAGGAGCCCTCGAATGACGACGGGCACGTGTATGGTACATTAATGCTGAATGGAAACTCATGCTTGCCGGGATTCAGGTGGTGCTCACCTAAAAAAGATTAAATACTTTTGTTTTACATACAGCTCCTCGCGACTACGTCTGCATGACCTAGAATTAAATTCTTTGACTAAGATAAAAAAATGTCTATATAGCCTATGAACTTCTCCATCTCAAATAATACGTGTATACAAAATTTCAATACGATTAGTTGAGCCGTCCCTTGCCCTCCCTTAGTCGCCTCTTACGACACCCACGGGAAAGGAAAGAGTGGCTTATTCTATACTTGAACCACATAGGAATTTTTGAAGTTATGGTGTTTATTAAACCTATACATGAACCCTAAAAACATTACACTCCTTTTTTCGTCGTGTAAATAGAGCACTGATAGACGTCAGTGGTAAGTTCCTTTTTGTTTCATTTATCGATGTTACAATTAAATAGTGTTAGAAGTTATTGCGTCAGTCATGTAATTAATATCCTATTAGAATTATTCAGATATTCAAATCTATGTTTCACATTCACACATTCATTTGATATGAGTAACATTATCCTAAATATTTTTAAGAGTGGACTTAAACAGCATTTTCTATCTTTGTGAACATGTATTTATTTATCTGTGTGTTTATTATATCTAATACATAAAATTCTCGTGTTACGGTGTTTGTTACCAAACTTCTCCGAAACGGCTTTACCGATTTTTATGAAATTTTGTGTGCATATCGGGTAGGTCTGAGAATCGGCCAACATCTATTTTTTATACCCCTCAATGAGAAGGGTGACCCACTCCTAAATATTTTTTTTTATTTTTTTCACATTTTTTTATTTTTATTTTACTATGACTTAGCATTGAAAAATACATACAAATTAAAATTTTCACGCTTTTACGATCAAACCCTGTTTTTTAATTGCGATTTTTATATGCCGCAATAGGGTTACAAGATAGCAATCGAATATAATAATTGCAGTAGGACAAATTTTCATATACAGTTCTCGAAATAATGTATATGGTAAAACAACGTTTGCCGAGTCAGCTAGTTATTATATATTACATAACTAATTATATTATATTTAGTTATATATAAACTTAAGTTTGTCTAATTCTTTTTGTTTCAAAATTGTCACAATATTGTACACCGCTCTACCCGCTGACATTGATGCTCCTTTCCACTTTGGGTTTGTTGGAAGAGATCTCTTTTAGAGTACTCTTGTCATATTTTTGTGTATAATTAGTGTGTACAATAAAGTTCTTTAACAAGGAGAAGACAGTTAAATAATTCGACATTTAATTAATATGGGAAACACCACGCGGCCCCTCGTACATGGTCCTTCAAACGATTATATAATGGTATAATACAAGGATGACATAATCACGACCACGTAATGCCTAATTTTGCTTCCATTCTTACCAGTGTGCAGTGCAAAAAACTAATACTTTTTTAACAAGCTCATAATGAAGTTTTTTTTTACAACACACGGGGGCAAACCAGCATGCGGCTCACCTGATGGTAAGTGACTACCGCCGCCCATGATCACGCACAACATCTACGGCATTGCAGGTGTGCTGCCGGTCTTTTAAAAAGGAATATGCTCTTTTCTTGAAGGATATGATGTCGTATCGGTTCGGAAATACTGCTGCTGGAAATTGATTCTAAAGAGTGGTTGTGCGTGGGAGAAAGTGCCTTGAAAAACGCACGGTGGAGGACCGCCACTTGTCCAGATGGTTAGGATGAAATTTTAGTTTATGGCGGGTAGTACGATGGTGTATACGGTAAAGGCAGCCTCCGAATGCTTGTACTAGTGACAATTTTTGCGATTTGCCTACCCTCCTGACCTTGAGTAGCTAGTAATTTCATTGCAATATCTCCACTATCTAAACAGGGGGTCTATCATTAAAATCCGTAATTTCGGACTTGATTTCGTGTTTCAGTTCATACTGAAAACGGCCCAGTAAATAGAGCTTCATATTTCGTGCATCATAAATCCTACTAAAATATTTCTACATTTTAAATATTTTTAAACGGTAGGTATTATGTAATTTTAACATGAAATTTTCGTTTCATTAAACTCCAACATTTCGGAAAACATTTCATGACAGACCCTCTGTTCGAAGTGAACTGTATGATCTATAAAAGCGTTTATATAGAAGCTTCCTGAAGCGTGACAATTTTCAAAAACAGTGGGACATATTTCAATATTTCTGACTTTTAAAAAGTAAATTGTATCTACTAACATTCTGAAGATCGGTTTAATATGGCGCTTGTCTTAACGACCGATTAAATGCCTTTTTTTATACAACTTAGAATGGCAAACAAGCTGACGGTCCACCTGATGGAAAGTGGTAACCGTCGTCTATAGACATGAGCATGTATCACCATGTAGTACCATGGACATAACAGAGTATACTGTTTCGCTCATGATAGCCCCACGCGTTGCCCTTCCTGAGGACTCAGGTGTTATTCCTCTGCACGTTTGCGAGCAATCTGCGGTGTTCTGTCAATATAATGACCGATCCGACCCTGGAAACCATCGCATTGAATTCTAGATTCATCACGATGGGCTAACTGACCGTCTTTTCATCTTCACTTACCATCTCTCACGGGTAAACAAAAATTGTATGCAACTGGGGCGTTTCAGCGCTGATTATCGGCGATCGAAGATCGGCCTTATGTTGCTAACGTTAAAGTAGAGTGTGCTTACCACTTTTACCACCAGCAAGAAACACCTTATGGTCTATATACTTTTCGTGGGAGCTGTGCTCAACAGTGTAACTTTCTGAGCGGTCGTCGACCTTGCGCGTGTGATCACTGGTCCAGTGGACGTTGCAATATCCTCGCATTCTCGCATAGATACCTTGAACAAGGGCATTCATTCAAATAAAAGTAAAAGAATTATTATGATTAAAGGAGTAATTTTTTTTTTAATAAAAATATAATGGTAACCCAAACGATATAAACGCAGGTACAAAATGTAATAAAACATATGATTTTTTGCTAGAAACATTTGTCAGATTGACCTTCACGCGATTCACTGAAAACCGCCGTGATCAATTCTTGTTAAACTCATAACGATGCGCCAAATTATTCGCTTTTCTATTATCCTCACAATAGTTTTATAATAAAAGATAGCCTGTTTTTCAATCCATATAGTACGTGCATACCAAATTCCATTGATTGTTAGTAATAGAGATTAGCAACTCTATTATTAACAATATACCCTATTAGGTCGACCTCCTCGCGGTTCCCCTTGGAAACCATAGTGATTGCTTTATTGTTCAATTTATCATAATGGGCTAAATGATATGCTTCATCTTAAGGTAAGTTCTTAACTTACCCTCTCTGGTGTCTCGCTAGAGATAAAAAATTAAAAAACTGTAAAAAAGCAAACAGAATGTTTTTTTTTTATACAACTTAGAATGTCAAACAAGCTGACGGCCCACCTGATGGAAAGTGGTAACCGTCGCCTATAAACATGAGCAGTACTATGGACATAACAAAGTATACCGTTTCGCCCATGATACCCCCATGCGTTGCCATTCCTGAGGACTCAGGTGTTATTCTTCTGTACCCAGTAAATTCACGCCATATCCCACCCTTCAAACACAACTGCTTCACGGTTGAAGCACGAATGGGACAGAGGTACCCAAGCAATCGACTTTGTCACTATTCCCATTTCATTCACAGAATATCCATCTACCTAGTGGCTTGTATTTAGCGCATATATTTTAGCTTTGTATCATCTAATACAAATAATATGAGAGACATTAACAATTGCGATTCATGTGCACTAAAAACCAGTAATAACTATCAGTATTAGCTTTAGTAAAATAAACTGTAACATTCTTTACATAGAGCATGGTTTGCTCTAAAAACATTTTGCGTCAAACGTATTTCAGCTTTATTCATGGATACGCCTTTGGCCATGAACTGTGATCTATTCGCTATAACACATAGTGTTTTTATAATCGGTGCCATTTTGATCAGCTTAGGTACCTATTTCCGCATTTTTTATGGATGATAAAGAAATGGTAACCCCGCCTGCGCTATCGGTATACACTGGTGGTGCACCAGTGAGAGATGATAGGTGAGGATGACTTTTCATCATTCATCATCATTTCATCATCATTTAGCAGATCAGTTAATCCATCACGACGAATTCAGCGATAAATTCGTGGTGACGATAGCTCCAGGGGAAATCGCGTGGAGGTCGACGTGATAAAGTACATTGATAGCAATGGGGACTAACATCCCCATTATTAAGAATCCATTCCCCCCATTCAGTTATACTTATCCTCTTATTCATAAAAATAAACTCATTTTAACCATTACACTGTTTTGCCACTTTCAATTAGACCACCTTATTCATGGAAATGTCAAACTTTCTTTTAGCTATTAAATTCTTTTGTCTTTTTCTTTTGTGATAAATTCCTAATTTAAAACAAAGTGACAATAGTGTAATAGTTAAAATAGGTTTGTTTTTACGAATAAGGAGGAGGGAGGATTTTTTTTTGATGGGTGAATACAGTATGGTAACTTTGCTAACGCTTTGCTTCGCTAACGGGATACGCTGGCGGAGCACCAGTGAAGGGTGATAGATGAGAATGAAAACAGGCCAGTTAGCCCATCATGATGAATTCATCAGGAATTAACCATGATAGTTTCCAGGGGGAACCGCGAGGAGGTCAACCTGGTTGGGTATATTGCTAGCAATGAGATTCTCAGTCTCCATTACTAACGTTCCCTTTCCCACGGGGTGAGAATTTAGCACTAAAAAATGAGAGATAAAACAGTTCAATAGCTAAAATAAGTTTATGAGACATTTAACAATTTTATTAATAAAAAGGTTAGCTTTTTATGCCATTAAAGTTTCTTTTCTATTATTACGATCAATAGAATCTTTCAATAATAGTAAAAAAAAAAAAAACATTACAGTACTAACAAGCCTAGCTGGTGATAACAAATAGAATGTGAATCAACCATTTTTGAATAGATGCCAATCTCTCTGTTACTTTACGAGAAAATAGCTGAACAAATTTCTAGGAAAATTTGTAACTCAATGAACCCTAGTTTTAAAATGTAAGTATTTTTAGATTACATAAAAAAATGTCAGGTGTCTCTTTTACTTATATTTCAATTTAGGTAATTGTGTACACAAATTTTGTGGTCGCTGTCTTGAAAAATTAGGAATTTCTGATGTTGTTAAAAATATAAATTTGTGACAACCCTACACAAATAAGGCAAAGAAAAAGAAATAAGGTGTGTGTGGAAGAAGGGTACACTTTTTGGAGTGACATCACATCATACATGGGAAAATAGCATCACATTTACCTAAATATTTATTCTTATATAATAGTAAAGATCAGTAGATGGTTTTTTTTATACAACTTAGAATGGCAAACAACTGACGGCCCACCTGATGGTAAGTGGTAACTGTCGCCTATAGACATGAGTACTACCGTAGATATAACAGAGTATACTGTTTTGCCCATGATATCCCCCATGCGTTGCCATTCCTGAGGACTCAGATGTTATTTCTTTGTACCCTGTAAATTCACGCCATATTGCACCCTTCAAACCGAAACACAGCCATGCAAACACAACTGTTTCACGATAAAAACATGAATGGTGTTAGTGTAATTATCAAAACATTATATTAAATTCAAATTTCCAAAGTTTTAGCTGGAATTTTTCATAAATATATCAGGCCTAACATTGGATGTTTAAATTTAAACTTATGCTATTATTTTAGATTTTTTTTTATCATTTCTCTACTTACAACACTCTATTGCCAAAAACTAGATATCTTAGGATATCTAAATCTTAAGCACAATATATATAGAATCAAAATAAAATGAAAAAATTTAAGATAAAGGTACTATTAATGTACTATTTATATAACCCATTTAAGCCATAAAATGTAATCATAAAGTGTTAACTCATTACATTTGACTTTGAAAAAAATATATTTTGTTGTGTCTTTCTATTGTCTTATTTAATTTCCTTAGTAATAAAAATAAGACACTTCTAACTTTGTTCAAATGTAACAATTTGTAATAAGACATAAAATACTAACATGAATGCATATCATATCCCAAAATACTCAGGGATATCACATGAAATACATTGTAATTATAATATTGGCACATTACCAAAGCTAATAAACAGAGTTTTTTTTTTTTTTATACTACTTAAAATGGCAAACAAGCTGGCGGTCCACCTGATGGAAAGTGGTAACCGTCGCCTATAGACATGAGCAGTACTATGAACATAACAGAGTATACTGTTTCGCCCATGATACACCCCATGCGTTGCCATTCCTGAGGACTCAGATGTTATTCCTCTGTACCCAGTAAATTCACGCCAGAGTGTATCAGAAATAATTTATACCTCACAATTTTAGGGGCTTTTAGGCAATTGGCAGAACAGAAGAGAAAGGAAACATATATTGTCAGTGAAATTATTAAACACACAGAAAATTTATTACTATTTTTATTTTAATGGACATAGAATGGTGAACCCACTATCTAAAGGTCAATGGTAAGGTAATACTTGGAGATGAAGTCAGGTCTAGTATTCTGAAGTAATTAATTCAGAAGTTAAGTTTCCAAAACAACCAGCTGAAAAATCTATCCAGCAAGGTTAGTATACCTTATATATGGTATACTCTTCATATAAAGGAAGTAGTACACCATTACTAACAATCTCTTCTCCCATAGTACTAGAGTATCTCCAAACTTTTGTTTTCCTTCCTACCCTTATCTCAATTATTACTTTTGGGGTCAATATAATTTTTTTTTTCCACTCATTTTTGCTGTAGCTCCTTAACTCAGGTTATTATACTAACCTATTTAGGAGCTCAGTTCTAAAACTATAGTTTAAAATTATAATATTAATATTAGTATTGTAATTTATTTAAACTACAGTTGTTTTTTTAATGGATGATAATAGAATGGTAACCCTGCCTTTCAGGTAGAACCATGTGGAGGTTGACCTGACAGGGTATATTGTTAGCAATGGGACTGGTGATCCACATTACTAATAATTGCTTCCATCCCCACCCTTTACAGTTGTGTTTTTTACATAAATAAAATTTTATTTCATTTTATAGTTATTTACTCATTAATCATTTTATATTAAATCATTCATTCTAGTCATATCATCTTTACATAGTCTATCTAAAAAGCACCCACCAGCAAGTGGCAAACTAATCCAATTTAATAGTACATATTTATTAAAAAAAACCATTACAATTGTGATAATTTTGTTTTAAAAACTAAATTACTAAACCGATTTTGATAAAATTTCTATGGTATATTCTTTAAGACAAAAGAAATCCCAATCAGTTTATAATCGACGGAGTTCTGAGGTAACATAAAAAAATATAAGTAAATTGAGAACTTTTATTTGTTAAATATTTACGATTTAGGGTTTGTTGATTTTAAAGATACAAATCTTATATAGTATATATGACTAACAACGCTATTGTTATGATAATTGCTAATATAATTAAGGTTGTTATTTATTTTATTAATTCAGAAATAGTACTAACCTCGAAAAGTTTTTTGTTTGTCCTGTTCAAATATTAGCCGCCCATGAATGGTTTGGCCCGAGTAATACGCATTATTTGGACTGTCTAAAACAATTTTACCATCTTGAAACCCCATTTCACTTTGATTGTAATTCACTAAAGGAATAATAATTCGGATTTATTTGAAAAAAGGTTAATAAATAAATAAAAGTTTAAAAAAGTAGGTAGGTGATGGAACACCACGATTTAACTTAAGGCATATGAAAGAAAACATCTGGCGGCTGAATTTTGCCTACTCTGTGCATTGTAACCACAGATACCTACTATCCTTAATCTTTGTTCGTGACATCTACAGTGTGACCAGGTATAAAACTATAGTACTACCCAAATGTAAATTGTAATAGAAAAAAAATCCGAAATAGTGCTTGTAATTTCTAACTTATATAGAAATAAATCCATCCAAATCAATTTTTAAAAAGTTGATAAATTTTTAACATTTATTAAATAAAAAAACTTTGGATTGAGTCGCCTTCATATTATTTTTAACATAATTACTGTGGTGAATTACAATTATTTATATATGTTAAATATTATGTTTAATTAATTAATGAAATATATTATATTATTTATGCATTATCTATATAAGTATGTATCTATATAATATAATTTTACCTTTTGCTATTAAATTGGTTACACAGGTTACACTCTGGGTTTGTTGCACGCGTCCGTGTAGCCTTGCTTCAGGTTGCAGCTGAAAATCAGTGCTTTGCTTTTAAGCAAAAGTATCACTGAGCTGTAGCCTTTTTGGGTCACTGCGACACACTTGGTGAAAACATATCTCCAATATTCATTTTATGTTTTATATGTTGTTTTATATTTGAAAAAATGTAAATAATCAAATTGTATCATTTTATTCATTAATTTACGTGTGTTAAATGGCTCAAATAAAGTGTTTATCTATCTATCTATCTAAATCAATTATGAAATGAAAATTCTTTTAACTGATTTTAATATTTTTAACTAAGTACCTATAAATAAATAAACTTTAAGGGAGAAATGAGAGCAACTCATATTATTTACATGTCTCCTTCGAATTTTTATAGCAAGATAAAATATTGTTAGTTTGGCCAGTAATTCGAATTTAATTGCGTAGATAATAAATAGATTACTCATAAAATAGAATAGATCACAACGACAATACATGTTGTTTTAAATATATAGATATGTACTTAGTATAACATATACTGTCGTTGTAGGTACAACAACAAAGTAATTAAGGAATTTTTAAAAATGTAGTAGTAAATAGTTATTATTGATTGACTACGTTGTTTAAATAAAAAGGAGGGATTAAATTTATTAAAAACATAGTCATAGTTTTTAGTAAAATTTGGTTCCTCTAAATTTTACAAAGAAAAGAAAATGCAACATTCTTTTACACCTAGTCACACTGGTTGTCTTGCTTTCATTACTGTTTGCAGCTAATGTGAGTGTAGTTAGTACATGTGTACCATTAAAATTATATATTGTTATATGATTTACAAATACAAAATATGTAAAAAATTTCAATATTCTCCCGTCATTTCATTTTTGTTTAAAGTTTTCTATAATAATTTCACAAAAATTTCGTAACGACAAAAGTTTAACTCTTAATTACGAAAATATTAACCAATCTGGCAAAACTGCTAACGTCTGTCACTTCTCGAATTCACAATTGTTTGTTGACAGCAAATGTCATCCTAAAGTCAAGACAGATTAATATGAAAGAAAGAGTAGGAAGAAGGTAGCTGTTTATTTACTTATTTTTTTATTTCAGTCAGTTGTCAAATACGGTTTCTGTCGATAGGTTATATTCACCGTGCGGCGTGTTTACATATCGTTTATTAAAATGTTCAGTATCGTAACGAATAAAACATCGTGTTTATAGTGTTTTATGACAGAAAAAATATTTATTATAAATTAGACAATAAACCACACTTTTTTATTTTACCATATTTAAATTCATGCAAAGTAAAAATCCCGTTGTAGTTCGATACTTGTGTAAAAAATGATTTTTTAGTATAATTTTGTTTATAGCGTCTGTGTTTAATAATTAAATATTAAAAATGGGTTCGCGACAAAAAGATATAGAGCTGAGTCCTGTTCGGACTGAAGGTAGTGGCAATTCGAGTAAAACGCCGACACAGAATGCTGCAGAAAAATTAGCAGTGCCGGTTAACGACGAGGAGGATGTGATAATTGGTAGATTTAGGAAGATAAGCTCGGCTAAATCGATGGCAGCCACCAACGGAAATATTCAGTATCCCAGTGAAGTGACGCCTAAGGGGGAAGATGTTGAAGCCGGGCTGCATTTCAATGCAAAGGAATCGACTGAAAAGGATAGGCTTCTATCAGACACGAACGGGGCGGCTGTTGTGCAGCCCTCAACATCACCACTTACGAAGAGTAGTTTTCGAGATGTAGAGAAACCATCAAGGTTTAGAGACCAACCTTCAGCAACTAGGTTTCAAGTGAGTATTTATTTAATTTTATATTTGACTAGTTACTTTTTTTTCACATTAGTTTTAGTTATTTATAAATAGTTTTATACAAAAAGGAACAAATAAAAAACATTTGTATTTAATTGTAAACCTTACACAATAGTATGGTTAACAAAGTGAATTTATTAGGCACTATGATGGTACACATGTTTTTAAAACTAAATATAATGTAGTATGAAATTAGTATGTTGTTATGGTATTTAAAAATTACCTATACTATTATTTATTTTGAATATTAATAAAATTTATTATTAATAAAATTGTATGTAAGTTCTTTGAAATTTTATATATATATATATATATATAATACCCAACATGCTAAATCAGAATTTAATTACATTGTTTAATTTAATTAGTTGGTTATATTGTACAAAATTCTTGTGTAATTGAAATGAAGAGTAAAATAACATTTCTAGTAAAATATGCAAAAATATTCTGTAATGTAATAGAATTGAATGTGGAAAATATTTAATTTATAATAAATAGATGGTAGTAGCTGGTGTATGTCACAATGCCTCTATATTTTTTGTATATTGTATTTTAAACAATGCCAGAAAGACACATGACACTACGCACACATCACCTATTGTATGGTGTTGGCACTATCTTGGAAACATTAATGTGAATGTCAACAAGAACTGTACAAAGTTTCAACTCAATTGTGTAAATGAATGGATGGGTGTACTTTATTTGCATTAGAGAATAAAAGAACATAAACATTAGAATGGATACACTTGTATAAATACAATAAGGTACCATATAATATAGGAATATAAAGAAAATGGTCACAAAACTATGAAAACTTATATAATGATAAGTTGACCTATAAACATTATTTTATTCCTGTTCTTACCTACTGAGTTAATTTTCAACTCACTTCAAAAAGAAGGAGGTACTCAATTTAATTCTAGAACTAACAAAAATTTTCATCGTGTCTCCTACCAAATTGTTTGTAATTACTCCTCTCCATCCAAAGGTCGCCTGGAAGAGATCGCTCTTAGCGATAAAGTCGCCCATTGTTTTCTCATTGTGATTATTTCTTGTAATTATTTATATTTTTAATAAGTTTACTATTGTAATCTTTTGGAGGAAACAATAAAGAGTATCTATCTATTTATCTATCTATCAATTCAGTTGTATTTTTTTTATGGTTGTTACCTCCTAACTCTGTCAGTTCTAAATTGACTTGGAAAATTCTTTTCTTATCTGAAACGATAGACTTGCAGATTGGTCCCATAGAAATTTTGTCAAAATAGGTTCAGTTTTTAAATCAAAATAACTGATTCTGTCACATTTGAAGTCAGTTTTTTTTTGTGGAACACAATCAGTCACGATTTCGTACTCCTCAAGATAATTTTCTTCAACATGAAAGACTACTTTCGTACATGCTTTACCTAAAACGGGCGATAAGTCGGACCCTTAAAATTACAGGCCGATTGCGATCACTTCCCTTCTGTCGAAGGTGAAGAAGCGTATAATTAACGCACAGCTGTTGGGACGGGATATGTTGAGTGATGTGATCAATGTGGGTTTCGCAGTTGCTTAACTGGTGATCTCTTGGTATATCTCACACACCAATGGGCATTAGCCATTGAGAGTTAAGGAGAGGCACTCGCTGTCAGTCTTTATGTTGTAAAGGCATTTGACCGGGTCTGGGATCGGGGTTTTCTATCGAAATTGGCTTACTACGGACTATCCAAGAGCCTGTGTAAATGAATTGCGAGCTTTTTGTCCGGCAGACGCATGTAAATCGTTCTATATATTTTCTACTCCGATGGCATAGACATTAACCTAGGCATCCCATAAGGCTCTGTGCTATAGCCAGACGCTGTTTTTACTGCAAATTAATAATATGTTAACCTCAGGTAACATAAATTTTTATGTGGATGAGAGATGATACCCTTTATTTGGGTCATACCAATGTCCTTCTTTCCATCGTAGGACTTCGTAGGACAATCGTGAATAGCTTGTGTCTGAAATCGCGGAAACGTATTTTCGAATCTATACGACATCGTAACTGTTAAGAAAAAAAACATACCTTTTCCAAATGCCGGTAGCGTACTTGCAATGCGGCCTACTGTATTTTAAAAAAACAACGTTAGCTATGGTCTCGGATAGGGGACGACAAACCTTAGTCCAGTTTAATCCCGCTAAGAAACAAGCTTGCGCGTTCACCGTTAAAAAACCCGCATTTGCTGTGGCTCCGCAATTCGAGGGCACGTCCCTTAACATGTCTAAAAGCATTGCGATCCTGGTATCGACATCTCTAGTGACGTGCAGTTCCGTAGCCACCTCGAAGATAAGACGAAATTGGCACCCAAAAACTCGGTGTGCTTAATAGAGCGAAGCAATGCTTCACGTCGGATCAACGATTAATGCTCTATAAATCGTAAATCCGGCCCCATATGGAGTAATGCTGTTACTTGTGGGCGGAAGCACTTAGATACCTGCTTGAATCTTTCAATTCAGTACAACGACGAGCTATGAGAATTGTTAATGTTCTCAGGCTCATAAGCAGTTTCGAACCTTTAAGTCTAATGAGAGATTCTGCCTTCCTCTGTGTGTTCAGCCAATTGTACAACGGACTGTGCTCAGAAGAATTGTTCAGTATGATGCCCACGGCCTCTTTTTACAATTGAACAGCTCACCATTGACAGGGAGTTCACCCCCATACCTTTGAGTCTAGATGATCGCGTACAGCGCAGTTTCAGAGATGTTTCTTCCTACGGATATTCAGGTTATGAATGAGCTCGCTGTCGAGGGTTAGCCAAGAGAGTACAACATGTGGTTCTTTAAAAAAGGGTTCATTAGGGTCGGTAACGCACGCGTAATGTCCCTGTTGTTACAGGCATTCATAGGCTACGGTAACTGGTTACAACTAGGTCGTATGCTTGGTTGCCACCTTATTGACATAAAAAAAAAGAAAAAAAATCTTTAATTATTATAAAACTGTTAAGTTGGAACAAACAGTAAACGTTTACAAAATTTTATTAAAATAGGTTGTATGGTTTCAGAGATTAATATGAATGAATATCATGACATAGTATTTTTTATATATACAAGACTCTCCTCGGCTCTGCATAGTAACATGTGATTTATTAGGATTTATTTAGAAGCCCAGTTCTAAAACCACAACTACTGTACCCATATAAAATTATAATATTTATATTAGTTAAGAAACTACAGTTATGTTTTTTACGAATAAATCTCATTTCATTTCATACATATACACATATATCATTGAAATTGGTCAGTTTTAGAGATTAGCTTGTCTCGTATGAATATAGGAACATAAGGACACATACACACACACACACACACACACACATGATTTTTATGTATTAAGATAGCATTTTTATTATGCGATTTGAAGTAGCCCAAGGCTCATATGATGGAAAGTGATTATGGCTCACTAAAGACGTGACATGACATATTACTTTAATAATTCAATTATGCACAGTTTCCAAATACTCTTCAAGTCTTCCTCAAACACTGAGGTACCCAAAGTTTTTTTAAAAGGTGATAATGATATGGTAACCCCGCCTGCGCTATCGATGTACGCTGGCGGGGCACCCGTCAGAGATGATAGGTGACGATGAAAGCGGGTCAATTAGCTTATCGTGACGAATTCCACTAGAATTAACCGCGACAGTTTCCAGAAAAAATCGCGTGGAGGTCGACCATTTCTAGCAATGCACCCTGTATTGCTAGAAATGGGTTAGTTAGATCCCATTACTAACAATCCCTTTCCCCCCCGGTACCCAAAGTTATGTGATTGCATTGTATTTTGGAAGAAAAATTAGTGTCTCCCTTGCTACATAGCAATGTACCTAACTTTAATCTAATCTCTCTCATCTAATATTTGCTTCACAAATAAATGCCGGCGACTTTAGCCATTAGCCATTTATTCAAATACAATGTACCTACTTTGCGTTTGAATGTGCATGATTTTTGGAAAGATTGAATTAAATAAATTTAATATTAATAATAGTAATTACAATTTTACAATTAAAAATTTTAAGTATATAACTATATAATGGATACGTTAGTTTTTTTTATACAACTTAGAATAGCAAACAAGCTGACGGCCCACCTGATGGAAAGTGGTAACCGTCGCCTATAGGCATGAGCAGTACCATAGACATATGTGCTAACATCTTGACTACATTTATGTAATTGTTGATTTTTATGGTATTGTTCATGTCTATAGGCGACGGTTACTCCACTAGGCGGACTATCAAGTTATTTGATGTTTCAACTTGTATAACATACTTCTATTTAATTTTGTATGTGTATAATAGTAGTTACTTATCGATCTACTAAACTACAAAGTACCGGATTTCAAATTAGATTGATAGATAATAAAATTGTATAGATACAATGTGTGTGAGTGACACGCGCATGACGGTAATTAACTGAACAATACTGTTTTGTTTGATGACACCTCGTAACAGTCATGGGTTTTGATTTTGCTAATTTATGGTACCTATTTAAAAGATCTGAATTATATAAAAGAATGAAAATTTATTGAAAGGAAATACTAGAGCTTTTGCCGTGCGGTCCCGGCATAGAACGAGTCACCTTCTTTTCCAGTGAGTATCGTAAAAGCGATTAAGTGAACTTAGTCGAAGGATGGGTAGCAGTCTCCATTTTAAAATATCACCAAAGCCAAACTGCGGTCGCCTAGCCAAGTAAAATTCCCCAATCCCTATGTTCAGCAGTTAACTGTCCAACGGCTGATGTGAAAAAAAAAGTTAATGACATCGCATGGTGTATTGAATTCGAATTTAGTAATGGAAATAAAAAAAAAATAAACAACAAAACAAACACTACTGAAAAGAAAAACGGTGTCTTTAATCGTCACAATGGTGTTATGGGACCTACATGGGAGTAAAGGCTATTGAAAAGATAATTATCAAAAACTGTTCAAAATTGCGTTCAAACACACTAATGGCCTGATTTAGCAACGG